CTGGCCTGGTTGCAAAAGGGAGTTTGGCGTCCGACTTCGCCTTGGCGTTCTGATACAATGACTGTTCCCACGAAACGCTAATCGAAATCCTGAAATGAGTTTTCGACTAGGAAGGATTACCGGGGTTGTATTGTAATATTATTACCGTGTGGTATAATCTTATAGTATTTCGGACTCACCAGACTGATGACTTTTGAATGCACCTCAATTCGACCCGTAAAAAAGCGGACTTTGTATAAATGGCTACTTAAGCAGTATACATAGCCCCCATTTATTTTCGCTGCCTTTATGAATTTCAACATATTTTATAGAAAACATGCATGAAAATTATACCTTCTTTCGCTCATTGGATGGTAAGTTACGTCATCTTCACATTTTAAACTCGAAGAAAAATTTACATTTAGGTTTTGAAAAAAGTTCACTAATCCCTGGCTAATTTGGAGCCAGGTCAGCCGTTGCATTTGCACTTTGTGTTTTCGGCCTACGAGGCGTATATTTTCTGCATAAGGAAAACCATGTATTCCTCTATGCCCTTAACAAGATACCACATAGAAGTCGCAAGGTTTTTTAATGGATTCGGACAGTGTTTTGCACTACATGATGAGTATTAATAAACGGACAGGTACGGCGCTGTTTGAATGGACATTGCACAATCTTAAGAAATCTTATAATTGGAAATTTTGAAGTCAGAAAGAGTATAAAATTTGGCGAAATCGTAATTAGCTGTCAAGGGAGTACAAGAAAGAATATTTTCGTGCATGCCTTCCACAAAAAATATTCGAATTTATAACGGGGTAAAAAATCAATGAGAAAAATGTCTACTGCATACGTATTCATTTTTTAACTGAGTGTAGTCATTGCATGCGACCAAAAGGAAGGGACTTTATAAGCCACTGCTGGCGGGTAGCGATTAGCCGGGTATCGTGCTCCAGTCGCAAACACGTGCCGGTCATTCTCCCTACGTGAATTCGGCTTTACTCACTCGGCTTTCGTGCTGGCGAAGATCGTCTTGAAATCGAGGGGACAAACGTTCGTGTTAGCTATAACCTGTTGGAAGGTCAAAAGACAGCCGGCAAAATCAAACACAAGTCTTCACGCTGTGCGTTTGAAGCCGGGTGGTCGGCCGGCGCCGACAGCAAAGACGTCAGAGGTGGTCGCTCTCCTCTCCGTTGATATATCCTCTTCCCATACGATCTTCTTCCAGGGTCGTAGTCGTGGTGACAGTGCAGAACGATGAAATAAGAAAAAGACAGATGGAGAAGGTCTAGATTCGTGGTGACAGGACAGAACGATGAAATGGGAAAAAGGCAGATCGGCGGTCGGCGAACGTCGTGCTGGCGAAGAAACCCACTGCTCCATGGGCAAGTTGGGTTAAGTCAGGACGACATTGTCCGCCGAATTGGGGCAGCTCGTAAGGTTTTTACGATGCTCAGAAAGTCGATATATGCGAACAGGCAGCTGCCAAGGCAGGAGACGTCTGGGGTCGTTTCCCGAATCTGGTGCGGTTTTAGACAGAGCAACTATGTTGGAGAAACTGGAAGACTACTCCGGACGTGGATGGCTGAGCACGCGTCAACGGTGGGGAGGAAAGGCGCTAGCTCCTAGCTAGCGGCTCATTCCACGGAACCCGGTCATATTTTTTAAACCTCAAGAGGCTGAAATCCTCGCAAGAACTGACAACCGCGTGTGCCGCAAGTTGCTCGAATTATGATTCTCAGGCTTGCAATCCACCAGCAATCGCAACGAGTTCCCGGCACCATATTAAATGCTGAGACTTTCCTTAAGTAGGGGAATCAGTCACGTGGGGAGAGCGCGGGCGAGCAACGATCGCGTTGACAGCGGGCCAAATTGCGGAGTAAACGTCACGCCAACGTCCAACACGAACGATGAAATTGCGGTAATTAACGCCTCGGACGCGGACTGACGAGCCGTCATCGCCTCAACTACGACCCCCAGCGGTGGTCGCGAGAGCCGTTAAGTATAGTACGCATTTGGTCCCAACGGTAGCTACATACTATAAATACCGCAGTCTTTGTGCCACCACTACGTTTATCTGCGACCGTCAATGATGATTAGCTCGGGTGAGAATCCGAAACGTCAGGCCAATGAACTACTAGTTCCAGTGAACGCATCTTCCTCTTCTGAAAGTGCCTTTTGACCCGACGAGGCGTCTCCGTCACCGCAGGGATTCGGGAGTGCCGGACATCCGTCCGGTCAGTCCTTCTATAATTAGTTGTGAATACCGGGTTTTGAGCAAAAACCGAAGGTGTTTGACCACCGCTGCCTGAAGACCATCCTCCGAGTGGAGCACACCGACTTCGTCTCAAATGAAACTGTTCGCACTCGCTATGATAACATCGCTAGGGCATCTAAGGCCATTCGAGAAAGACGACTGAGATGATTTAGGCATGCTCTTCGTCGTCCGCCTCACGAGCTCGGTGCTACTGCCCTTGATCCGGCGTGGCTGCTCACAAAGAAGCATCGAAAAGGAGACTAACTTAAGGCTTAGCCCGGCACAGTTTGCCAAGACGTGCAAGTGATGCTTGGACCTTCCTGTATTCGGTCACCGTTGCTGGAGGAGCGGGTGGAACAAATTCTCCAGATCCACGTACACCGATCTTCACGCGCAAGGAGGCACAATTCGTGATATCGTTGGGACCGGCTAGATCCAGCATGACCACAACTGTACCAATTGCAAATAGCAACTTCAGAGCATTTTAGTAGGACTTAAGAAGCCCTACGGGAGGCCTAGATCCGGACAATGCGATCTTCACTCTGCCCGCTTGGCATAGACTTGATATCGGGATATTAGACGTTATCTACTTCTTCTAGCTGACCACTTTTTGTCATGGATGGTGTCCTTCCCTGACCAGACGTTAGTTTGAAGCGCGCTTTAGGTTTTTGCAGTCGATTAAGAGATCAGCTAAATAAGTGACCTTGGTAATCGGAGTTCGTAGTATACAACCACTAGACCACCTCCTCGGTAAACTTATACCCAGGTAAGAATGCATTATATTGAAATGGATGAAGTGGAGTCACGAACAAATTAAGGTTCTGCGTTCACGTGATAATAAAGAAACAAACAAGGGCATACGGGAGTTATCAGCACAAACATCTTCTAAATATGCTTCCCTTGAAAGGCAAAAATTTCGTTTTACACAAAATAACTCTGAGGGAATAAAACCCTTACATCTCTGGAGAAGCAAACTGTCGACTGGGCAGGCGAACAAGCGAACTCTGGAGCGCGAACTGCCCCCCCCCCTCATATTCATAAGGTTATTAGTCGCAGTTCATTTGAGCAGTCATAACCATGCAGACGATAACTTCAAGTACACTGAACAGGAGACTCATGTAGCGAAACGAGATACCGGAAGGCACGAGGGTAGAGGTGCAACAGTAATGAGATGGGTTTTTATGCAGGTCCCGCGCTCGTTTCGGATGATTCCACTTCCTCCTAGCAGCCCCACCAGTCCACACCTGAGTCCTTGATCGTGGGACCTTCGCTGCCGGCGACTGGAATGACCTTGACAGGTTGCTGTTGAAGCTCAGTGCCACAACACCGCTGATTTCCCTACCCCTGAGGGGTTCAATTACGACTCCGACATCTCAAGCGACTGAAGCCCTTGTGCCAACGATTGGGTCTACCCCAACTCCCTGTGCTAACCCCTCCTTCTGCATATATCGGTCTAGAAGGCGCCTTTTGTAAGATTGTTGGCGTCTGAAACACCAGCTCTGAGGTCCTTCCTTCTCACTTGCCCTCCGAGCGGCATCGTAAACAGTAGTGTCCCCTGAACATAGCATAAAGTACGATCACTCAAATTCCCACTCACGTTGCCGCAGTCCTCTGGGCTTAGAAGGCAATCCCACTCCCCTCGCCCTCCTCAAAATCCCATAAAAACTCCTCGAAACCACCCATTGGCCATTAGGATATTTTCAGCATAAACTAAAGTGCCGGAAATTCGTAACATGTATCTTTAATCCTCAGGGGGCCCAAACACACAACGCGAAGCCCGTTCAGACGAGATATGGTTTGGTAAAAGGCGGCTGCTCTATTGCAAACGCGGCCATAGCAAGAGAAAGAAAGAAAGTGGTTTCCACCCAGAGTCGAGGGACCTGTAGCCAGAAAACGCTCAGGTCTAAAAGTGACGTCGAGAAAACAAACCAATACCTCTGGGTCCTCACGACAATGATGATAGGATTAGCAGGGCCGTATCGTGAGTAGGAATAAGCCCACAATCCTTTTCCAATCTTTCAAACGCCATGACTGTTCTTGTTTGGATTCCCGCCAAACGGTTTTGAATGTACGAAAGCCCACAAATAGCAAGCGAATTGCAAGCAGCAGCTGAACCACAACGTCGGCATCTTTTTGTTCGGTAGGAACACAGTCACGGTTATTTTTCCCTTATTTCTCTGCAGACGCATGGGAACTCCAAAAGTTCATGAGCCTAGACCGCGCATGGCATAGAGTGCGCTTCAGACTAGGTCTAACCAACAGCGCATTAGGGTTGGAAGTCAAAAATAGTATGCTATCGGTCCACAAAGTTCAATAGTTGGGCAAAAAACGAGAGGACATTAATCTGAGTAGAGGGTGGGACGCAAGTTCTGCGACAGTAAAGAGAACGCTACAAAATAACTACTACCAAATGACAAGTAGGTAGAGTTTTAGTCCATAAACTGAAAGAGTCAGTGGTGCGCATGTGCTACAAAGCAGGAGTGCAAAAGGTGCAAAAAAGAGATTATCAAAAGGTAACTAAAACACAGCCACGAGGAGGGGTCTGTTGAATGAAAAAAAAAACAAGTTTGCAAGGAGAATAGAGAGAACACAAGCCTTAACGGGGGAGTGCGTGGAGCATGCGTCCTTCAAAGGCAGTAAGCCTTGGTGCAGACGAACAGGTATGACAGAAACGGACAGAGTGAAGATGATGGCTGAGGAGTATACACCAAGTGGAAGACAGTCTCGTGAAAAGAGGCGTCAGTAGGGGGAAGGGGGTGCTCTTTGCCTAAGGCTCGCCGTCCCGCAGTCTGCCGTCCAGGACCTCACGGGCAAACTCCTGCTTGGCCTTGTTTGTACTGGCACCAGAATTACGGTAGTAGCTGTGTGCCTGAAAAACGAGTTAAAAAACAAGAGGCGTAACTGACCCCCTACTTCCAATGCCTTTCTTTCGGGTGCAACTTATTTGAGACATAGAATAGAGGTAGTAGGACGTTCGACATCCAAAATGTGACACGACGCAAAGTAGCTCCCCAGACAGGCACGGCCTCTTTCATTCTGCGATTTTTGAAACTGCTGCCTGTCGAGTCAGCTGCTTTAGGACAGTAGACTGAGGCCGGCAGGGACAAATGCCGATTGTGAAAAGGTGGTACCTCCTTTAAAACGCACCACTAGACTAAAAAAGACGCCGTGGATCTCGGCGTAAGCACCAGGGAGGGCGGAGAGGAGGAGGAGGAGTGAGGCGAAAAAAAAACAGAAAAGCTGCGTACCCGAATCAGAAGGAAGGCTGCTGCAGCAGATGAAAGCGAGTAGAGGCAGGCGATTAAAATCATGAAGGCGGCCACTCTAGTGTCTTCCTGGAGAGTTTTCAGGGAGTTTATCCAACCACTAAAAAGGGGGAGGGAGGGGAGAGAAAAGAGCTCAAAGATAGACAAGCTGAGTAAGAATCTGAAAGAGGAGTAAATGGTCGTGATCCACTGGACCCGAGACCTCTCGACCTGCGGTTGCAGCTGGCCGGGGGTTGGTGCATCTCGGTGTTCGGTCTGGCATTCGACAGGGTTGTATCCTGTCACCCATTCTGTTCAACTATGCTATTGACTGAATTTTCGGGAGGGCCCTACGCGAGAGCGACGACGTTGAGTCTGCACCCGGACACCGACGGACTGGTGTCGACTATGCCGATGATGTCGCCTTACTTGCTCAAATTTTGGTGATCTGCAGTCTATGGTGTCGCGGGTGAACGAAGTCGCTAAATAGGTCGATTTATCCATAAACGCTGGGAAGACTAAAGTTTTTTCAAGCTGCATCCCTGACCAGGAGAAGGCGCCCCTCGGGATTGATGGATGTCCACTTTTCGAAGTAGACAGTTTTAAGTACCTCGGGCGATGCTGCTGCCTAATGGACAGAGTAAGGATGACATTGTCTCCTGAATTGATGTTGCCCGCTGGGTTTTCTCAAGATTTCGAAAATGCCTATAAATCCGACGTGACCTCCTTATCGCCACTAAGATTCGCGTGTACCGTACACCTGTCCGGTCTGTCCTTCTCTACGGTTGTGAATGCTGGGCTTTGCGCGTGGAGGACGAGCGAAAACTGGAAGTATTTGACCACCACTGCTTGAAGACCATCCCTCGAGTGAAGTTCACCGACGTTGTCTCAAATGAGACAGTCCGTGCTCGCTGCGACAACATCGCAAGGATAACTCAGGCCATCCACGAAAGACGATTGAGGTGGTACGGGCATGTTCCTCGTCGTCCACCTCAGAAGCTCAGTGTTACTGCCCTCGATCCGACACCATTGCCCCATTGGAGGCGTCGATGAGGGGGTCAGTTCAAAACCTGGCTTGACACAGTTCGTCAAGACATGGTGGTCACTGGACCTTCGGTATTCGGTCTACGTCGTTGGCGAAGGGAATGGGTTGAGCTGTCCAGATCTGCTGCCGCGGATCGTCACGCATGGAGAGGTACAGTTAGGGACATGATCGAGGCTGGCTATATCAGGCATGATCGCAGCCGTATCAAGTAGGTGCATCTCGTAGGAACGTGCACTCCGCTTCTGCCATTTTCGCATCCCGTCGCTTGAAACTGCCTCGTGGTGAGGCGCTACTATTCGCTCCACCACAGTTCATAACAATCAACGAATTCCGCCCCCAATAACAGATCCTACATTGACAGTTTTACAGCTGTGGTCACAAGGGTCCCACAAAAAAAGTCAGACACACCTCCGGTCTCTAAAGGATGGCCTAAACCATGTCCTAGCCTGGTCGGAGGAAAATGGTCTCCTAATTAACAACCAAAAATCCGTTCAGTGTATTTTTCGACTGCGGCCCTCACCTAACCCTGATTCCTCTGACATTCTTCCTAACGACGTATCCTCTTTCAGGTACCTCGGCGTTACTTTGTACTCAACTCTTTCATTTTCCCTCCATATTGAGTCCCTATTTATTAAAGTTCGTAAACTTCTTTACTACGTACGTCGTTTACGTTCCTACCACACACCTCAACCCTTAGTCTGGCGATTCATCGATGCCTGCATTCTTCCTCTTATCCTATAGTGCTCTCCTGTCATTTTTCCTGTTTTGTTAAAAAAGGATATTTTAATTTTGAAACGAATCCTCCGCATGCTCTCTTCTGCTGCTGGTGTTTCTTATATTTTTTTAGTTGACACTATCTTACAACGACACTTCAATGCGGTCAAGCAATTTGCTGGTCGAATTCTAGATTATGTTGCCCATCCCCTACATTCCGATCTTATGTCTGCAAGTCTTCCCGCCCGATGCGCCGCAACTTCCGTCTTATATCCTGCCGTACATCGGCTTATCGAGCTTCTGTATTGCCATTCCTAGCGCGCTATCTTACGTGCGAAGAGACAGAAATACAGAAGCTAAGACTTGAACTATCCCCATAATAATCGTTTCTTTGTGTTAAACTTTGACTCTTGAATAATCTATTAACTTATTTTCTGCCCATAGTGAATGGAGCCAACTTTTTGCTGAAAATTTTGAACATATGATTTCAAAATAAAGCGCATTCCTCTCTCTCTCTCTTTCACACACGCACACGCACACACACACACACACATCTCAGATTCCTAACAACGTGGGAGTGTGAACGACAAGGGGTAAGCAAAGACTTGGCAGGATGCGACGTTAAGAAAAAAACCGGACAGTTTTAGCAGACCGAAGGAACATTAGAGCACCAACAAGGATGACAGGAGGCCGTTAAAATTTCCACGGCCTGGTCGATGTTAAGCTGGAAAAAATTATTCGATGATTGTGTAGATGGGTTGGACTGTGATAGTGCCATGTTTGCGGAAGGCATAAAAACCTGAAACCTCATCCAAAATGCTGCCGATGAGACCAACTTCCAAGAAAATCTTTGTCGATTGGACGAGTGATCCCGCATATGGCTCTTGTCCTTCAATTTCGACAAATGTACCATACTGCGCTTCGGAAATCAAACCCCTAGTACGCGGCAATACCATCTGAACGGAATGCCACTTCGAGAAGCAGAAACGCAGACAGATCTCGATTTTTTACGCAAAATAGGGAGTTCAAAGGCGTAAGCCTATTTTCCTCAAATACACTGGCTGACTGACTGACTGGTGCGATTCACTGCAACGAACGATATAGGTGGGTGAGGTAGGTAGCGAAGAGCGTCAAAAACCTGTCTTTTCATTGCTGCCGGAGGAAGAGAGGTATGCCGTAATTTAGGGCCAAACGGTGAGTAACAGTGCCGTAGTTTGTTGAGGCGTTGTGCCGGCAACGGTGCTCTGAGAGCGTCTGTCATCAGCACAGGTTGTGCTTCAGGGCAGATGTGAGGGTGTGTGTGTGTGTGTGTTACGTCATTGAAGAGGCTGGTAGCCTTTGCTATCAGCAAAACTGAGGCGTCGCTGAGAGATTGCAAAATAGCACAGCCACCAGTGGTAGTGGGGGAGATAAACAGTGCACGTGGCCCCTCATATCTCAGAAGCGATAAAACCGGTTGATAATCGTAGATACAGTAAATTCAATAATGGTGCGTCGGACAAGGATGTCGCCGTTCAAAAGCCATCCCTTCCGGGGAGCAGCTGGCGTGCTTTTCGCAATAAGAAGGTCCTTCGTAGAGGAGGGGACTTATTTGCAAAAAAACTACGCAGGATTTCCATTCACCGAACCCTCTCTAAGACAGAGAGCGCCATACCTCAACCAGCTACTTGAGAATAATCTGAAATCCTTACACTATGAGTGCGAGCGCATCGCGCCTAGCCTGGTGCCCCCTAGTTCCAGGTGAGTCCATCCAGGCGAGACAGAGGCCTGCAGCTTGAGCATTTCTAGGAGAAGGAGACACGATCGCGGGGACAAGGGCTTTATTAGCCTGACGTCTCGGACTCCTGCTCGAACTCATCATCAGAGACGAAAGCATGTACGGGTCTCTGATAATGGGTTCGAGCAGGAAACCAAAATGTCAGGCTAATAAAGCTCTTGTCCCCGCGATCGTGTCTCCTTCTTCAAGATTAGAGACTGTATTGCGTACTCCTAGCCTATCAGTATCACTGGAAATTCCAGCACTACATTTATATATATATATATATATATCAGAAGAAAAGGCGATCTCGGGAACCATAGTTTTACTGTCCTGACGTTTCAAAAGCATACAAGCTTCCATCGTCGGAGGTGAGTGTGGTATCGCGCCTCACAGTATTTATAGGTGGGTGACAATCATGTCGAGACGGGTTTTGTTCATACATACGAAGTCAGGGCGGCAGGGAGGAAGGGGCGCGGAGGGAGTCCTAGAGCGTCTTCTCGCCGGATGAACGGGCAGGGGGCGGTGGATCATATATATATATATATATATATATATATATATATAGGCAGAATGATATTACCGACAAAGACAAGGGAGACTGGAATGGCCATTTCTGGCTTATTAGCCGTCATCAGCCAGCCATACCCAAGCCCGAAGTGTGGAACACCCGAGCCTCGAACTCGCGACCTGTTGGTTTAGAAGTCAACGCCTCTAAACCAACAGGTCGCGAGTTCGAGGCTCGGGTGTTCCACACTTCGGGCTTGGGTATGGCTGGCTGACGACGGCTAATAAGCCAGAAATGGCCATTCCAGTCTCCCTTGTCTTTGTCGGTAATACCATTCTGTGATGATTGCTCACCCATAATGGGTTCGCGTAGGAATCCGAAACGTCCGGCTAATGAAGCTCCTGTCCCAGCGATCGTGTCTCCTTATTCAAGGCTGCTTCCTGGAACTCGTCTTGTCGCTTCTATTGACACTTCTAGGAGTTTTTTAGAGGTAACCCAACTTTTAACAGCCTAGTAAGTGGCTCCAGCCACCATTAAACTGACCGCCGATGACAATTACGTCATTTCACCTGCAACCCAAAGATGTCGGTGGCGGGGAGGGGGTGTTCTCCACTGCTCTTACGTCTGCGTGAGTCTCGATCAGCGGAAAAACAGTAACCTCAGTTCTGAGCGCACGCGAGACACATACCAGTATAGGAAGAACGGAAAGCATTTTTTCGCTTACAGTCGTCTTTGGCGCCTGTGGACACGGGGTCATTTGCATTCCTGGAGAAGACAACACATGCATATGCGAATAGACAGAGTTACTGAGGCGGTGACAATTAGTGGCACTGGCGGAGGCCAATTTGGTCACCTTCCTCGCACCCCCCCCCCCCGCCGCCGCACACCGCCTCCAGACGCCGTTGTCCGTGTAGGCAACAATTATTCGGACAGTTCCTGATTCCTTGTCCTGCTCATCCTCAAAGTTCTTCAGATATTTTTCGAGCATGAGGCATTGATTTGAGAAGAACGTCGTTTAAAATCGACTTATCTTATTTTCGAAGGTACTGCAGGATGGTAATTTGAGCCGTCACAAGCCTAGAGATGGATGTGAGCTCAGTCACTGGAGGTGAAGCCGCCGTCACGCCCGCGCGCACAACGCACGTGCCGGCCTTCAACTCTGCATCAGCCGAGAGAGAGGCACTATCTTGAAAATGTCATAAAGGCCACGCCTGGAGGGGACCGTTACTATTTCTGGGCAACAGCCAGGTACTTTGATCACTAAGTCTGTTCGAAACAACGTGATGAGAAGCATTCATCGACTCATTCTACACCCGGATGGTCAGGAAGACGCACCCCAGCAACCAGATACATTCCATCGTTTGTAGATCGCAAACGCATGCAGAGGTCGTGGTCTTCTGTGTTAAGAATGATTTAAAGAAAACAGCGGACACATCAAAGGACCCTTTTTTCGGTGTCAACGTCACCGCCGTGACTTGTATTTCAGACGACTGAGGTGCAGGCAACGAATAGGGTTCAGTTTTTTGTATCAACATCAACCCCTCAAAGGGTGATATGATCAACACGCGGCACTCTTCCCTGCATGGTTACCGGTCGCTAAGCAACCGCCTGCGAGGGCGTTTGATTGAGGCCCAAGGCGCAACGGAACATGCTCGTCCCGTAACCTAATCACTGAACGCACGTCGAACGACGGAAAAGCAACAGTATTGCTCTAGGCAGTTCCTTTGGAACGTGGTTCTGTTCCATGCAAAACTCTGGCATGTGTGTTCGTCAAAAGGTCTGTAAGCGTGTGCTACGTCAGTATCAGCAAACCATGGCCATCGCAGCCTGGTATGCGCCGGCAGTTCCCTGACACCTGGTCCCTTGTCGGTAAATGCGCTTGCGCTCCCGCTGGGTATACATGTGGTGAGCATGGCTGCCCAGTCATCATCGTCCTTCTGACCCCTGTTGGGGTGTTGTCATTTTTGGTGAAATGCCCTGGCCAATTGGGTGTTAGGGACCAGGGGGTGTGGTGGCAAGCCTAGGTGCGGGTTCCACCCTGCCATCCACCTGCGCTCTCCCCCGCCTCCGGCCTTCTTGATTCTGTCCTAACACCGGGTCCAGGTGGAGAAGAGATAGTGTGGTAGATGCAGCGCAAGTCACTGGCCCTGCCCTCGCCCTGCTGTGTACAACATGGCGGACATCGTCAGAATCGACGATCGAGTGGGCGAGGAGAGAGTGTGGTAGATGCAGGGCAGGTCTACTATCACTATAAACCACTTCGAGGGTAAGTCGCCGCCCATGCGCCCGCCAAGCCGAGTCAGAAACGACGGTCGAACTGCCGGTGGTGGGGGGCGTATTTTTGAAGTCACATCCAACAAAGGAAAACGTGTCCGCTGAAAACAAGATGCGGCCGAGGGGAGGTGGCTTCATCAGCATCCGAGATAGAAAAAGGACGCAAATGTAGAATTCGCTTGAAGAATGCGCTGGTGTGGACACAGTTGGAGGTTCCCCCATTGCGCATTAGCTGATTAAGAGGAAGACGGAGATGGAAGGGGGGGGGGAAGGTGCCCGCATGCGGAAAGCCGTGACTCACCAGGCGCCGAGGTAATTGATGCCAAGCACTTGGATGAGCATAATGACCAACTGGATACCGAACATGGGGAAGAAGACGCAGAAGCTGAAGGAGCTGTTGTTTCTGGAGGTGAGAAAGAAAAAAACAAACATCAGGCTGTAGGCTCAAAGCAAACAACAAAGCGGGAACTCCACTGCCACGTTGTAACAAGTCTGAAAGTTAAACGATGCTGGAAAAGTGCTGCACCAAGCGTGCGCTTAACTCCCACAGGCGGAAACCGTTCTGCTTTCGTAGTTGCGGAAAGACTGATTCAGCTTTCTGGGTGAGTATATTTACGGACCAAGTAGAAGTCCTTTCCTATACTGCAAACATTACTGTCCTTTTGGTGAAAATGCCTGTGATTGAGACCGGAATGTAGTGAAGAAGAGTCGTTACTTTTAGACGGCGTCCGATGGAGCTTCGAGTTTCGCCGTCTCCTCGTCCCCCCTCCTCCGTTGCCATGGGAGCACACAAACTGGACATGGTTCCCAGTTTCCTGTCGCTCCGCCCTCGCATGACGCATGCCTTTTAAAAGCTTGGGTGGTAATGCGGGAAAACGTATTTGCTTTTCACCCTCCCTCACCGTCCTGCCCCCTAGCTGCCGAAATGGAGGTGGCAGGATGCAGGACTGTACAAAAGGGCATTGGAAGTTGAACAGTGCTCAAGCCGGTTGTGCTGGATGGATTGTGTCGAGCATTCGAGGCGGTCTGAAGTTTTTTCATCAAAAATAATTACAACTTTGAGAAGGCCACACAACCGGAGCACATAACATAGTGGACCTTCGCAGCATCTACCGCACTCCTTCCTCCTCCCCAACCTGGGCATGGGGTTAAGACAGAGTCAAAAAGACCGGAGTCGGGAGAGGACACAGGTAGCTTGCGTGGCCAGAAACGCCTCGGCTCGGATCCTATACCATAGACGCCCCATTAAGAAGGAGCCATTGCGACCTGACTCAAGACAACTGGTGCTTGGGTGGACACAGTGTTTGACCTTGTAATATGCTCCCCGTCTACGCGTGCCACAATTTGGCTGGCCCTCGTCCCACGGTCGAACTTGGCCTCCCCCTCATCTGGTTTTGCACGTCAGGAGGTGCAGCTGCGCCCAGCAAAGTCACGTGTAATCACGTGGAACGAGTTCAGAGCCTAGTTGGATAAGAGTGTACTGGTAACATCGTTCGGTAAGGCGTTCGGTTAGATTTTTTCTCGAGGTATCTTGGGGGTTTTGAGTGCAGGCGAGTCTCCCCCCCAACAGCCACTCTGATTGTTTGTTCGAGGTTGTCTCCTCTAGCGCTTTGGTCAAAGAACCTAACCACAAAAGGGCGGCAGTGGTAAGCAATCTTAGGGGCAATTCGCGGTCGCCATGTAACAGTGTCGTCAGTCTATAAGGCAGTCGGTGTGCCAGACCTCAGCCCTCCGCGCGCGCTGCTAGCCCTGTCATTGCTGCTGATCCACGACTGCTCATTCGCCAAACCCAAACGTCTGCTTATTTTGCAGCCAACCTTTGCTGAGGGCCGTTCCACTGTCTGCCACCTGTGTACGTGGCGGGTAGCCAGCGGCTAGACTGACAAGTAATCTGCCTCCCCGTTCTTTGTTGTCCGTTCCTCAATCTGGCGCCGTTGCCCGTCTGGAAGCATCGGAGAGGCGGTCAACTCAAGACCTGCCACGACACAGTTCGTCAAGACATGGAAGTGGTTCTCGGACCTTCGGTATTTGGTTTCCCTTGCCGGAGAAGAGAATGGGTCGCGCTGTTAGTACCCGCCACAGAGCAACACATGTGGGAAGGGGAGGTGCAACAGGTGGCACCATCGAGGTTGGCTAGATCAGGCAGGAACACAGCCGTACCAAGTTATGCATTTCACCTATTACCTAACGCGTCCAGAAGAATTATGCTTCTTGTTTGAAATACGTTCTTAAGCTAATTTGATAAGCAAAGAGTTTGCAAAGTTGGTCGGAAATCATTCAGACGAGATCCTACATTAATAACTTCTTGCGCCACTTGTACACACTACTGGATGTTGGTCTAGCGGAGGGCATTCACATAAAGCAGAATGATCCACAAAAACAACCTTTGCCAATTTGAAACACGACTTTTTAATCCAGTAAGCACGCCACAATTTTACGAAGAAAATTTCTCTTGATGCGCAGAAAATGGTATGTTTACGGATTTATCTGCTATTGGTATGCCCATTTGTTAATGAATTACAGACAATCAGCATGAAAACTGTCACTTCTATGGCGTCCCTATCTCCGCGATTTCATCTTCGCCGTAATCAACAGCACCTCGATCAATCCAAAAAAAGAAACAAATACACTGAATTCGCATGACATCACTTTGAGACGCATAGTCAAACACTCATTAGACACGCAGTTCATGTGAAAACTGATATTTCTCATCCACGTAATATTGGTTTCAATAATGACATGGGAATAGGAGCCTCCTCTCCCCGTAATACAGGTAGTCTTGAGCTACATTCCAGGAAGGGTGCTGTAACCCTGATCCTAGTCTCCCTGGAATTGAGCACAAAATCACCTGTTTTACAGGGGGGGGGGGCTATTCCCGTGTCCTATCAACTGAAAGGCGTTCACTATTAACTGAGAGTTTTATATGATGCACTTGTGTCACCTACTGTATGCGAATTTTATTTCGTCAGAAGAAGACAGCTTGTTTCCACATCGTTTACATATTTTAGTATCGCTTTTAGGAGACAACAGCGCGAGAAGTAAGTTGGAAAATCAGTCGGAAGTCGAAGACGGGCAGGTATATTATTTTTATAAGCCCCGGTCGAGTCCTCAGAGACAGTCCAAACCCATAATGACATTTTGTACAACCTAGGAGGAAGATGAAACCACGGGGGTGGGGGCTGGGCGACAAGCACCGCCAAACAGGACCTACTTCAGAGCCTTGTAGAGGGGACGATTCCAGCAGAAGAAGGCCGCCGGTGGTAGAATAACAGCCATTAGGATGGCCACGCCGAAGAAGGGTCCCGCGTCTGCTGTCTTGCTGATGATGAAGTAGCTCAGGGCACCGAACACGTCGAGGAAGAGGACCAGGGAGTAGGACATCCAGAGGTAATGCGCGTACTTGGCCAACCAGCGACTCTGTGAGGGAATGTCCGCGTTGAAATCAATCCGGACACATGGCCGGCAGCAACAGCCGCGAGGCAGCGGGGGCCAGTTGGGAACTGTTGGGCACAAAAAGAGCAGAGGGGAGGGATACTTTTTTCTGTACTTTCGGCGTAACCTGTGCTCGGTAAACAAACTCAACTCTCCCCTTCCATCAAAATGGGACAGTTTTTGCTTCAGAAGAAGAAGCGATCGCTAGAACAAGGGCTTTATTTGCCTGACGTTTCGGATTCTCACTAGCATCCATCATCAGAGACAGTGGCAGAAAAGGGTGACTCGTGCACAGGAAGTTGCAGTATTTATAGGATGCGGTCGCTATGCTACCGGGGTAGCATGGCTACTGCATCCTATAAATACTGCAGCCCCTTTTGCATGAACCACCCGTATCCGCTTTCGTCTCTGATGATGGGTTCGAGTGAGAGTTCGAAACGTCAGGCGAATAAAGCCCTTGTTCTAGTGATCGCTTCTTCTTCTGACCAACTAGCTCCTGGAACTCGCATCTTCGCTTGTATCGGTAGTTTTTGCTTCTCCCACTCCCCTCCTTATAATCGCTGGCGGAGACCAATGATTGGATACGAAAGGTCCGGCGACTGAGATACAGGAACGAGACGGGCAAGGAGACGAACTGGGGTCAGGACGGTCAGACAAAGGTGTGAGTCAACCGATCCACATCTTAGATTATGTTGGGATTGTGTCGCCGATCGGGTTACTAGACATGCTCGTCCGGTTATGTTTTGGAGCTCCATCTAGACCCCTCGCAGGCAGACGTACAAAAATCCGAAGTACAGTATATGGCGTATCTCATGAAATGTTGATCGAAATTCTGAAATGTTTTTTCGACTAAAAAAGATTGCCTAAATGAAGTTGCTATATTGATTATCGTGAAGCTTGATCCGAAAATATTTCAGTTACGCCAGAGGCCTGTCTTTGTATGCGCTTTTTTCCGGTCGCCCACAAAAACCGCACTTGGTAAAAGTGACTACTGAAGTAGCACGAACTTTTCCACTTGATTTTCGACGTCCGCATCAATTCAAATCTGTTTTGTAGGAAACGTACACAAAATGCTCCCTCTTACTTTTTTCTTTTCCTCTTTCCACTGCTGATCTTTGGAGAATTCTTAAGCGTCTCACTGACCAACGTAACACACTACCACATGTTGATGCCGATTTGGACTTTAAACGGACATTTTGTCTTTACTCCTGATGACCCTAATCTTCCCTCAAACGACATTACCAACAACCATGCATCTTCACTCCTGTGTCTGCGACAACAGTGGAGAAACATCTTAAACAGATCCATGGCTTAACGGTCGCCGAGCCGGATGGTGTCTCCCCATTTCTCCCTAAACCTCGTTGTTGTCAGAGAGCCCCTGTTTTGACGAAGTTTATTAACATGTCCTTCGTGGATTCCAAGATTCCTGACGCTTGGTGTACAGCAAGAAACACTCCTCTCCCTACGAAAATCACTAACTTTTGTCCTAGGCGTGCCTGTCCAATTTCCTTCAGCTCCGCACTTCTGAAGCTCGCTAAACGAATTGCCTTAGACTCCATTATGTCGTTCTCCTCCCAATCCTCCTACCCTTTGCAATTTGCATATAAGGCCGGACTGAGTGCTGTTGCTCTCGTGGTTCACTCTGCTCTAAGAGATCTAGATAAGCACTGCCGTGCTTACGCATGTGCATTTTTTGACTACTCCTCTGCCTTCAACAGCGTCGCGCGCCATCTCCTCCTTACCAAAACATCAGCGAGCGGCTCTCCTGGCTGGGCTGTTTCTAGGCTTAGGGGCTATTTCCGCAGTAAATTTGTCCCGTCTGGCAAGCGGAAGTCGACTTTCCTTCCCAATAACTGTGGAGTCCTTCAAGGTTCCATTTTATCATCCCACCTTTTCCCCCTTCACCCGAGATCACCAAATGGCTGCCTGCGTGTTAAACATGCTGACGATATGGGTGTTGGTCACCCCCTCAAAAATCAGGCTCACTTCCAGTTTTTGATGGATGGCCAGGATAAGGGCTTTGCATTGTCGTTGGAAAGTGGTTTCCAATTTAACAATAAGAAATCAATTACCATACAACGACATTTTACAACAGTCAAGCAATTTACAGATCGAATTCTGGATAATGTTGCCCATTCCTTACATTCTGAACTAACTGCTGCGAATTCTTCCCGCCCCATGCGCCGCGGTCTCTGACATGTCTCTTGCCGTACATAGGCATTCAGTAGAGCCATTTCCGTGAAATACAGATAATAGGACTTGAACTGTCCCCGTAGTAGATACTCAGTTCTATGCAAACCTAATTACTCTTGCATAATTTGTAAGCGTACGTCCCGGTCAAAATGGATGAAATCATGTCTGCTGGCAACTTTGAACGATACTTTGGAAATAAAGCGTATTCTCCACCCCTCTTTCTCATGTTTGAGTAAACAGATGGGCGCTTACCGACCCGGTTACGAAACGTGCTTGTTCCGTTGTGCCCTGGGGCTCATACCAGAACCCTCGCGGGCAGTCTCACAGCGACCAGTAGTAGACATAGATGAGATGATACCGACAAAGACAAGGGAGACCGGAATGGCCATTTCTGGCTTACTAGCCGTCATCAGCCATTCACACCCAACCCCAAGTGTGGATCGCTTGAGATTTTAACCCGGGATCCTTGGTCATGGAGTTTGACACTCTACCAATGAGCCACGCGCCCGTCGTCCTGTCGGTTATGATCGAGAACATCAATTATGACAGATGGGCGTTTATCGATCAGGTTACGTAACGTGCCCACCTATCATAGTTGATAACTGATGACGGTTAATAAGTCAGAAATGACCATTTCGGTCTCGCTTGTCTTTGTCGGTACCATCTAATTTATAGGTAATGTTCCCGATCGTAACCCGCAGGACAACAGGCCCGTAGAGCGTGGGATCGAATAACGCTCGAGGAGCAAAGAACGCCGAGTTGGAGGCTCGGCTGCCCCAAAAACCTGGGTTTGGGGGTAAGGATGGTTGACAGTCAGAAATAGCCACCCCAATCCTCCTCCCCCGCCCCCCTTGTATTTGTCGGTTCCCCAATGCCTGGTTCCTCCTGACGTACCCGCGCACAGAACTTCCGAATAGTTTTCCGCCATTTATGGGCTGACATGAGTGCTGTTGCGGTTGAGTCGGATACTGACAGGACAGGTTACCACTGTCTTCACGATCACTCCGAACTGTCAGTTTTTATCCACCAAGTGTCTGGTCTATACTGTAACAGGTTACTAACTCTTCCAGCTGAGTGCTCCAAATCGTTATGGCTTACTTACTGACACATACGCAAAGTTTTTATTAACCCAAATTACTCAAAAAAGACACAAATTGAGTCAAGGGTGGTAGAGAATACGTCAGAGTCCAGCCTATACTGTCACTTACTCAAGACTGAGTACGCAGGCTAGCAATGGAGGAGAAATGCTTCGTTTACGTGTTTCCTGTGTCTTAATCATGCGATCTACACTGTGCAGATCCAAGGCCAGGCTGAAACCTGCTCGTCCAAGCCAAGCTCCATCTGAAGACTGGAAGTGCGTGACGCGAATCGGACTCGGAATGCGACAAGGACTCCGCCTGAATAAGGCCGAAGGTGAACCCAGCGTGTGCGTTCAACACCTCCTATCACGTTGCTTCACAGCAACGAAGCAGAGACATAGCTAATGGCCGGACACCTCTCTCCCAGAGCCCCTGACAGGACTATAACCCCCGACCTCTGAGCGCATTAAACCCTCTCCCTCATACCTACTGTTTATTGGCTGATTAAATTCTTGCTACTCTACCCTCGCTTATATTACACTGTTAAGGGTAGGATGTGGTTTGGTGGCCCCACCTGAAGTAAACAAACCCCAGTCACCTCTAATACGGGACCAGTGGTGATAGGGGGTTTTTGCAGGTGGGGCCAGAGAACGCACAGGGACGAGGTCAAGTAGTTGTATGCAAAAGAGAAGCTATTGAGAATGCGCGGATGTACTTTCAATGGTTGAGAAATAGTTGTCCTAACACCAAATCTTAACTATAAGCCCTTATCTTAAACCCCAACCGCTAACCCTAACTCCACCCCCAACAGTATTGTGTCTATAAGGTGGGGTTACCAAACCACATCTTACTCTGTTAGGACCTGGTTAAGAATAATCGAGAGCGTATGCTTGCTGGACCTGAATTCTTAAATGGATGCATGGTATCACCGCTGAAGTTAATACCAAAGAAATGAACGTTGATAATTTAACGGTGGAAGTGAATGAACAGTAAAGTGGATTCAACAAGTGGTTGGCACAGCCGTCGATAAACCTGGTTAGTCTTCCGATAAAGCGCGTTACGCTTAAGATTTGAAGACAGCTTCTGAAGCACACAGGTTGGCGTGACGGTTTGACCGTCGTTGCCGACGACATCCACCGTGAGTTCCACAACAAGGTGAGAACAGGAACGGTGGCGTGCGCGCGAATTAGTTTATAGTGATAGAGGGCTTGCGCAGCATCTACTGCACTCCATTCTTCCTCTCCCACCTGGACCTGGTGTCAAGACAGAGTCAGAAAAACTGGAGGTGGGAGAGGGCGCAGGTCGTTGGCACGGCGAAAACTTGCACTTAGGCATACCACCACGAGCCCTGGTCTCCACAACGTACACTGGTCAGGAGTTTATACACGCATAGAAAAGGGGACGGCGGGGATCCCCCTCCCTGGTGCGGCATGAGCCTGCAACTGGGCCTGTCACCACATCCCCGATGTTCACATTTGTTGTGGATGCGCATTCCCGATAACGTCCGCCGGATTTCAATGTGCCGGTCGTGTTGGCCCAGCGCATCTACCGCATGGGTTGGCGCAGCCACACCAAAATAAGTAGATGCGCCATTGATGAGTCAGGCGCCGACTGTTCCTGCGATAGCACACGAGGCGTTGGCGGACGACTCCACCCGGTAGATCACACTTGCTCAGGAGAGGCAAATTAAATGGGCGTTAGCTCATTCCTGCGCAAGGCAATGGCGTACAACGACTGAGCGATGGGAAGGCACTGATAGAACCTCACTAGGGAGCTTGTTGCTGCTAGTCAAGAAATTGCTCATATCGGCACCAACAGCCCAGGCGCGAGAATCACACTCTTTCGGTCATCCAAGTCGTGGTTCATCGAGCGGTGACTGTTTGGGGTGGGGGTTGGAGCAGTTTCTTTTAGTAGCTGAGTCCCAGCATGGATGGCTCCATTCATCCCTTCGGCACATCAGATGAAGCTGCCAGGACTGTTCCGAGGGCGGTGAGTGAGGCCTTATCGGATGCCCGAGAGCACTCAACATGCTAGCTAGGCTAACAGGCAAGTTTGGGCCTTCCTGAGGCTCCTGTCAGTCCGCGGGCGACCGCTCATTCTCCCCCCTGCCTCCGGGGTTTGATCTCATTCGTGAATTGCGTACGTGTCTGTTGTTACGACCACAGGCGAGGCCAGAACACTCGGTTGTGAACAGTGTCGCCGCAGGCACATGCCCACACGCATACCTAGAGAAGGTGCGCCAGAAAACAAAAAAACAGAAACAATACCCCATGGCGCACAAGAGAGGGTCATGCAAAGGGCTTTCTCGTATCAGTCGGAGACCAGAAACCATAAAACGGAACAAATATGCGCTGAAGAGAGGACGGAATGGCCACTTCTGACTATTTGACCGTCATCAGCCGGTCATACCCAGGCCCCGAGGTTCGGAGCACCTAGAGTCCGAACGGGGGGTCTTTGCTCATTGAATCCAACGCCCTGCCACTCACCCATGGGCCCCTCGTCCTGTTGTTTGCGGTCGGGACGAGGTGCCGTAATCCGATAGGTGGGCGCCCTTTCTTTAATAATATATCCGATCGCAACCGACAGGACAAAGGGCCCTTGGGTCAATGGCGAAGCGTTGGACTCAGTGCCAGGTTCGAACCCCAAAGGCCCTAAACCTCTGCGGTAGGACATGGCTGGCTGATTACGGCTAATAGACTAGAAGTGCCCCCTCCGGTCTCCCTTGTCCCTGTCGCAACTCCCTCCAACACATATTCCTGGCCGCTATGTGACTGCCCGCGAGGCTTGCGCACTTAGTCCCAAGCCACGACGGGATGAGCTGGTCTCATAATCCGGTCGGTGGACGTCTCCTAAGAGAATAAATATGCCACGGGCGGCTTGCCTACATCAGCATTGGCGCAACGCCTATTAGTCGTGAACTTTGGAATCACTGTCTTGTCTTAACGGGCAACGGGTGGGAAATGAGATGCAAGGTGATGACGGACGCCCAGAGAGGACCCGCCTCCATATAAAGGCAGACAGTCTACCACACGAGATTGCAAAACCCGACTTGGACACAGGTTTTGCTGGTGGCCCACGCTTGAAAAGTCACACTGTTAAACAGGCGTAAAGGTCAAACTTGGAAATGGTGTTGCATAATATGTCCTGATTAAGGGGTAAGAAAGGGACGTTTTATTTTGCCTTGGAACCCCTAGCGAGCTGCACAGCGACGAGCAATGATTGAGCGTTGACTTGATGCAAAATTGCAAAAGTGAGCTCAGGTTCAAATATCGGGTTTGTCCGATCTGGGGGTCTGGGAGGCTTTGTCGACGGCGGAAAATGAACGTGAAAGGATTGTACCAGTCTTCCTTGTCCTTGCTGGTAATACTTCTTTATCACTTATTGCTCGTCACTGTGTAACAATGATAATAATAGTTCCTGGTCACGGAAAAGTGGCGTGCATCGTCGGCCTATTCTGATAGTCGAAAGAAAATAGGCATTTGTGTTATGATTTGGAGCTCAAATCCTAGGGCTCAGGCAGGCGGTCGGATAGCGGCCAACAAACAATAATTCAGAATTGTGTGCTGGCAAAAACGGGTCGATTAAATGACCGTTTCTGGCCTCCTTGCCGTCATCGGACGGACCGCACACTCAAGATTCGAGCCGCAAGTCAGTTGCTCACCGAGCAACATCCTCAACACGGGCTTACGTCATGTCGGCCGAGATCAGGAACAGTCAGTCGCATGAGGGTCGCGTGTGCCGATCTGTCCCGATTGTCAGTCAGTCAGTATCAGTCAGTATATTCGGAGTAGACGACAGAGGCCCTGAAAACTCCATTCAGGACAGATGTGATTGTTATTTTGACCGGTCATCAGGTAAAAATCGACGAGGCGTGGAATGGAAGCCCGGCAATCTGGTGATCCACAAAAAAACACCCTATCTACCAACCCCAAGGGATTCCCTCTGAGGGGATTAGATCAGCGCTTCAAAACAAGAAAGAATACCCGTACTCTGCTCTGTAATCAGGCTGGATGGGTGGAAACTGCTTCATGGCGATTTTACTGTTTTCTAGCAAAGATGACAAGGCATAAGTCCGTGGTTCAACTGGAGGAGGACAAAGCTCCCAGTCTGGCGTAAGGCTGGCAAACGAGAAATGATAATTCCAAGTTACCTCGTCCCTGCTGATGGCAGGCTCTTAAGCTTCTAGGGGAGGAAACCATGTGAAAGGAGAAAAAAACGCCCCGAGTCTTAGCACCAACGCCATCACTGGGAATGCAGCCATTCTGAGAATAATATCTGGCCGCAGATGACGTTTTCACAGTGATGCATAAAATGAAGAGAGCGGAGCACACAAACATTACCAACCAGAAGTTGGTGTCTTTTTCTTCCACATTTAAATACTTTGTCCTAAAAAGTTGTTTACTACTCAAGGTCATCTTCGTGTTCTGATAAGTTTTCGTCGGGCTAGACTACTTCTTCGGACCACCCATGCGCATGGACTTGATTGCCCATGAAGAGTGGTTTGAAAGGGTGTTCACAGGTTGAATTGCCGATATGTGGAGGGCACAAATTGAGGCTTGAATAACCGAAAAATAAAAATGGCCTTTAAAAAATGCCCTCCTGAACTCACATGAAACGCCTTCTTAAGAAAAGATTATAGAAAATGCAACATCAGGGTCTGAAAGAACTTTAGAGGAGATAAGCCAGTCAAGGTCAGGGTACAGCATGAAGATTGACGCTCGGTGCTCTAAAAGGGCAAGTCAAACAAGACCATAGTGGGGGTCCCTAGTCAAATACCCGGTCAAGCTAATCTGTGCGATCACAGCAGAACCTGCAAAGGACATACGAGGGTGCATGTCAGAAGTTCAAAGAAACGTAGGCTGTATGTATTCGTATGGTGCCTGCCTGTGTGCTGTGATCTAAACAGTTGTCAACCGATAAGAGAACTCGGTCCTACTGAGGACTGAGGGTCGAGTTACAATGACCCCCCCCCCCCCTTAAATGACACTCGCTTGCGTTGTATTCGAAATTCCCCGAGTGAAGTTCACTACGTGTAGAGTTGGGGACGAGGTCGTGTGTGGCAGGCGTAGACGGCCTATGCGAATCACTGCGTCCATGTCCGTCTCTGGTCGTTCTGACTGTATCTCTACCTTTGGAAGGCAGCGAGCGATGGGGGAGGGTGAGATGGACGCCGTGAAAGCCCGCTTCATTGTAAAGGGATTTACGCGCAAGCCACGGTTGCGCCAAACTCGCGTGGGGACGGGGAGGAATCGCGTCGCACGCTACAGCTGAGTTACTGTTTCACGCAGTCGTAGACACCGCGATGGGGACCACGTGACAGAGCTCTAGTCACAAGCTTTGGCTGCAAAACAGTCTCATAACGACCGACACATACAGTAGCTACAGTAAGTGGGCTAACTCATGAAATGCCGACAGAAATTCCGAAAAGCCTTTCCGTTTCGAAAAGATAAATTAAGTAGGGTTGTAAAGCCAATCATCGTGCAGCATAATTCCATAATGATTCAGTTACCCCAGGACGCCAGCTTTCCAAATAAGCTTTCTTTCGGCTGCATCCAAAAACCATACTCCGTAAAAATGTCCACGTTAGTAGCATGAAATTTTCACATTCATTTTGGATGCCCTTAAAGATTCAATCATATTTCATAGAAAACATGCATAAAAATATTCATAATTTTGCTGATTCAGTAGAAAATTGCGTCTTCATTCAATTTTGTACTCGAACGAAGGGTATAATTTGGTTTTATAAAACTTTTCCAATTCCCGAATAATTTTGAACCCGACCTGATGACACACTTGCATTCAGGGTTCCCAAACTACACGCCGTAAATTTTACGCGTACGGAAAACCATACATTTCTCTACCGTATTTAGTGAAGACCATATGGGGTTTATAAAAATAAGCAGTGGATTTGAACCACATTTTACCTTTACAAGCTACATTGGTAAATGTAGAGACATGACGTTTTATGAAGGGCCATTTCACGGCACAAAAATCTCACAATTAGAAACTTTTTAAAAACCGAATTATACCCCTCCTTCGAGTGTAAAATTGGAAGAAAACGCAATTTTCTAACAAATGAGCAAAAGAATGGATATTTTGATGCATGTTTTCCATGAAATATAATAGAATTTTGAAGGGCATCGAAAATTTATGAAAAAAAGGCATGCTCCTTAAGTAGTCATTTTTTGCGGAGTACGGTTTTTGGATGCAGCCGCAAAGACTTTTGTTCGAAAGCAGGCGTCCTAAGGTAACTGAATTATTACAGAATTATGCCGCCTAATATTTAGTTCTTTTCGAAACGGAAACGCATTTCGGAATTTCTGTTGAGATTTCATGAGTTAGCGCGACCTCGTGACCTGTTAGTTAGAAGTCCACGCCTCTAACCGCTGGGCCACGAGCCGGTGGCTCTGTCGGTTTCAGTTGGGAATATACAATGGTAGGGGTCGCTCACCGATCGTTCTTACGGAGCTCACACGTTCCGTTGTGCCTTACGGGCTCTCTCTCTCGAGCCCAACCAGCAGCCGCACAGCGGCGCATGATATAGGCAGTGTGTTATTACCGACAAAGAAAAGGTAGACTGGAAGGGCCATTCCAATTGCTGAAAAATAAAACCCTACCTAAGAAGGAAAGCAGGCCTGCCTCTGTGCACCAATGTTTGGTCGTAAAGGGCTCAATTCGCCGGACCGATGCAACTGAATAGAACTAAGTATTTCATCAGTCTCACTAGTCGTGGGCATTAGGATGTACTGCAAGTCTTAACACGTGACCGCGTAATGGCGTCTCGAAGTCAGCTACACGTGTGAGAGCATGTGAGTCCACTCACTTGCAGACCAATGGAGAATGAAATTGTCGCTTGACAATCAAGGACTCAATAAGTCAAAGCGACTGCGCCTAACGCTCCCGTTCTACGCTTTCATAAATAAAAAAAACAGGTAGAACGTCAGCAGGTAGAAACTTTTACCAGTTGGGGGGGAGGGTGGCGCAGTGCTTTTGCTATTGTTTTTTTTTCATAAAATCTGTTTAGCCTCCTTTTACTCTCAGATCTCTCGGGGACTACAAAATAGGTCGACAATAGGTCTCATTGTTGTACAATGAACGGTTGAGAGGGCGAGAGAGAGTGAGGGCAGACACACGCACACACTACTGCCTTCAAAGCCCTATTTCGAGAAATTTGTGTGAAAAATAGAGGTGTTGGGTGTGCGTCAAAACACTGACTGAAATCCTCGAGTGCGCATTTGAAAATTAAAAGAAAATACAGACGGAGTTTCAGACTGCGTTTCGAAATAACTAGGAGGGTCCGGACTAGGATCAAACCAAAATACTCCCCTCCACAGCATGTTGGCGTAAACAGAAAAAAAAATCGAAAGCCTGCGTGAACTCGAGATTTTTGAAAGATGACGTGGGAGACCGGAGATGTGCGGATGACGTAAGCGCAGCACACAACTCTGTATGCTAAGCGTTCTGTGCACGTGCCCAGGAGCCGACCCACCCAGTGGAGATGGTCAGCAATGCATCCGGCTCCGAACTAGCGAAAGTTTCATATGCCCACGGTCTTAGTCAGTTCAAAAAACCAAAATACTTGGGGAAAGAGTGGGACATTACGAGGTTGTTGGGGGATCAAATTGTCATGAATCGATGAAGAGACAGGCATTTCAGAAGCGTCTTTTGCCAAATCGCGGGAAAATAGGTTAATTAGGCGGAACGTTCTACAGAGCTGCCCACCTTCCGCAACAAAATTACGCTACCGGCGTTGTTGTCATGAAGATAACTAGAGGAGAGGCCAGAAAACAACAGCACGAGCGCTAACCGAGGTGTGCGAATCTCGTCACTAGTCGAGCCTCCACACCCCCCCTCGCCAACTCCTTTCTACGCAACCAGACTGACGGACACACACAGAGAAGACACGTGATCAACATCGGTCATCAGTTAGTGGTAGGGACACAAGGCGGTTCTGACTGACGAGACGATCAATGGCAGGGGGAGCTCGCCGATCGTTCTTACGGAACTCACTCGTTCTGTTGTGCCTTACGGGCTCTCTCTCTCTCTCGAGCCCAACCAACAGCCGCACAGCGGCGCATGATATAGGCCGAATGTTATTACCCTTGTCTTTGTCGGTAATAACATACTGAGACGATCAATATCTCGCTCAGACAAAAGAATCTATTATGTTCTTCGAAACGTTAGACACACTAGTTTCACAGGTTCCAGTTACTGCAGAGGCGCTACCTCCACTTCATTGACAGAGGATACCCACATTATAGACTGGGGTTGCGTCCCAAAGGAGACGCAATACTCTCCTTCCTGGTCCAACGCAACTGCTAGTTCTTTGCGCAATCCTTCCCCCAGCTGAGTGAGAGTTTCTATGTAAATATTATGGGCCCGGAGAACGGTCGGTGCTGTAGGTGTGCTGGATCACACAACGAGGTTCAGACCGGCTAACAGTGCGCTTTTAGCAGGCGCCTTTACCTTAGGCCTTTATGCTGTCAGGCATTATGCCAGTTCCATCCCCGGTTAGTTTATAGGCACAGAATGTTGACCGGATCCCGGATGAGGGCATGACGAGGCAGATACTGGGGGGATTAGTCCTCACGACAGACAAACGCCTGCATCACTAATAATAGATCCAAGGCGCTCAGATCTATCACGACGCGCTGAGAGTCGTAGGTTGAAAGGTTGCGAACCGATGGGATAACTCGGCCTTCCGGGGAGTATTTTGGGGTGAATTAGGGACTGTGACTCGGAATTAATGCGGCATCTATGGCGCTCTCCCGCGTGTTATAGCCGAGTTGCCCTGGCAGATGTGCGGACTAGGTGTCAAGGGTGACCTAGACATACTGTTTAGTTTTGTCAGACACTGCGCCCGACCCCGCCTCCGGTCGCGGAGGATGCTGGGTGACGGAGAGAGTGCAGTAGATGCAGCAAAAGCCACTCCGTGGGACACATGATGGGGGTCGTTCGCGATGATCTCGAACTATCACTCGCCTTCCCACAGTTGTTTCCTACTCTCTTCCCCCCCCCCCCGTCCGCCATGAAATCGGCAAAGGAGAGTCGTTAACAAGGCCGCGGACGCCTCCTCGACTGTTTTCACCAGCGCGTCGCGTGTACCCACAAGTACGGTTTCAGCTCTTCAAGTTGAGCTCACCGATACCGTCCAAAGACGCCAAAAGTATGAAATCTCCTGTCTTTTCACTTTGGATTGCAGCCTACCATCTTGCTTTTTGGTGCTGACGGCAAGCCAACAGGCTAGCCGGAGCAAGTGCGTGTACCAGATGCCCCTTCTGACAACTTTCTTAGCTGACTGCGTGTGTCACGACAACATGGCCCTCTGCGGACAAAGGTGCATTTAAGATTGACGATTTGCGGTTCTATTCGGGAACAGGAATGGAATTGCTCACTCTGCCGCCTCGACTGATTGATCACACTAATTTTAAATATCTGAAGAATTATCAGAGTTCAGCAATACGAGAGCTGCAGGCTTGAACTTCTCAAAAATGTGTTTCCACTACCAGCGTTCTAGCCACTAATCCTCTCCAAGTCCAACCAGGACGCGGAACATAGCCTGCCAGCTATCTAACAACTCAGTTAAACCGTGGCTCAACAAACACTGGAATGCTTTGGTGATAGGAGGATTTATTGGAATACCTCAATTCCACCTCACCGGCACACCAGTATCTGCCTGTGGTGGACGGTGCGGGTGATTGGTAGCGGCCAAAACATGCCAAGTCTTGTGTTTGTGACGCTTTAGTGGCTGACTGACTGGCCAGATGGGTGGACAACCACGTCTGAAGGCACTACTACTACTACTACTACTACTACTACTACTACTACTACTACTACTACTACTACTACTACTACTACTACTACTACTACTACTACTACTACTATTACTATTACTACTACTACTACTACTACTACTACTACTACTACTACTACTACTAACTACTACTACTACTACTACCACTATTACTACTAACTACTACTACTACTACTACCACTACTACTACTACTACTACTGCTACCACTACTACTACTACTACTACTACTACTACTACTACCACTACTACTACTACTACTACTACTACCACTACTGCTGCTACTACTACTACTGCCGCTGTTGCTGCTGCGCAGTCGAAGCTGGCCCGTTCGCCAGATGCGAGAGGTAGGTCATTTAGGAGTTAACCCTTATTGGAGGTGGTTCCACTACCCGACGAATTGGCCGCCCGCAGTTCAGTTGACAAGCAAAGCGCGTCTTCGCGGGGCAGTTCCTGTAGTCCTGGAGCTCCCGAATGCCCACCCACTGCGATAGAATATAGCCTGAGCAGGACCAACCCCCGAGTTGAAAACGAATACTTCTGGGCAAGGCAGTGATCAGCGAAGGCGCTGGCAGGAAATCACTAGAAAAAGGTAAACCATACCCGAGACATTGCCATAGCCATGCTCTGCACGCCACATCTCCTGTTGTTGCTGCTGGCGCTCTCTCAGATCCAGTTGCGCGGCTCGGGCATCAAGTTCAGCCTGACGACGTTGCAGATCAGCAACCGTTAGAGAATCCTGAGCGGGTGCAGCGGGCATCAGGGCGGGTTGTTCGGATTTCGACGCAGAGTAGGCGGGAGGGTCCAAAGGATGGGAGTCAGAGGGGCAGAACCGCGGGTTGGTTATTGGCCTGTTGCAGCTCACACGTTCCGTTGTGCCTTACGGGCTCTCTCTCTCAAGCCCAACCAGCAGCCGCACAGCGGCGCATGATATAGGCAGTGTGTTATTACCGACAAAGACAAGACAGACTGGAAGGGCCATTCCAATTGCTAAAAAATACAACCCTGCCTAAGACAGAAAGCAGGCCTGCCTCTCTGCATCAACGTTTGGTCGTAAAGGGCTCAATTCGCCGGACCGACGTCCGTGAATAAAACTAAGTATTTCATCAGTCTCACTAGTCGTGGGCATTAAGATGTACTGCAAGTCTTAACGCGTGACCGCGTAATGGCGTCTCGAAGTCAGCTACACGTGTGAGAGCATGTGAGTCCACTCACTTGCAGACCAGTGGAGAATGAAATTGTCGCTTGACAATCAAGGACTCAATAAGTCAAAGCGAGTGCTCCTAACGCTGCCGTTCTACGCTTTGATAAAAAAAAAACAGGTAGAACGTCAGCAGGTAGAAAATTTCACCAGTTCGGGGGGGGGGTGGCGCCGTGCTTTTCCTATTGTTTTTTTTCATAGAATCTGTTTAGCCTCCTTGTACTCTCAGGTCTCTCGGGTACTACAAAATAGGTCGACAATAGGTCTCACTGTTGTACAATGAACGGTTGAGAGGGCGAGAGAGAGTGAGCGCAGACACACAAACAGACACACACGCACACACTACTGCCTTCAAAGCCCTATTTCGAGAAATTTGTGAAAAATAAGAGGTGTTGGGTGTGCGTCAAAACACTGACTGAAATCCTTGAGTGCGCATTTGAAAGTTAAAAAAAATATAGACGGAGTTTCAGATTGCGTTTCGAAATAACTAGGGGGGTCCGGGCTAGGATCAAACCAAAATACCCCCCTCCACAGCATGTGGGCGTAAACATGAAAAAAAAGTCGAAAGTCTGCGTGAACGCGAGATTTTCGAAAGATGACGTAGGAGACCGGAGGTGTGCGGATGACATAAGCGCAGCACACAACTCTGTATGCTAGGCGTTCTGTGCACGTGTCAAGGAGCCGACCTAGCCAGAGGAGATGGTCAGCAATGCATCCAGCTACGAACTAGCAAAAGTGTCATATGCCCACGGTCTTAGTCAGCTCAAAAAACCAAAATATTCAGCGCGGGGAATGAGTGGGACATTACGAGGTTGTTGGTGGACCAAATTGTCATGAATCGATGAAGAGACAGGCATTTCAGAAGCGCCTTTTGCCAAATCGCGGGAAAATAGGTTGATTAGGCGGAACGTTCTACAGAGCTGCCCACCTTCCGCAACAAAATTACGCTACCGGCGTTCTTGTCATGAAGACAACTAGAGGAGAGGCAAGAATGAAACAGCACGAACGCTAACCAAGGTGTGCGTATCTCATCACTAGTTGAGCCTCCACACCCCTCCTCGCTAACTCCTTCCTACGCAACCAGACTGACGGACACACACACAGAGAGAAGACACGTGATCAACATCGGCCATCAGTTAGTGGTAGGGACACAAGGCGGGTCTGACTGACGAGACGATCAATGGCAGGGGAAGCTCACCGATCGTTCTTACGGAACTCACTCGTTCCGTTGTGCCTTACGGGCTCTCTCTCTCTCGAGCCCAACCAGCAGACGCACAGAGGCGCATGATATAGGCAGTATGTTATTACCCTTGTCTTTGTCGGTAATAACATACTGAGACGATCAATATCTCGCTCACACAAAAGAATCTATTATGTTCTTCAAAACGCCAGGCACACCGGTTTCAGTTTTCGCAGAGGCGCTACCTCCACTCCATCGACAGAGGATACCCACATGATTGACTGGGGTTCCGTCCCAAGGGAGACGCAATACTCTCCTTCCTGGTCCATCGCAACTGCTTGTTCTATGCGCAGCCCTTCCCCCCGCTGAGTGAGAGTTTCTATGTAACTATTATGGGCCCCGAGAACGGTCGGTGCTGTAGGTGTGCTGAATCACACAACGAGGGTCAGACCGGCTCACAGAGCGCTTTTAGCAGGCGCCTTTACCGTAGGCCTTTATGCTGTGTCAGGCATTGTGCCAGTTCCATCACCGGTTAGTTGATAGGCACAGACTGTTGACCGGATCCCGGATGAGGGCATAACGAGGCAGATACTGAGGGGATTAGTCCTCACGACAGACAAGCGCCTGCATCACTAATAATAGATCCAAGGCGCTCAGATCTATCACGACGCGCTGAGAGTCGTAGGTTGAAAGGTTGCGAACCGATAGGATAACTCAGCCTTCCTGGGAGTAGTTTGGGGTGAATTAGGGACTGTGACTCAGACTTAATGCGGCATCTATGGCGTTCTCCCGCATGTCATAGTCGAGTTGGCCTGGCATATGTGCGAACTAGGTGCCAATTGTGACCTAGACAGACTGTTTAGTTTTGTCAGACACTGCGCCCGACCCCGCCTCCGGTCGGGGAGGATGCTGGGTGAAGGAGAGAGTGCAGTAGATGCAGCAAAAGGCACTCCGTGGGACACATGATGGGGGTCGTTCGCGATGATCTCGAACTGTCACTCGCCTTCCCTACAGTTGTTTCCTACTCTCTTCCCCCCCCCCGTCCGCCATGAAATCGGTAAAGGAGAGTCGTTAACAAGGCCGCGGACACCTCCTCGACTGTTTTCACTAGCGCGTCGCGTGTGCCCACAAGCACGGTTTCAGCTCCTCAAGTTGGGCTTTACGGATACCGTCCAAGGACGCCAAAAGTATGATATCTCCTGTCTTTTCACTTTGGATTGCAGCCTATCTTCCTGCTGTTTGGCGCTGAGGACAGACCAACAGGCTGGCCGGAGCAAGTGCGTGTGCCTTTGATTTAAACTAGATGCCCTCTCTGACAACTTTCTTCCTGACTGATTGCGTGTGTCACGACAACATGGCCCTCTGCGGACAAAAGTGCATTTAATATTGACGATTTGCGTTTCTGTTCAGGAGCAGGGATGGAATTTCTCACTCTGCCATCTCGACTGACTGGTAAAATTAATTTTAAATATCTGAGGGGTTGTCAGAGTTAAGAAATATTGGGGCTGCAGGCTTGAACTTTTCAAAAATGTGTTTCCGCTACGAGCGTTCTGGCCACTAATCCTCTCCAAGTCCAACCAGGACGCGGAACATAGCCTGCCAGCTATCTAACAACTCAGTTAAACCGTGGCTCAACAAACACTGGAATGATTTGGTGATAGGAGGATTTATTGGAATACCTCAATTCCACCTCACCGGCACACCAGTATCTGCCTGTGGTGGACGGTGCGGGTGATTGGTAGCGGCCAAAACATGCCAAGTCTTGTGTTTGTGACGCTTTAGTGGCTGACTGACTGGCCAGATGGGTGCACAACCACGTCTGAAGACACACTACTACTACTACTACTACTACTACTACTACTACTACTACTACTACTACTACTACTACTACTACTACTACTACTACTACTACTACTACTACTACTACTACTACTACTACTACTACTACTACTACTACTACTACTACTACTACTACTACTACTACTACTACTACTACTACTACTACTACTACTACTACTACTACTACTACTACTACTACTACTACTACTACTACTACTACTACTACTACTACTACTACTTGCTACTACTACTGCTGCTACTACTACTACTGCCGCTGTTGCTGCCGCGCAGTCGAAGCTGGCCCGTTCGCCAGATGCGAGAGGTAGGTCATTTAGGAGTTAACCCTTATTGGAGGTGGTTCCACTACCCGACGAATGGGCTGCCCGCAATTAAGTTGACAAGCAAAGCGCGTATTCGCGGGGCAGTTCTTGTAGTCCTGGAGGCCTCGAATGCTCACCCACTGCGATAGAATATAGCCTGAGCAGGACCAACCCCCCCGGGTTGAAAACGAATACTTCTGGGCAAGGCAGTGATCAGGGAGGGAGCTGGCAGGAAATCACTAGAAAAAGGTAAATCATACCCGAGACATTGCCATAGCCATGCTCTGCACGCCACATCTCCTGTTGTTGCTGCTGACGCTCCCTCAGATCTAGTTGCGCGGCTCGGGCATCAAGTTCAGCCTGACGACGTTGCAAATCAGCAACCGTTAGAGAATCCTGAGCGGGTGCAGCGGGCATCAGGGCGGGTTGCTCGGATTTCGACGCAGAGTAGGGGGGAGGGCCCAAGGGATGGGAGTCAGAGAGGGGCAGAACCGCGGGCTGGTTATTGGCCTGTTGTGGCGGCGCGCGATACATGGTTTCTGCAGGGTATACGGAGGTGAAAGTAATTCGCAGGTGTTAGAAATGCTGGATAAATGGCTGTTCGACCACCATAACACTTTTGTGGCTGCGCTGATGAATACGTGCATGAGGTTTAAACGAAAGCCTGGCACTGAAGAGCACTCAGCAGGTACCAGTGGGATAAATGGGGGACGTGGAAGAGCGAAAAAGCAACGGGAACTGCGGAAGGAAATGAGATTTCTCTGTTTCGAAAACAAACTGACTGGCTGGACGTGAATACACCGACAAAATAGTTTATACTGCAGGGCACTCTCAAATTCCATCGCAACTACCAGAAACTGACGGCAGTTTGTTTTGTTGACTTTGTGGTAGCTTGCGAAATTGCCTATCGTGAGTTCCTGTGGTGGATAATGAAATCGAGCGATGCGTCGAAAGTATCGCTCCGATCAGGTTTACTATGGCCCCATCATCTCATGTGCTCTGGTTAATAACAATGTCATCCTCAACCGCTCGACATTCTGTTTGGTGTTCGAAGAGATTGTAACCTAGTTTGGCCACAGCAGTTGGTGATCCTATGGGCTACTTATCGCGATTTCGGAGGTGTTGCATTTGCACCAGAACGCCTACTGGGCTAACTCGACTATGTTCGCGGGATCACCGAGCTAACGTCAAACTACAATGATATACAAAATGCAGTGTGATAGAAGGGTGCTCACCGATCACCTTATTGGACGTACTTAATCCGTTGTGCCATAGAGCTCTCGCAGGCAGGCACATAGGGGCCAGTAATATATGCAGAGAAGAGAGTATCGACAGGAACTAGAGACTGGAATGGCCATTTCCGGCCTGTTAGTTGTCGTCAGCAAGTCCTATCCAACAACAGGTCTGGACGACGTGGGATTGGTGTTCGGTTTATTTGGTCATTGATCGTTAAGTAGTTCAATGTTCCACCATTAAACACGGGTCCGTTGTCCTAATGAGTGTGCCTGACGATACTATGGTAGAAGGGCGTTCACTGATTAGATTACGGGACGGCTAACAGGCCCGAGATGGCCATCCCAGTCTGCTTTTTCTTCGTCCATAGAATGCAGTCTCTGGTGAATGAGGTCGGTGTACATGCGAATGCCGGGAAAACTCAAAATTTCTCGAGCTTGACTCTTGATAGAGGGGAAGTATTGTTTGTAAATAATGACTGGCAGTTTGAAGAAATGCAAACTAAAGTGCGTGCGCGTGAAGTTGCCGTTAAACAAAGGATGATATCTTGGCAGAAACAAATGCTGCTCCCAGGGTTGCAGATCTTAGAGGGTGTTTATAGACCCGTCAGGTTAAATTAATTACGATAATTATCGGCATGTCACGAACATCCCTCCAGTCAGTTAACTTCCGCCGTCCTGAATAAGGGCATGTAAACTTGGAATATAGGCAAAAAATAAAGCCCGCGACAATCGTTCTTCAGAAGCCTCCTTTAGGTGGAGTACATTAAAGTCATCTCGAATAAAACACCCTATGCTTGCTGTGGCAACATCGCCAGGATATTTTCGGACATAAAATAGTTGCCGTGACACATCTCGAACTTTCTTTATTCTTGGCTAACTGGAGGCGAAAACAAGGAGGCCAGCTTAAAATCTGGCTCCACAAAGTCCACAACGACTTCCGTATCCAGTTGTCGCCGCTTGCGAAGACAGTGAACTGAACTCTCCAGAGCGTGCGTGCGTAAGAAACATTAGTGACGTCATTCAGGTTGGCTAGATCAGACGAGGTCGTATAAATTACAAGTAGTAAGGCCTTGCTTCTCGCCATATACCAGGCTAATTGCCTGAGCACGAGATAAAGCCACAAGTCTATTACGCTTGCTGATGCCGTAGTTAATCTGAGTTGGGACAACCAGAAAACAGTCCCTAGCCAACCCCAATGTTTTGGTGAGGACAGTGTGGATGGTGGGAATATGCCTCTTGCCCTTCGGCCCCATTGACTCCATGTCGTAGACTTCCAAAGAATAAAGGCTTGCTTGGTGAATTTTTTAAGCGTCGTCCCTCTTTCCTGCAATAAGAGATAAGCTCCACCCAACTGCGCAAACACTAGATCCAAACAAGGGGAATCTCGAATTTATCCACATAACTTGGAGGAATTTATGATAGTGCCCAAACAATCATATTATTTGATGATAAAGAATTCCGACTCAAGTGCATCTCCGTCATCTAGCGGATCAGCGGTACACTAAACCACTGATAGCGAAGACATAGTAACTGTCAGACGCGAACACACTTAAGAAATGCTCGTTGAGTAAGGTCTGCAACTGGAATCAATGTTGGGGCAGTAAGGTAAGTTAAACCTGAAACCGTCAATTTATCTGTCTGAGCTGAAAAGAGGGGAAGGTTGCAAGCGTTTGCGAGGACGCAGGACAGACCGTTCGGGTCCACTGTAAAAACTCCAGAGTGAACGGGTCGTTGCCCGGGTGTTGAAACAGAGTTCACGTTAGGTGAGGATCACTGAGTTGGAAGGTCATCTGAATCTCAAATCGAAGATCGCTCGTATCTTTCTACAGTCGTTCATCGGTGAGAAACTTTTTGATTAAATCTGCAAATGGCTTCAAAGATAGTTAGGTTTAGTTTAGTTTGATTTGATTTCTCGTTTAAAGAAATATCAACCTTATGATATGGATTTTGTTTGTCGATGTGCTGTACTCAACGACCAGGAACCTTAGTTTTGTCAGCTGTATGGCACACTACAACACTGCCCAATTAAGACACGAAAGGCGTTCGAAGTTTCCCAAAACTAAATTACTGCAAAACTTGTGTATTTATAAGTAGAAAGGGAGGAAAATCGGTCATAACAGAAACTCAGATGCTGTTCACCATCAGCACTGCGGTATACGCATCAGAGATTGGGTTTTACGATCCGAGACTATCGCTTCAGAGTGCATCGCTGTGAAGAACTCGAACTCCGATGCGGCGTAAAATTCTGGCATTGGATCATCACTGATATGACTTCCAAATTAAGGAAAAAATATTCTAGAATCAGGTAGCTACCTCATAGCTAGGTCGTGGCAGGCAACGAGGTATTTCAATGTCCTAGAGGGGTGTCGGGCAACGGTAGGATGAAGGAGCCCACTTAGCTGTCGGTGGACTGTGGATCATGTCATGCGGTAATGATGGCAATAGAGGTTTTACGGGTGGGGCAGCATTTCCGACAGTAAGCTGGCAAAATTCATGAAAACACAGAACTTGATTGGATTTTTGCCAACGGAGATAGGCGCGTTGGATAAAAAGTAAACAAAAGGTTAGTTTTTAAAACAATAACAGACTTTGAGTAATGGCTTGAGCTTACGAGAAGTGACTATTGTTGGCAGTGCAATGCCTGTAACGGCCAGTGAGCGGATGCCAAGATAAAACCCCATATGATACTACCCATAATTTCCCGGCAATTAGGTAGGGTCCTTCACCCTACCGTTGACGGGTGCAAACTTGTTTATGGTGTGACAGACTTGAACTACATGGACGTCGGTCTCCAGTCATATTCCGCCGTGTTTTAGTGAAAAGACCAAGCGCAGATAGCCGGATGTGTATGTGCGTAGGATGTGGCGAAGCTAAGTGGCCCATCTACACTTGCTAAGAAGACCTGGGTCCCCCTGCTTCCCACTATTTTGCCAAACCAGCGCTAGGGTACGTTCGACTTTTTGGATAAACATTAAAAGGGATGCACATGAACGTTGTGATTATTATAATAATTTACTCGAATTGTGCCTCCGGCGGTGCATAAAAACGTGATGTCGCCGCTCCGTTTGATATACATCGGACAGAGTTAAGGACTTTTGATATTATCTGCATACAAAATCTAACTTCCCAGAAAGTAAATATTTTAGCACAAAAACGAAAGTAGGAAGTATGGAGTGTAATATCATCATGAAAGTGATTGCTGTGAACACATCATAATGTGGTGTAAAAGGAACGGACCGTTTGCGCCCACCGGCCCGAAGGGATTGTAATCTTCCAGAACATCCGCTTTTAATTCTGACATCACAGAACAAGCCGAAACACTACCGATCCAGACGGAATCGAAATGAGAGCCGCTGGTATGAAACGATCTGAAGCAGAAAGGTCGTCCTATAAAGGCAGTTCAAGTGTCCAAGAAAGAATAAGGGACAGATACTCGGGGATGAAGAAGTTCTTGTATTCGACTGGTTGGTCGGCCAATTTTCCTATGTCCTATTATGCTAAAATAAAGATTTTGAATAATTTAATGTTCTCCTTCGATTATTCGCATATATGTAGTCAAGGTAGAACACTGAAATGTTTGGAAATTCTCTCTCTCAAGATTTGGATGTTAATCGGGTAGAAGAATGTTTACATACACATACTCAGCATAATATGAGGGACCGAGTATGAAGTGTATGCAAATATTTTTCTTTCCGTTCTTGCTATTTTTTTCATTTTCCTGTGTATTCTTCCCACATTCATCGCATTTGTCTATTTTTCTCTTCCCCTATCTCCTTTAGCGGTTGGTCTTTATGTCTTTGTTTGGTTTCCCTATTCCTTTTGTAGTTTACTGATCGCTCCTTGTCTCAGGACGTTTTCGGTGGTTGTGGGCCGTCGTTCTACTAGTTGCTGTCCGCCTAACCCTATTTCTCTATTTTGAATGGGTTATGATCTATCCTCCGGGTTCCGAATCTGCCAAGACACTTTAGTAAAGTAACAAGATATTCGATTGTTTTTGATCCTCGAGTAATTCCTTCTTTGCCCAGATTTTCAAAAGTTTTACCACTTAGACCTAAAAGCAGGGTCTGTCTGTATCCGATGTGTAGCGGCTGCATCAGCGGCCTCTTCTCCGGCTTCATTTTAACGGTTAGTGGCCGCGACCACCGTTGACAGGCCGTGGACACACGGTCACCCTCGCCGGCTAAAACTGGGGCACCTCCTGTCCGCCTGCAGTGGTTCCCGAATGCCCTCACAAACTTTCCTTACCTCACGCGCTCCGGCCGATGCGGCTTGATACCCCTGAGCCCTTTGAGTATTCACTTCCTTGACATTCGTCCTCTAATCCGTCCAATTACATGACCAACACTCAGTAAGTCACCCCCCTCCTGCTGACACAGACATTCACTCCCGCGTAAAAAACACACTGACGTTCTATAGGAACGGACGCTTAGCTCTGTCATAAGCAAGCAGCCAACACATGGTAACCTGCCCTGTGTACAGAAAAACCCTGTTCTCCCAGCTCCCTGACTTCTGAAATAAGACGGAAAAAATTATTTTGTGCGGTTTGAGTTGATCTCACATCTTTGACCGCCACAAATATAGTCAGGCCCGATGACTTTGCCTTGGGAGATCTTTCGTCTTTTTATGGCCTGCTAAATCATTCACTCCAGCCAGACGTGAAAATAAAAGCCCTGAAGGCATTCCGGATCGGAAAAAGGAGTGAGGGCAAGAATGCAGCACTACTACCTTGTCCTCACAAAATTATGCTAAAGAAAAAAGACCAAATCAAGTTGGTCCTGTCCGAAAAGCTAGCTTCAGAAAGTCGCACAAATGGTTTTCTCCATATGTTAACAGTATAGCCAATCGGTCTCTCAAAATTATGCTGTAGAGCAGAAAGGAATATCAAGTTTATCCTGTTTAGAAGAGGCACCCTCTGTAACTTGCATGAAAAGGTTTTAAATCTGACTACCAGCCATCGGAATGGCTGAAACGCGGGGAATTTGCCTCGGAACTAAAATCATGACGGAAGGCTGCCTAAAACAACCTGACTAACTTCAAGTGGAAAATGAAATAGAAAAATATCGGGTTTAAGTGAATACAGCCAGTAGTACAAAGAAGGACGGCAGCTACTCAGTTAATGCAGACACCATCTTAGAACCAGCCCTAGAAGCGACGGCACAAATAAGCCTTAACACCCAGTGTTCTGGCCGAAGAAACAGGCGTTGACGAATATCACCAAGCAACGTAACAGGCCAGTGAAAATGACGTCCGAGACAATTCGGAAATGCCCTCAACAGCAAAAAGTGCAGTCGGAAATTACGCTGAAGCAAAATTGAGGTGCTTGTATATTAATGTGCAAAGCATTATATTGACACGCGGTGAGCTGGAATTTAGCTTTACCGAAATCTCTTCAGATATTGTAGCAATAACCCAAACCTGGAGGTCCGGAAATATTAATGATAACGGAATACCTTTAATTGCATGATAAATATGCCGAAAGGACAGAGAACATGGTATAAATAGGTGGCAAACTTCTGAATTTTACATTCTTTCATCTGGACACTGGCACACAGTCAGTTCAGATTTCCAATGCTATCTTCATCCGCACATGTGTGTGTGGAGTGGAATCATGCAGGGTAGTGTACTCTGCACGCTATTATTCTGCCTTTTTAACAACAATGTGCCGGATTTATTTCAGAATAATAAGCCCTTCATGTATGCCGACGATCTGAATGTTGCATATAGATATAAACCGTAAGATCGTGACACCATGCTTGAGCCCCAAAAGAGCGACCGACGGGTCTTTGCCAGGTGGCGCCGCAAATGGCGCCCCTCGCCTTCTTGGCACCACTGTTCAGTCAGAGTGGTGGCCGACTACACCGGACAAACGTAAGTATTGACGGCCACGATATAAATGTGCCGGTCGCTTTTTAATTTCCTCAGAAATCAACTACGACATAAACTAGATCAGTTAATTCGAAGACTACAGGACCAGACCAAAAATTTGTATACAGGAATGAATACTACTCAGATAGGCGCTGTGGCTGACTGACTTCGGCCCAAACATTCGTACATAGAAATCCCGTTCCATGCTCCAGTAATCCACTGCGAGAAGGCATTCAGTCGGACGTACGTATTCGCCGGCTTCCTCTGTGGTTTACAGGGATGACCACACAGTCGGTCCGTACGAGCCAATTCGAAGAATTCGTCAATACATCAGGGACTTTGACGGCCTCTGGCAACGGAGTAGGATTGAACGAGATCGCCGCGCGATTGTCTGTAAGTGAAACGAAACAGATTTTGTTCAACCAGATGATCAGGATTCTTTATCATATTCGTGGACATCGAATATACTCCTTCCAGCCGTTCAGTAAACTTCTTGAACCACATTCGCCAGGCCTGAAAAGCAAGCCGTTGCTCAGGAGAACTAAATAACTACGTATCTTCTTTTCAGCTCCATCAGCTGTGTTTTAGTGAGCTACGGATATGTAAAGGCAACGGGCAATTGGATTAGGTCATGATTTAAACTAGCGTTAGTAAGGCGTTATCATGTTACTGCAGCGTATGCATATATGTAAATGTACATTTATGTTAAAATACCGTTTACAAAAACACCCAGGTCTACAAAATTTTTTTGGCCAAAAGACCTTCATTTTAGAGAATCTGCTTGCATTAGTTTTGAAATCCTGAAAACCAAAACCACTATTTCATTTCGTATTTTTGAAATGCTTAGGTTACTACAATAGACATGTATTTCAACGGCATATACTAATATTCATTTTCTTAGAAAACTATTTTAATATTATTTTTCGCGATAATCATAATTAACTTGTAATGAGAACAACTGATGACCGGTACCGATCATACCTGTGACCGATTTTAATTAAGATTCAAGATTTTCAAACTATTCAATGCAGAGTCTTTAGCTGTTAATATTAAAGCGTAGTGTATAATGAATCTGAATTAAGAAATATTATCGAAAGGGGAAAGTCAGCCTATCAGGATGGAATTCCACATTGTCGCGGCCTTGAACGTAAATGAAAGCCTTCGTGTTACATTAATACTGACTGTGGAATTGCCATCACGAGTAAAACATCGTCTACAAATAGCCTCTTTAGTTCCAGCTATATTTTTTTTAAATGGGGTGGTAATTTTTTCGGAAGTCTGATTTTTTGTGGAAAACAAAGTTCCTGATGAATGATTGTAGCAGAACTGTTGAACTACGAATACTTCATTTAAACTTAGTGTTAATTTATTTTAACGATTTCTAAAATAGAAGATGTTGTCTTCGTTTAGCATAAAAACACATACGAAATTCGAAAAATTGAGAAGTGTATGGTTGGACATGCCGTTAGCAAAAGTGCTAGTTTGGAGTTCACAGCGAAACTTTATTTCTGTCAATGTGGTTTTAAAATCTTACTGCTATTTTACGAATAAATGCGGCTTAATTCTGATAGGCGTCTCACAAAGCATGCTGCTTTTGTTTCCTTAACCGTGGAGAAAAAAAGACAACGGATCTCTTGGTATGAGTCTCATAGGCTTATTGTTTTTGACACTGGAAGTGCTAAGCTAGAATTAATGAACGTTATGAATATTTAATGGTTATCAAAATGCGTTTGATTGAACACATTTTAAAAATACCTAAAGTGGGGTTTTTCCTATCTGGTTAATAACAGATCTTCCAGCAATTTTTGAAAAATGCTAACGTTTAACGAAAATGACTAACTGTGTTGACTTTAACCCAAGGGGGCATTTTAAATACAAAATGCGCAATTAGACCCGGTAAATATGCTAGGCAAAATGTTTATAGGTTTTTCTAGAACAAGGTCGGTCAGGTTTGTAGTTCCTTCATTTCTATTATATTTACCTCAAATAAATCTCCTGTTTTGAAGGTAAGTGAAAGCCTGTTATAAGTGCTCTCTCCATCTGAGCTTTCAGGATCTCAAAAAAGAACGTAACCATTAGAAGAATACAGAATGTGAACTCCCCTCTGTAATACGGATTGCCTTTATTTAAATTTCAGGGAGGTTACCTGGTCGCATGTCCTAACCCTGACCCTAAAACCAACGATAACCCATACCTCAACACTTACCTCAACCCCTACTGTTATCCCACTTTAACATTCGCCTTATCTCTAAATTTGGCGCTAGGCCACCCGCATTAATGGGACACCGTTTTACTGTCTACATAGTTGTTGTTTCCGTTATCTTCGATATTGTTTTTTTCGAAAATATCTTAACTGCGACAAGGAACAGTTATTCGGACACTTGCGCTAGCGAAAAGAACAACTTTAATTTTTTAGGATGGACCATGCGGGTGCAACGTTTCGAGCTTCAAACCTGACGTGGGCGCCTGCAGATCTAAACGATTGTTTTGAGGGTATACCCATTTCCAAATCTGTTCAGAGTGGTCGATTAGCCGCGTCCTCCACACAAACAATCGCCGTCGCTACAGACGCTTCACGTGGCGGCAATGTAGCTTTTATTCCAATCAACCGGGTGAGCACAAATGTTTATATTTAAATATATTTTTCACGGCGTTAAACGCTAACAAAGAATTCTGAGGCTGATGGTGCTATTCAAAATTTTGTTTTTTGTCATGCGCTTACATGCTGTCCAACGATTGACCTTGTTTTACCTTGTCATTAGGTCTCAGTCCGTCAACTATAAGAACTACGACAATGTAGAATTAAGAAGAAACTTTGTATCTGACAATTTTAAAACCTACAGATGTGAATACCGCAATGCCACTGGGCTAAAGCTATCAAAGAAGCCAAGTTCTAGGGCGAACTATGATTCATGACAAAAATAAGTTCTAGACTGAAGAATTTTAATATTAATCTAGACAGGACTTTGGGGTGCACCATGGATTTATCGTCTTTCTTCGTAAATTGTCAATAGCAAAACGTTTATAGATGCCAATCTATGTAACATTAATCACAACAGGATTTAAGTCACTCTTATCCTTGGTAGTGTGTCCACCACGAAAGCGAAACTGATATTGGGAGCCGATGCGCAGAGTACGTCTCATTGTTGTCAACCGAAATTAAATAAAGATGATTGGGAGTGAAATTGGTCCCAGTCGCTGAACTTCTGACAAGTTTTTATTAACGCATCCTGCACACATAATGAAATGCTGTTTAGATCGACTACCAAAATTTTAAAGTGTTCAGTGGCCCGGTAAACGAAAGCACAACCCAAAACAAGAACCTTCTTTGGAACAATAACAGTATGTGTGCTACTTCATGAGATGTTAACCAAAATTCTGGAAGGCATCTTCGTTTCGAAAAGATTATTTAAACAGGACTTCAAAATTCATCATCGTGCAGAAAGCTACTCCTTCTATCAATTTCACACTAGAAGGAAGGGTATACTTGGTTTCTAAGTTTTTTCTTTTGAAACGTTTTATGGCCGTGAAATACCTGTTCGTATAGCATCGTATCACTGTATTTACTGATGTGGCTAATATAATTTAAAATAGGGCTTAAATCTACTGCTTAATTTATGAACTCCATATAGGCTTTTCTTAATACCGTCGAGAAATGTATGATTTTTCGTAAGCGGTGAATATACGGCTTGTAGATTTGAAACCCTGAATGCAAGCCTAACGGCAAATCGGGTACAAAATTATTCGGTAATTGAAAAAGTTTTTGAAAACCGAATTATATCCTTCTTTCTAATATAAAATGTAAAGAGCATTTAATTTTCTGCCGAAAGACTAAGCTTTTCAAGTCGTCACAAAAGTGCATGAGATTTCCTTCTGAGAACGGCTGATTTGAACATGTGTGCAGATGAAAACTGTGGTTTCCAGTCTGTCGAAGATTACATTTGTTGATGTTATTTATTTATTTTCATTTATTTATTTGTTAATGCAATTTGGTTTATAAATCTGATCTTCTGGCGAGTAACGCACAGTAATCCCACTTTGAAAATCGCAGAGATCAGGGTTTGCAAAAATCATTACTGATTGGTTGCCTGTGACCTGTTCGCAGGCTTCACTTCTCACTATTCGGGCTGGATGAGACCGTTTGTCTCATCGGTCCAGCCAGAACGGCTAGGAGACGGAAAAAGTTACTTTCAGACGCTAAATTTGTGAGCACTGTTCCTATTAGTGATATTCCTCGTGTTATCCTAAAATTTCTGTTTGAAATTACGCAAAGTACAGTTTTTGAGGAAATCTTCCCGAAATCTCTAACAAAATGGGACCTGTATTAGAATATTTTTCTTAAGATTTCCAGCAAATCAGATATGTGCGCTGACCCTAAAGTGTAGTAAGCTAGTGGACTGCAGTGATAGATATTGTCTTTGCTGTCAGGCTGCCAAACTTTTACCGCGACCCAGTTTTTAACAATGGTTAGCAAACAAAAACAAGTAAGATAAAAATGGCTAGTTTACTCCACCCGCATCGATTACTGAGTGCATTTGTTACGCCGACGCCACATTAAACCGAAAGTTAAAACGCACCTGTCATATCATATCCTCTGAACGTCCAACTAACATATCCCCGACTTGGCTGTCTGAGTTCGAGTGGTAGTAACTTGCTGACATCGACTAGCCAGTCAGTCTATCTATCTTGACTATGCCCCCTCAGGGCTGATCGACTCATTCTCTCTGTAGCCGCATACGCAGTTGATAGATTACGCCAGAGTACTTTTGAGAGCTGTGGTGCTTTGTCCTTCAAGAATCCACCCGTCGAGGTAAGAAATCGTAAGCTTGAACATGGATGCTCCCTGGGGGATCCCGACTGCAAACTGCAAGACCCAGAACCCTGACACCGTCATGTATAGTAGTCCCCGCATTTGAAATTGCCAGCGCTACCCAGAGATGGCATTTATGCAATCAAGGCTGTAGCTTCCTTCCAATATCTTAAGCATACTTATGGTTACCGTTCCTGCAGTCGTTCCAGTAACCTGTGGCAAAGTTTACCCAGCAAGTCCATTTAACACGGTTGGCACACCTAAATTTATCAGGACGAGTTAAAACCGGAGACTTGGAAGGCTGCCAGCTGATTGAATATCCTGCTTCTCTCAGGCCAGAGATTCAGACTGCGATGACCGCTTCTTAATGTAACCCTTCTGCTCACTTTGAATCGGAGTCGCCCTCTGAGATGTTTCTTCGAGGACTTATGACATGTCTGCGGAGACCAGGCTGTGTGCGGCACGCGTAGACGGATTGCACAGTTATATAAACCACTGCACCCAACCCCGCCTCCGGTCGTCCCGACTCTGTCTTGCTAGCCGTCCCCCCCCCCACCATTTTACGGGATGTACGTGGGACAGCATCGTTGGCAACGGCCGAGCTGATGTTTATACGTCGGTGAGGCGTGGCATAGCGCCTGTGGGGACCACCTAATGATTAAAAGAATCTGTACAGTAGGCGTTTGTCCAGACTTTTGGCCCCGCTCAGCGTTCTTTGTCCGAAAGTATGTGCACAGAGTATCATTTAGCTTTCTTTATTTCCTGATCGTTCCTCCCCCTCCACCCTGAACTGCGGCCGGGACCCATACTTTGATGCAGAATGTGGACGCAACAAGGTCTATCAGCAAATGAGTAGCTGACAACGGTTCGCAACTTCTTTGCGACGTGAATCGAGTTACGACTCACTTACCAAGGCTCACAAGCTTGGGAATCTACGTTTTTAATCGAGTTCGGAGTTAGCGAAGTTCAAAAGCCGCTGCAGAAGAAATTAAAATCACACCACCGGCGGCTGCTCAGACAATAAATATGAATTTACATCAAGGTAGAGGGTTAGCCTCTTGGCACACCCATGTGTGTGACAGAACAATCCTCCGGGTCCCTTTTGGTCTTAAGAGGCAGAAAGTGGAGCCAACTTCCTCAGACTAGGAAAGAATGCTATTTAGGGGCCACTCACACGGAAAGCATCGTCACGTGACCCGGCTGAGGGTAAGTGTTAAGACAATTTTCCAGCCAGCATCATTCATCGGCTGTAGCGCAGACTGATCCTTGGAGCAGTCTGAGTTCTTACTTCGAGCACCACGTAGAGGAACTGAAAAATGTCCCCTTCAGGTCACGCAAATAGCGGGTTTCGGGAGACAACTGAATCACTGAAGTTCTATTTTTTAAAAAAAGATTTTACTTTTCACGTAAACAGGATACCAGATTCTTCAGTGGCGTGATTTTTTTCCTCACAGAGGGTGGTCCGCGAACTTGACAGCTCACGTAGTTACCCTCAGAGATGACAGCTTAAATCTTGCGGTGAAACTGTTAAGCAAAACTGTTAAGCTCCTAAATAAAGTACCTTGGCGTGAGGTGCTGCGTTTAGCATACAGCGAAGTCCTCTCATAACATCAATCCGCGGGATAAACCAAGAGATCTACGGATAAATCTTGAACACTTTGGATCTAACCTACTGGCGAGTTATTTTTAGCACGGACAACGCCATGCATGATGAGATGCCACGAAGGATAGGACTCCACGAATGTGCAGATTAGTCTGAAAAAGTCGGCCACAGCAGTAGGATTTATGACCAATGAACAGACCGTGGATAGTAGAATCACAAGGCACGCCGACGCAGACGGGCCACTCATCACCTCGTCTCCCTCGATCTATTCAAACGCAAGTACATGTTGGATGATTTGTGCAGTACGAAGTGCAGGCAAAAACGTGCACAGAAATCTACACAACTCCTTTTTACCAAACAATCTGTTGCGCAGAACTAGCTTTCGCTAGAAATATTGGAAAATCATGCCACACCCTGTCTGAGTTTGGCAGGAGAATAAATCTGCCCGTCATACTGAGCGGGAATTTGTGGCGGTGAGCAGGGAGGATTGATGCGATTGGATGAGACTGGTTGGGGTGGGGGGGGGTGGCGTAAGGCCACCACTGGCAGTGTATTTGTGCTTCCACTTCGCAAGGGTCACATGCATGCTTTGCTCCGAAAACGGACCCCGCAGTAGATGCACTGGAGCAACACAGCGGCTAGATCGAACTCCGGAGGGCGTTGTCAGGAATGCGTACCCATAACAAACGCTATTGGGGATGTGGTGGTAGGCCTAGGTGCGGAATTCCACTGCCCCAATCACCTGCGCAATCCACCGCCTCCGGTCCTCTTGGCCCTGTCTTGTAGCCGATTGGCCGATCGGTATTTGCTGTTGTAATCCAATGTCTCTGCTACCAGAGCAACACCATTTCGTGTAAGTTCAGGTCTCGTATATCGTCAGTGCATCAAGAGGTATCCCAGTAGCTATTTTGTGATCAGTGGATACTGTACTGGTTTGAGTGTCTCCGATAAATATTCCTCTGCCACATGATATGGAGTTTATCGAATGTCCAAATTCCGATGAAATGACCGTCCTCATAGATCTTCAGCAGACCATATGGTTGACTCCGGGTGTCGTGGGGACCCCAAAAAGTCTTCCGTGGTGATTTATATGGCCCAACCAAACTACCCCAAACCACTGAGCCAGCATCTATTAGTATCAGCAAGAGCAGCTGACGTCGGGTTATGCACACAGAAGAACTATGTGCACGTTCCGCGTTTACAGTTGCCAAAGACCCCTTAACAGCAAGCAATTCTTCGAGCTCCTCCCTACCTCCTGATATACCTATCACCGGCTTTTATTATGCCCCTTCTAATATTCCCACCTCCGCTGGCGTGGAAAAACAAATTTTGATCGACTTCTCTTATCCTTTACATAAGTTGCTCGACCCCGTTCCTACAGTTATTGGGCAAACTCATTAAATGTCAACAGAAATTCCGAAATGCGTTCTAGTTTCGAAAGAATTAATTACGTAGGGTTGTAAAACTGGTCAGCCTGCAGCATAATTCTATAATGATTCAGATACCTCAGGGTGTCGGCTCTCGAGTGAACTTATTTGCGACTGCATGCAAGAACTACACTCTGCAAAAAGTGACCGAATTATAGTCGTCTTCAATCAAATGTAATTAAATTTTCAAGGGCATCAAAAATCAATGATAAAATTGCATGCTACTTAAGTAGCCAGTTTTTGCAGAGAAAAATTCTTGCATGCAGTCGGGAATAAGTTCATTCGAAAGCCGACACCCTGAGGTAACTGGATCATTACAGAATTATACTGCGGATCGATTAGTTTTACAACCTTACTTAGTTAATCTTTTCGAAAAACGAAAACGCATTTCGAAATTTCGGTTGGCATTTCATGAGTTAGCCCACCTACTGTATATATATGCAAATGTAATTACCGATAAAGACAGGAAATAATTTTTTGCAACTTCCTTTCAAGCAAGACTAAAGCTCTAATTAGCGATGGGGCTCTGATCATGAGCTGCTTACCTGCTGCGCAAAGTGCGAAGGCAGTTATGTTGCTGCTCTCCGTCTGTGTAGAGTCGGACGTAATTTTCTCTCGTAAGACCGCGCCCCTTTACATGGAGTTGGCCCGAATTCACCACTAAACGCGACAATCAGGGCTTACCCACTTAACTCCTAAGAGAAACTCCCTACAAACCACAACTGACAGCCAAGTCACCTCGAGCCTCCAAGACTACTCAAGGCTTTCACCGCAATCCGAATGTTATCGGTGACTCGCTCGACTCTGCCAATACCATGTAAGTTGGTTGTCGCGGCAGCTTTTGAGACACGACAGAGTTCTGGACTAGTTGGTGCCATTCAAATGACTGTGTGTGTGCATGTCCGTTGCCGATGCGCGTGCTCTCCACTTCACAAATGAATGCAACACTTGTCAAATTGATCAGTCAAAGCACATACTCCTTCATCCCCACTTGACTCGATTTCTCCGCCCTCCCACGCTAATGTGCCCGGCGCCCATGCGCACAGGGCTTTGACCGACAATTCGGCCGTCGTTACCGACGATGCACACCGTGTGCAGTGGAGCGCGCGCAGAGTAGGTGATTTGTGTCTGAATCAGCTTACATTGATAGTAGACTTTTGCAGCACCTATCGCACCCAGTCATCCCAAACCTACCTGTGCTCAATGTCATGACAGGCTGTGGGCGGGATCGGGCGCAATGATTCACAAGAATAAACAGCACATCTACGCGCGCCCCACACGCCTAGTCCTCGCACCAGGGTCTCACAGAAACCAGCTGAGTGGGAATGCCATAGAGGTCACGGTAAGATGGAGCCACTGCAGCTCGGTCTAATTATCTCGTCAGTTGGCAGTCTTTCAGGCCATTACTTTTGGCGCATCGTGCTAGTTTACAAGCTTGACAGATTTTTTATAGTTAGCAGTATTTGCTGAAGTTCCGAGGGGGTGGGGTGGGGGACGCAGTCCCCAAAGTCGACCTCGCTCCCTCTCTTCCCCCTCTCTCCCAGGCACCAATCCGCTGTCCGAGCCAAGCAGCCATCAGTTGCGAGGATTGGGCGCCAGTGGCTGGCGTGGCTTGAGTCTGCACCTAGCTGTGTCACCGCACACCCTGTATATTTGGCATTTGTTGTTATGGGTGCGTAGGCCGACTAACGTGAGCCAAGTCCGCATCTACTTCCCGGTGCTGGTTCAGCTCGCCTCCGGCTTGTAGGGGCCTTCACACAAAAATGACATGACAAGGCACTGGTCGAGTAATGGATGCCCATCGATCCTCCGTGCGACATCAGTGGTGAGGTTGAGAGGTCGCATGATCTGCGCAGCAGAGTCCACTTTTGAGGACAAGAAACGCACGGCGCACATGGGTTTGGTGTGGAAAAGGCGCTCTCACTGTCGTCCCCCCCTCACACGCACACCTTTTCAAGTGTGCCTGTGATGAGCTCGACACTGCTATCCCCTGATTGGCTAATTTTTCCGCCTTCAGCCTCCCCTGGCAGCGAACGTGGCATTTCGACTAGATTCGTCAAGCAAGCGCTGTTGAACTGCACGATGTGCTCGTCCTCCCTGTTACTGCTCGAGGACCGGAATACAACCACATACACACACCCCTCCCCCCACAATCACCTGGCCGCCCAATTAGCTGCATGCACAGTGAAAATCGTACTTTAGAAGCAGCTCTGTCGCTACTCTGACGAAACAGGGGCGAAATTTTCCTTTTTGTGAAATGTCACCCCGATATTTTCAAAAAACCACTAGTAATAATTTGTTTGATGAAGTGTTGTTTTGTCAGGCGCCGTATATGTAGACTCAGCCATCTGTGAGAACGCATAATCCAGGAGTTTTTCTTGTGCTAGCATTCGTAACTGTCGGTATTTCATTCTGTATTAGCAGTCGCTGTGCGACAGTCAGCGAGTCGAGTAGGCCTCGTAGGGCGATCTGTGAGCGCCCCTCTACCACACAGAATACGTGCGATCTCATGAAATCTTAACTGAAATTCTGAAATGCGTTTTCAATTCGAAACAATAACTTAAGTAGGGCTGTAATATTAATGGCGGTTGATGTCTAATGAGAGAGAAATGGCCACTGCAGTTCCCCTTGTCTTTGTCGGTAATACCATTCTGCCTATAGTACGCGCGCTATGTTGCTGCTGTTTGGACTCGAGAGAGAGCCCAAGGCACAACAGGACGAATGAGCTCCGTAAAAAGAAGATCGGTGAAAGAAGGCAGAATAAGCCCGAGACAGTACTGCATCAAACTACCCGCTTTCTCTGTCGACCCCCTTCGCTGCTATTATGACTTTGCCAACTTCGGCCCGGTAATTGGTTGCCAGATCGTGATCTTTGCCACTCACACGGAGCTTGTTTGCTTCGAGAAGCCCATGGATCGGTGTGCGCTTATTCCTGACTAAATATATGTATAACATTTACGCATATCGATATATAACATTATAATGGTAGGGGGCGCTCACCGATCGTTCCTACGAAACTCACTCGTTCCGTTGTGCCTTAAGGGCTCTCTCTCGAGCCCAATCAGCAGCCGCACAGCGGCGCATGATATATAGGCAGAATGCAATTACCGACAAAGACAACGGAGACTGGAATGGCCATTTCTGGCTTATTAGCCGTCGTCAGCCAGTCATACCCAAGCCCGAAGTGTGGAACACCCGTGACTCCATAGAGGGTAGAGGCGTGGACTTCTAAAACAACATGTCGCGAGTTCGAGGCTCGGGTGTTCCACACTTCGGGCTTGGGTATGACTGGCTGACGACGGCTAATAAGCCAGAAATGGCCATTCCAGTCTTTCTTGTCTTTCTTGCCTATATATCATGCGCCGCTGTGCGGCTGCTGGTTGGGCTCGAGAGAGAGCCCTTAAGGCACAACGGAACGAGTGAGTTCCGTAGGAACGATCGGTGAGCGCCCCCTACCATTGTATATTCCCGATCGAAAACCGACAGGGCAACGGGCTCGTGGCCCAGTGGGTAGAGGCGTGGACTTCTAAACCAAGTGAGCCACACTTGGGGTAATAAGCCAGAATTTGCCATTCCGGCTTCGCTTGTCTTCGTCGGCTCCATCTCATCTATGTCTAATACTAGTCGCTGTGCGAATGCCTTCGAGGGTTTAAGTATGAGCCCCAAGGCACAACGGAACGAGCATGTTCCGACACCTGATCGGCGAGCGCCCACTGTCATAATTGATATTCCCGATCACATCCGACAGGACAACGGGCCCGTGGCTCAATGGTAGAGCGTCAAACTCTATGACCAAAGATCCCGGGTTCGAATCTCAAGTGATCCACACTTGGGGTTGGGTATGACTGGCTGATGACGGCTAATAAGCCAGAAATGGCCATTCCGGTCTCCCTTGTCTTTGTTGGCTCCATCTCATATATATATATATATATATATATATATATATATATATATATATCAACATGAGTGAAGATTCGAGGTTCAGATAGATTATCTCGTTCATCATCCTCAAAGGAAGACGACGAAGAAAAAGATACGATTCCATGGACCACACTGTATTGATGCTGACGTTTCGGAGACTTCCTCGTTTCAATCATCGGAGTAGTGGTAGGGTGTTTGTTCCTGCTAGCCCAGAGTTGTTCGGTCTCGCCGCCTGTCTCGTGTTATAGGAATGCCTGCTACACGAACTCTGATCTGTCTGCTGGCGGGGGATTGGCTTTGGTCTCTCCGTGGCCAACCCCTTGTGCGCTCGTGTGACCTCTGTCCCCTGCCCGGCCGCCGTTGTCGCTGCTAGGTCCGTGCGCCCTTCGGCCCTCCCCCCATAATCTGATGGGCTGATCAGCTGCCGTTGCATGTGTGAATCGCGTTCGGCTGTTTGGGCGCGTCGATGGGTCGATGTGTCGCGTCGGTCGTCTGACCCCCGGCGAGCTCTCCCCCCCACCTGCTGTGAAGGAGACAACCGTTGAGAGAGCCGCGATTTGTTCGCCTGTGCTGTCGGCCCTGTCCGGACTGACTGGAACGTCGTACGTAGGGCCTGGTAGGCCGGACGAGGATCAGTGGCTCTGTTGATTGTGTCAACTGAGGACCAACTTTCGAGAACCAGTCTGGCCATCTTGTCGCTCGCTCGGCCGATGACGCTCGCCTCCCCAAAGGCGAAACTGTGCTTCTCCTGTTGTATGTGGCCATATACCAGTGACAGCTTATCCTCGCGGTTGACTACAAGCTGGTGCTCGTGCAGTCTATTGCAGAGGCGTTTGCTCGTTTCACCAGCATACCTCGCACTGCAATCTTAGCAAGGTATGCTGTAGATCACTGCTGACTGTTCCGCTGCCGGTAGCTGGTCTCTGAGCCTCATTATCTGCCGCCCGATAGTGGATTCCGGTTTATGGGCCACTCCAATCCCAAAAGGGCTCAGGATTCTTGCTATCGCCTCAGAAACATTCTTCATGTAGGAGATTGCGTGCCAGAACTTGGGCTTCTCATCGTTAGCTCTTTCGCGAGTAAGTCCTCTTCGGCACTCCCGTATGAAGGACCGTGGGTAACCATTGGCTGTGAATAGGGAATGTAGGTGTTTCGCTTCCTCCCTTCTCCCGTCGTCGTCACTACACTGTGTTTGAACTCGTTGGAAAGGAGCTCTGACATAACTGCGTTTGTGACCAATGGGTTGGTTACTCCGGAATTGGAGGACGCGACAAGATGGAGATCTCGTAGCATTCACAGATAAGGGCATCGAAAAGGACATGGAATACCGGAATGGCCATTTCTGGCATATTAGCCGTCATCAACCAGTCATAACCAATGCCAGGTGTCGAGTACCTGCGATCTGAATCCGGAATCCTTTGTCATTATTAATATTTCCGATCACAGTCGACCCGTGACGCAGTGATAGAGCCAAAGATCAAAGATCCCACGTTCGAATCCCAGGCACTGGACACATTGGTATGGGGTATGACTGGTTGACGATGTCTAACAAGTCAGAAATGACCTGGTATCCACTGCCCTTATCGGTACCCTACTATCTTCATATGTTACTAATCGTTATGCGATTGTTAAAGAGGTAAAAGGCAAAACTAGGAGCATAAACAGCGCTATTCGCGCACATATTGTTGATTCTGGGCGTCGCGTGGACTCTAGCGAAGCTTTTCTCATGATTTATATGGTCCATTCGAGCTGCCCTTAGCTACTGAGCCAGTGTCTGTTAGCAACGGCAGAATCGACTGCAATCAGGTTATGAAAGCCGGCCTTGTGCACGCAGAAGAACTTCGTCCAGGCTCCGCGCTTACCGTGGTCAGAGGTTGACTAACTACATGCCACTCCCTGCGCCCTTCCACTTTTACCCCGCCTGTGCTTTAAAACGAACTTTGGTCGACTTATAACCATTGACATGTTTGACTTGTACCTCCTTCCTATTTACTTATACTGGCCTGACGATAATTTATCGAAAGCAGACGTAGGCTCGCCAACTAGTCTTCGGAAGAAAAAAAACAAAATCAGCGTAGAAATGCCTGTTCGCTTGACATTTTGAATCCTAACTTAAAAGCATTCCTGAAAATACAAGGCAAAGCAATAGAGAATTTCTAGATGGGTTTTACGACCGATCTCTCCGCACAGTCTTACTGACGGGTCGGAAATAGGAGCAACCAGTCTTCCGTCTCGCTATCCACTAGAGTTGTTACTCAACCTCTACTGTTTTTTTCGCTTTATCGCTCTGTGAGCTGTCATCTACTTATCCGTTTATGGGTCAGGGCTACACTTATCTGAGATTTTATTTGAATCTGTATCCTTCAGGTTCGGATTATAAAAACGTAACTGCCTGCGTACAAAGTCTGACTCATGGGGAGGGGGGGGGTGCACTGTTGAAATATCGCTTTTACGGTTCTGTTGACTCAAGGCGAAACCTCACCTGTCAATCGTGTGCGAGGTATCTGCTTGCGTACACCTGATTGATGTCCTGTCGCAAGTAGTGTGGGAAATATTACTAACTGAAGAGAGCACTTGGAGAGCCGAAGGAGGCTGTTGTTTCAGTTCACGCTTTTTGTCGGTTATCTCATCTTGCATGGGTTATTGGTCGCTGCGCGACTGCCTGTGGCGTTTTCGATTTCAGCCCATGGCATAACGGGACGAGAAGGTACCGTAACGTAAATGGCAAATGTCGTCTACACTTGGTGATGTATATATATATATATATATATATAAATATGTATATGTGAATGTCAAGTAAGCGCATGACCCCACCGCTGTGGTCAGGATCTCACTGGATCCCATTCTGTCCGCCCGCCAGCTGGCCTCTGACCACAGCGAACCTTGTGCCATAGGACACACACCACACATAACATGTAAGCAACTAACTAAGAGTGCAACAGGCCGGACACATACAGCTTTTTCACGATCGTTACCGATCATCAGTATGTCATAGGCCATTCTTACTTGGCATGTTTATATATCTCACTTCATATGACCCATGACGTACTTATGACTGGTGACGACCGTGAAACAGCCGTCTGTGTCTGGCCTGTTGCAATCTTAGTGAGCTGCTTATGTCTTATATAAATGTAGGCGGAATAGCATTGCCGACAAAGACAAGGGGGGAATGGAAAGGTCATTTCTGGCTTATTAGCCGTCGTCAGCCAGCCACACACAACCCCAAAGTGTGGATCACCTGAGGCTTGAGGTCGCGACCACTTAATTAGAAGTCCAACGCATCCAACCACTGAGCCACGGGCCCGTTGTCCTGTCGGTTACGACTGGGAATATACCATGGTAGAGGGGATGCTCGCCAAAAGTTTTACGGGATTCACTCATCCCGTCGTGCCTTACGTGCTCTCTCTTTCTCTCGAGCCCGACCAGCAGCCGCACAGTGGCGCGTGAAATAGTCGCCCGACTTCTAACTAAGTGGTCGCGGTATCGAGCCACAGGTGTTCCAAACTTCGGGGATGGGTATGACTGGCTGACGATGGCTAATAAGTCAGAAATGGCCATTCCAGTCTCCCTTGTCTTTGTCGGTAATGCCATTCTGCCTATATCATGCGTCCCCGCGCAGCTGATGATTGGTCTCTTGAGAGCAGTTTTTAGGGCGAAGATGCTTGCCTGCTGAAATTATTGAATGTTAATAATTATATATGATAATGTGTTAGACGTTTGGTGCCGCCTCCAAATACTTAAAGGCAGAAAAGGATAATGTTACTACCGAAAAAGGCAACAAAGTCTGGAATGACCGTTTCTGGCTTAGTAGACGTCGTCAGCAAGTCATATCCAACCCCGAGGTATGGAACACCTAGAGCGGCAGCATGTTGGGCTCATAAGACACAAAGAAACGAGTAATTTCCGTAAAAACGATCAGTGAGCTCCCATCTACCTTACTCTTGATTCTTGTTGCATTGACGCACAAAGTCACCCGGGTATCCATTGTGGGAAAATAATTTGAAGAGATGCTTCATTTCTGCTCGATAACTTTCCTCCCCAGATCTGTGTGTTTTGGTTTGATTCAGCAGACTGTAGACAGAAGTCCTTTTGTGAGAGACAGGATGTCTACTCTCAAAATGCAGAATGACCCCTGGATATGTGTCTTTGCGAAATGGTCCATCAGTTTTTTGATGTGCTAGGACCTTCAGAATTGGAAGTTGTCCATCAACCTCTGTCTCGAAAGTAGACGTGATTCCTGGGGATGTAGACCCAAGGTTTTTGTGGAGTATATCTAACTGATTCTTCTTGACAATGAAAAAAGGCTTTATCTACGGTTTATATAGAAAGTTTATGAGGGTACTGACGCAGACATGGATAACTGAGGTCGCCTGCGTTCCGAGAGAGTATAAGTGAAAAAGAAGTCTCGCCGGGAAAATCGAGTTCTGCTCGTGAATTTCAAGTTATCTGTACAAAACCGTCGTCAGACAAAATGAGGAGGGCAGGTGTCGCGAGGTTCTGCTGTGGCTAATCATGTCGGGGGGAGGGGGTAGGGAATAGCCTGTCGGTGAGATTCTACATGTCTGGGCATGCATTACAAGCTGTTGTTTTTAAGGCAAACGCCATTCGGCGAACCGTCATTTCAGATTCTCGCAATGGATGTCTAGATCAAAGCGACGGTTGATGTCGGCCGCGTTGATCGACACCTCAAAGATCAGGTTACTGAACATAGAGTAGGTGGGCTAACTCATGAAATGTCAGCTGAAATTCTGAAGTGCGTTTTCATTTCGGAAAGGTTAATTAAGTAAGATTGTAAAACTAATCATCTTGCAGCATAATTCTATAATAATCCAGTTACCGCATGGTATCGGCTTTCGAACGAACTTCCTACTAGCTGCATGCAAAAACTATACTCTGTAAGGAATGGCTACTTAAGTTGCATGCACTTTTATCTGCGATTTTCGATGTCCATAAACGTCCAATTATATTTCATGGAAAACATGAATAAAAATACATAGTATTCCGATCATTCAGTAGAAAATTACGTCTTGCTTTAATTTTCTACTCGAAAATGGGACGTAAATAGTTTCTAATTGTGAGACTTTTAAATACCGTGAGATGACCGTTCATAGAGTGTCATGTCTCTGCATTTACTAATTTGGCTTGTAAAGTTAACAATTTGGATCAAATCCAATGCTAAATTTTATGAACCCCATATGGTCTCCCCTCAATACCGTCGAGAAATGTGTGGTTTTCCATACGCCGAAAATACATGGCTTGTAGTTTTGAAACCCTAAAGGCGAATGTGACGGCAGAGCGGGTTTAAAATTATTCGGGAATCGGGAAAGTTTTTGAAAACCGAATAATACCCTTTCGTTGAGTATAAAATTGGAAGAGGACGTAATTTTCTACCGAATTAGCTGAAGAATGAATATGTTTATTCATATTTTGCATGAAATATAATTATACATTTAGGTGCATCGAAAATCAATGAGAAAAATGCATGCTATTTAAGTAGCCATTTTTTGCAGAGTACAGTTTTTGCATGCAGTCGGAAATAAATTCATTCAAAAGTCGGCACTCTGGGGTAACTGAAATATTATTTAATTATATTGCAGGCTGAATAGATTTACAACCCTACTTAATTAGTCTTTTCGAAACGAAAACACGTTTCGGAATTTCGGTTGTCATGTCATGAGTTAGCCAACCTATTGTATATACATATTTACATGGGAAGGACACTCACTGGTCAGTCTTCGTTGCAGGACGAAAAACCGGCGATTTCGTTTTGTATAGGATACCTGCAAACGGGCACATATAGGTGAGCAGTAGTCAATTAAAGGAGTCACTGACAAGGAGAGACGGGATAGTCCATTTATGGTGTATTTTTCATCGTACTCCAGACACCCAGGTTGACGAACCCGAGGTTCGAAATTGACCACATTGGCTATCAAACATCTGCGTCACTGGGCCGCGGGTCCGCCGCCCTGCGCCTGAGAACATTTAGTCAAGTGGGACTGAGGCTCATCGGTCGAGCACTCAGGTGGGCTCAATGGCAGGGTGTTTGACCGAGAAGCTCGCTGGCAAAAAAAAGCTTAAGTCCAAACACTGACCCGTCTCAGCCAGGGCTTGGACTATGACTATCTGAAGAGGCAGATAAAACGGATATCGATCAATTTCGACTGTGTATGTGCCCCGGCATGCTTTGCATTCTGCATTAAATCTACGAAACCAGAGTGTGCGGCATACGCTGTCTACGGAGAACTAAGAGCACGATTTTTCTGTCCACAAATAGGCAGGCCTATTCAGCAAGGCAAACACGCAAACATGATTAAACTTTTTCCATCCCGTCGTTTAGCAAGGCGTCAGTCATTTCAATTCGCCCATAGGACTCTACAGTGAGTGACCGATCTCATGAAATGTTGATTGAAATTTTGAAATGCGTTCTCGATTAGGGAGGATTACTTAGGAGCAGTTGTAATACTGATTATCATGCGGCATAATCCCATAATATTGCGGACTTGGCAAGATTTCAGCTTTTGAACACATTACCTTTTAATCTCCTGTAGAAACTGTACTCGGTGAAAAGTGGCTACTTAAGTAGCATGCATTTTTTCCATTGATTTTTGATGGTTTTGCAAATTCAAATATATTTTATAGAAAACACAAACAAAATATGCTTTCTTTCAGTTGTTTGATAGAGAATCACGTCATCTTTATATTTTATACCCGAAAAAGGAGTACTAATAGTTTTCTAGTTGCCGAACAATTTGGACCCTGATCAGTCGTTGCACTAGCGCTTAGTGATTTCAGTCTACAAGGTGCATGCGTTCAGAGTAAAGAAAATCACATATTCTTCTACGTATTTAAGAAGATATCATACAGAGTCCATAAAATTTTGTAATGGATACAGACTGTGTTGCACATTTCATGAGGAGAAGCGGTAGAAATACAGATACGATGTTATATGAGTGGACATTTTACTGTCTTAAAAAAATCTCATAATTAGAAACTTTTTAAAACCTAATTATACTCCTTCTTCGCGTATAGCATACAAAAATGAGTGATTCTCTATCAAACAACTGAAAAAAGCATATTTTTATTTGTGGTTTTTATAAAATATATTTGATTTTGCAAGACCATCAAAAATCAATGGGAAAAGTGTTTGCTACCTATATAGTCACTTATCAGCGAGTACGGTTTCTACAGGAGATTGAAAAGCAGTGCATTCAAAAGCTGACCTCTTGCAAAGTCCGAAATATTATAGGAGTATGCCACATGATAATCAGTATTACAACCGCTCCTAAGTAATCCCTTCTAATCGAGAACGCATTTCAGAATTTCAGTCAACATTTCTTGAGATCGGTCACTCACTCTACAGGTATCTGCTCCCGAAACATGAGATCTGGTCAGCATGATTAAGTACGAGCTGGTTGACCGCAGGATTTTGTGCGTCTGCTATGCCATGATTAAGCAAACCATGGCCCTCGCAACTCCCCGTGTGCAATGGCAGTTCTTTGGTACCGGGTTCCTTGCCGGCAGACACATTTGCACTCCCGGTGGGTATATAGGTCGTGTACGTGGTTGCCTAGCAACTTGTGTCATCCTTCTCCTTCTGACCCATTTGTGTTGTTAGTAAAATTCTCGTTCAAGTGCTTGTTGTGGACCGGAGGATGTGGTGGCACGCCTAGGTGTAGGTTCGGCTGTGATAGCTACCTACGCATTTTCCCGCCTTCGATCCTCTTGATTCTGTCTTGACACCGGGTGCAGGTGGGGGAGGAGAGAGTGCGGTAGCTGCTGCGCAAGTCTACATTCATTATAACCTTGATCACGCACAAGTCACCGAGGCTGCTCTCGCCTTGCTGTGAAGCACGCGATGGACATCGTCGGCAATGACGTAGCATTAGTAGGCTTTCGTGAACGAGCGCGTCAACTTTCCTATTCGTCACACATTCCGTTTTTAATGTTTGTCTCTCAAAGACTGCCTTGGTCTTGGAAGGTGGAGGGCAACTGCGACTTCTTTGAAGTCTGTACTGGCTTTTCGTCACCGTAACAAGAAGACCGCAGGCAGATCGCCTAAACTATCGCTGAATTTAGACTGTGCTCTGTAGTTAGCAGCTATGCCTCCCACCGGACCCATCAAACTCCCGTGCTTCAAATTTGTGAAAACTGAAAATCATTAATAATCACTACCTCCTGACAGAAATTATTGTGCTGCATCTTTGAGACAAATAGAGTTGTAGGTGATCCGCACGGTGATTCGAATGGGATTCAAGAAGTTGTCCATGGGAATTAACGATAGCCTTCTTTCTCATAGTACGGATGTATGATGGGTGATTTTCTAGCGTGTATATATGGACAAATAAGCCACCAGGATCCCCGAATGTACAGGGAGAATTCGCTTAGGTTAGGGGTGCATAACGCTTGTTGGCCGGGGAACTTGCTGGTGGCTCTTTACCATTGTCGCGATAGATACGCAGATGTCTGTTCAGGCCAGTGTGTAGCTGGAATGTGTGGTTACTATGATGCCAATTAGCAACTGTCTCGACACGGCCCGTGATTGCTTTCTCTGTCAAGGAAGCGTCCGTGTCACGCACTGGTGAGAGCGTACACTGATTGGGAATCGTCGTCCCACTAAGGACAGATGAGGGTCAGCAGACCACCACAGAGAGGGAGGCCACAAGCCGGGGCTAGCGATCATCATGAATTAAGTCTTCTTTGGAGGTCATCTCCATTTGGAACTCAACTCGATAACGTTCCCACAGCAGGTTAATATGCAGGAATAAACAGAGTTTGCCACCTGAAAGAAAGGAATTCAGGCGTTTTCAGTGCTTGCTCCTAGACTGATTTATTCCCTTTTACTTTTTAGCCGGGTCCCTATTCCCCTGAGCAAATTCCAAGCCTTCAGTGCCATGGTAGCTCGGTGACAGACCTGATGTGGAGCCCCACTGCCAGTAACCTGCTCGCCACTGCCTCCTGGGACAGGACAGTATGTGCAGAAGTTTTTTTTAACCCGTGCTCGACTCGCTAATTAAAGCAGCTCAGGAAACCCCCTGGCAATGAACTACTGTTTTTTGCTCCGTTTCAGGTACGAGTTTGGAGCTCGGTCTCACGAGATAAACTTATTATGCCGAATTCCAGTCCAACTTCCTCCTCCTCCTCCCCCTCCTCTTCTTCATCTTCCTTCGAAGGAATGGAGAAGAAGCCCTACACATCACAAGCTCCTGCGGTAAAGTTAGCGGAGCTGATCCATATCGATAGGGTCGTCTGTGTTGCCTGGAGTCCATCCTCACCGGAACTGATCGCATCGGCCATCCACAATCGGAGGGTAAATGAAGCAAGAAAGGTGTACTCATGAGAGATTGAATGAATCCTATGCTTTACATACTCTGCAACCTCCGTGCTAGCATTTTATTCCCACAGCAGATAGAAATGGTAATCTTTCAGTTTTGGAGCGTAGTCACCTTTTCATCCATACGACGCTGTCAACTGTTTTTTTTTTATTTCACTCATTTCCCACCACCCCAACCCTCCACGGCCAAACAGGCGATGATTTGGGATATTTCCTTGGGCGGATGCGCGGAAGCAGTGCAGGCAGTCAGGTCACCCTTGCAGTTAATCAATCTTAGCGCCAGTGTATGCGATTTCTCTTGGTCCCCGGAGTCACATAACACCCTCCTCGCCTCCGCCTGTCGCGACAAGCGGCTGTACATACACGATCTACGATCGCCGTCCTCTGCGGGATCTGTAATCTCCTGGGTCTGTCACAGGAGTTCTAAGCCCTGGAAGATCAGTTTCCTAGATGAGAGGACCATAGCGAGTGTTGGATTCGGCGAGGAAGGGGGCAGGGAGGTGGCACTATGGAATTTGGTAGGTGAACGGTGATGTGCGATTACCTTTCTACTATTATATATTCAGTAGCCATGTTTTAAGATTGTTCATATCCCTGTTATGCTAATCGTTTTCAGTCAAAAACCACTGCTCCGGTTCAAAGGTTTCAGTGCGACCAGTCTTCAGGCGGCATAATTCTGCATTACTACCTGGAAAATCGCTACCTATTTCTCTCCGGGAGAGTAAGCAAACATTGTTACGCAATAACTCCCAGATTATCTGTTTTTCGTGCTTTTTGCAATTCGTCTCAATGTGTGATGCGTACTTTCTCATCAATCGGCTCTCAATTTCTTTTCTTGGACAATTAAAACTGCTTCGAAATTAACTTAGTGAACTGAGAAAGAAAAAGGCTTTAATGGGTCTTGCTTCGGTCGGTCAAAGTGGAATGGCAAAATAACGATGAAACCCCGAGGTGGCAAATTCATGATCGACTCTTGGTGTAGTTTTGGTTGTAAAACATTACAAGTAAACCTATTCTGAATGCGCTGAAGTCAAGAATTTGACATCTAATGGTCAAATAAATTACTTCTGTCAATTTGCAAACCACTTATTTATGCTGTTCAAGTCAGTTTGATTTCAAGCGATCGATTTTTCTGTTTACAGGGTGATAGCAGTCTACGAATATTCACCTATTCGAATCACACAATCAGTCTCGTTGACCGGTTCCAGAGCCCACATCCTTATCGCGATATCTGTGAGTCCTAACAGTTTTTTGTATCACCACATGACCGCCTGTCATGGAAAGCTGTGTCATGGTATCAACACTTATTTAAGGTGACTTGTTTAATCGACATATTTGAGCAGACTATTAAAGGAGAAAAGCGCGCGTCTCATAAGACACCTCATTTACAGCCCTGTTTTCGCTAGGCTGGATGCCACAGCCCGGCCTAAATTCCGCTGAAGGTGAAATTGCTCGCTGTTTTCGCCTCTTCGTTCCCGACTCGGCCCTTGTGCTGGCAGCCAGCGGACGCCGCAGTGACTTTAGCTCCACTAATCAGTGGGCGGAGCCGGGGTCATCCGTGTCGCCGACAGGTCAAGGTCCGCCAACTCGGGGTGGTGGCAGAGGCGTTCATCGCCACACAAACAGCACCCTCATCGAGCCTCTCAGTGTCTACCGTTGTGACCTTTTGCACGATCCTTGCACAAACAGCGGTCCAACTGGAATGTACCATGCGCAAACTGACGGCATCTCGTCTGCGTCAAAGGACTTCCAAAGTAGTTTTAAAAAGATCTGCCCTCCAGGCGGTACAAACGACAGGCAGGATCGTGAACTGACTGAACGACCGCCAGCCTTCCCAGTAAGTCTAACGGGTAGACTTAAATTGGGCATAAAAATTGCTGTAATCACGTGGAAGACAACTTACCTATTACTTATTTTATCCTTTGATTTCAGGCAAAAGTTGCTCCAGCTGTTACATCTTCAACAGATTCCACGTCAACTCTGACATTGAAGTCGGATTATGGGCGACCATCCCCTCCCCAAAATGGTTTTCGACTCCAACAGCGGCCTCAACTTCAGAAGACAAACCGCAGACAGAGGATTTGCTTAACGCCTGGGTCTGCAACCCCCCATGAGGGAAAGGCACCCTTCAGGGACTCTAGGCGACGCAACCCCACGCCACACAAGAAAAGTACAGAAGTAAATACAATTTCATGTAGAATAAAACGATCTACTCAAACACATATAAGTAATAAAACAAACGTAGTTGAAAGGAGGGATGGGGAGAGGGTACTTGAACCCTGTGCACCTGTACGTCTACCGGTAATTAAGGAAAAAGAACACAACCTCAACCAAAAGCCCCCAACGGACGGACGCAAAAATGAATGGAATATTAAACGATGGAACATTGCAGATACGTCCCATGGACAGGAATCCAAACCGTGTCCACTTCCCAAGGGACCCAAAGTCCCAAGCCGCAGCACGTACCTCCAAAGGCGCAGGAGCCGGCGCGGACTTACGGTTGAGGCCCTGAGTTATCCCAAAGACCATCAGGATACGACAGATGTTGGGGATTCGGTGTGGGAGGTAAGTTCTCAAACTCTCAATGACTAAGCTTTTCAATTGTTTCATTCAAAACATCTTTATAATTCTTGAATTTTAGAATTTTCATCTGATAATTTGAAAAGCGAATTCAAGTAAATCACCATGAGTCCTTTAGAAAAGGCAGCTCTCTCTCTCTTTGGCTAAATCTACATGGCAGTTTTCAACGTTTATATTTTTGCAGTGTGCTTTTACTCAGCTTATGAATATGACAAGCAGTAGAAAGGTGAATCAGTAAAAATTCGACTAATAATACTACCCTATAAGTTTTTGCGGTTCGCATGCGTGTGCCTGCTAAAGTGCGCAATTACACATTGGACTATAAAAGTAACGTACACCAAAAAAAATTCAGAGTGCCAATTTTAAGGTTCCGCTCAGTTATTCACGTTAATTTTTTTCCGACTGTCGATCTAAAATCGTAAGTGACAGCTAGTCAGAACGCCCAAAACGCACAAATGGAGCATTTCTTTTAGTTTTCGGGAAGGCTGAAAAAAATGGCGCATCCAAAAAAGCATGCACTAGGAGACACGGAAATATGAACCGCCTCAGTACTGTGGGCAGATGTCAATTCCCGTGTCCCAATTATAACCGTAGCCCTAACCATAATCTTAATGCCAATCCTCCCTCCCCCAACCCTAGCAATATCTTCCATCTGAAATTGAAGGTAAAACTACCTACTGGAGGTCTGCATTTCCTTACCCAACCAGTGTACGGTTTTCAGTGTTCATTTACGGGTGAAAAGAACTTAAGATATCACGAAGCGCGGTGGGGAGGTAGAGCGGTCAGGTTGTCTGGCCAACAGCCTCGCTGTTGGAGGTACGAAAGCCGGTACGAAGGCATGGATCATCAGCAAGTGTGACGCATTCACTGTCTTCACAGCTGGCAATACAAGGGGTAGATGCTGACCACGGTAGAAACATCTCTCCAACGAAAGGCTTATTTTGGACAGAGGATGGGAATACTCTAGACGTATGGCAACCAGATCCGCTACTGTGAGTAACCACTGACACAGCAGCTTCAATTGCTTTGTCTGTGATTGGTTCGCCCTTTTCAAGGCCTCTGGCAGCCACTTCGTGGCCGGTGTCCGCAAGGTTGGTCAGAACGGCGACCGGGGTGGATCTGACCGTGTCCTGACCAAACCGCGCTCGGAAATGTTCACGTAGTGAGACGACCCATAGGTCAACCTGCTCCGCATGACAGTTTGACCGTCGCGAAAGATAACATCCGCCGCGTCCCCCACAGTGTGGGCGCTACACTGGCAACTTTCGTGTAAATTAGTTTGCCGTGAAGCTGACTTGAGAAGCATCTATTGCACCCTCTCTTCCCCACTCACCTGGCTCCGATTGCAGGATGATGTCAAGGCGACCGGAGGTGGTCGAGGGCACGATGGCTGACAGAGCTAATCAGCCCGTCTACGCGTGCGTCACACGTCCCGCTCCCCCCTAAGTGCGCCAGGTCTTCACGAGGACGGATCGGGTCTCAAATGCGTGAGAGTGTCATAGGGGCCACGTTCAGAACGAGGGATTGAACACGACCGTCGGCCCTGGAAAGGACCAAATTATCCTGTCAGTCGGTACAGATCAAGGCCGCAAACTTTACTGCGTCGGGATGGATCCATGCGCGTCAGCCTGACTGAAGTTAGGAATGTGGCAATGTGCTACGAGGGTGAATTCCCCATCCCTCCCTCTCTCTTTTTCTTCCCTCTCCCAACTCCTAGTCCACTGTCCGAGACTGCCAACCAGCTGATTATGGAATTAGGCGCATTGGTTGGGGCAACGTGAGGGCCTGCATAAGTATAAGGCCACTCACCACACGCATTTACGGCAGTTGTTATGGGCGCAAGCAGACTCTGCGCAGCCGGATTAAACCATGCTGTGAGCAAATCTGACACCCGTTTTTGTCCATCGCATCTGCACCCCAGCCCGCAGAGGTAATATAGCAAGTAGACGCGCATAGGGAAGCCAAAGGCTGAAGATCATACTTGCTTGATCACACGCTTACTGAGCCTCGAACAAGACCTCTTTCTTTTCTATCACGAACACCTCCGACTTCGGTGTTTGGTTTTTCTAGGTGTCTCTAAATCATTCTATCCTGATGGAACTCTTCTCATGTAGGCTTGCTGCTCTTTGTAGGGTCCCTTCGAACCATGTAGGTCAAGTTCTGTTTCCTAGGCAACAAACTAAGGTTTGCTGATTAAGCTGTGAGACCCCAGCCACTACGACCATCGGACCCAGCTCCGAACTGAAAGAGAAGAAATGGGACTCCAGTTGCAAGAATGTTGTATTTTGTACAAAACTAGTAGAAAAGTAATTTCTCGGATTTGGGAGTCGGACGAGGGCTCGTCCGATGTCGCGAGAGCGGCGTCCGTGTATGTCAGCCAGGGGGTAATCGTCCGGCGCCTTCACCAAGATCATGCTTGAGTCAGCCTCAAAGATGATTGGCCAGCTTGGACAGCCGGCGTTGGGCGAAGAACAGACTGTTATTGGTGCGCAAGTAAAAGTAGTCGCAAGAGGGTCAGTGTTACAACACGCGCCCAGAGTTTGACTACTACAAAGTGAACACGCCCGTTTGTCACGAACCGACTTCTCTTAATCTGAATATGGCATTTCTGCGGGTTTAAGGTGAGGTCTTTTTTAAGGAATAAATTTTTATCACTCGAATCTTTTAAGAGCGAAGAGGCCGGCACGCCCAAACGGACGCCCGCAAAATTCAAGAGTACCACGGGCACTATGTCAGGAGCTGACCGGAAGAGGTGGATGGTACCACCCCAACCCAACTGCAGCTTCGGAAATGAGTATTCAGCAGAACAGAGCGGGTAAGTCAGGCTTGGGCCAGGGTGAGTAACCTAACTTATCTTGCTTCCTCGTGCAAAAAACCGAACATTCCCTTAGTTTTTTTTCAATGAAATTGCCATAAAGACGACGTATGTGGTCCCACCGAGGCACTATTTGTATGATATTCCTACTTATTTCATATGAGTAAACATGTTATTTTAGCGTTGCTTTCACGGCCGAACTTACGAATAGGGTCGCGGTTAGGGTAAGGGTCAAGGTTAGATATAAGACTTGGGCTGAGTTAAAAATCAAGGTTAGGGTTGGCATTAGATTCACATTTGCCTGCCGCGTACCTTTTTACTTAATCCGGCCATCATTAACTAATAAACGCAGGTGGCCTGTTTTCCACCCGTTTACATGCTCTTAATCCACATCTTTTAAAATGAGCAGTCTGTTGCGATACCCCATTTAAGTAGAAAAAAAATATGGCAAACGTGGGCGTTTTCTCAATACTACTTTCACCTTTCCCACTCAATAAATCCCATATAAACGTCCTTCGCGTATTGCAGGAGTCCCTGTGCTTCAGTTCCAGGCGGAGTTGCATACGCCACGTAGCCGAAATCACCTTTATTAGCTCTGCCACTTACTTCGACTCCCAAATACTGATTGCAATCACTTTAGTCTGTTGAGGACTGCAACTGCATATGCTTGGGGTATTCTGACAAACAGCTGAACCACCTTTCAGAGGTCGCGCGTAAACCAAAATGATATCCTTACAAACTGTGTACTTTCCCTGAAGCTCAATACCTGACCCTTTCTGATGTATTGGTTAATCTCGTGTTATTTTGACCCCTACGATCCCTCACATTGACCAGTTGCCTTGTTTTCTCAGCACTTCTCCGAGACTACGTCTAAAGTATTCGCAGAGAGATGAACTTGATGTAAGCCTTTTTCACTTAAGAATTCTGAGATTATTTAATCATGGAAATCAGAGCATCTTCATGCGCTTTTTCTACATAAATATATGGCCGCCCTGATTATTTTGATTTCTGTGAAGTGCTTTTAATGCATTTAATGAACCAGTCACGCAGTCTGAGATCGTGTGCTTTAGTTGTGGACACGTAAAGGCCAAGGGATTCGTGCTGTCATGGTTCGACCGCTCCAAGTCCATCGACCTGTTTGAATGAGAGTGCCAGCAGATCCTTCTATCAGCCGATCAGAAAAGTGGATAGCTCTGGCAGCCTGAAATGAGCTCTCTATAAGCTGGACATCGCGGCCATCATTGCGTCCCCGTTCTAGGAGTTAGGGTATGTAAATGACGTAGAAACGGAATACATCCTCCTCTTCTTCAATGAGCCCCCAACGGCAGAACCTCGAAAGGACATCTTGAGGCGCTTGTCCTGTCTCTCTCAGGAGACCAATGGTCGCCTCCGGATCCAATTTCTAACTCTACACGGAGAATTATCCGTTCCCAACGTCAGTTCTTATGCTCCCCAGAAAGAAAATTTCTCCAAATACCTGCACTTTCCCCACACGGTTGTGTCCGGGGGGGAGGGGAGCGAACAAATTTATTGTCTGCGGTAGACTCCGATCACGCTACCTGGAACCGAACAGTAAGTAGTCAGGGAGAAGGCAACTGTATCGGCAGCAGACTGCTTTTGTGACAGACATGAATAGACGGTAATCTTCTCTCTACCAACCCCTTCATCGACTTTCCAAACCTGAAGAAGACGAAGTGGATACATCCTCACTCGAGACACAAGCGACTGCTGAACTGCAGTGCCTTCTAGAGGTGATATCAGCGTGATGTGCCAGTAACAAGACGACGTGTGGTACCCAAGGCTTAGCCGACCCCTGCTTTGTTATTTCAAGCGGGAAGCTGGGATCACACAGCTCATTTTAGGAATAAGAAGGTGCTGGGACAAATACTGTAGGAAGGAATGTCTACAAAGACAAAGGAGACCGTGGTGGCCACTCCCCATTTGCTATTCGTTGTCAGCCAGTCACATCCAACACCAAGACTACATGTTCTAGGATTCAAACCCGAGTTACTTGATCATTGAGGGTTAGGTTCAATGCTCTACTAATTGAAGTAAGGGCCCGTTTAATATTTAGTTGAAATCAAGAAGAAACACCATCATAGGAAGAACGTTCACTGACTGACAAGCTTCTGAAATATGCCTTATAATATAGCCTAACGGTAGAGCGTTGGATTTAGTATAGTACAGTATATTTAGGATAATGGGCAATGCCCTTGATCACTCTATTAAAAACGGTGCACACGATATTCATGTTAAATGCACATGTTACTAGAATGATGCCAGCAGCATATTCGCTTACAGAAATCTTTTTCGTGTTGTGGGACTGCGAAGCCTACGGCAAACGGTCCTTTCCATGCACACTAAATATCATATATAAGTGCAATTATATGCAGTCAACACAAACTGTAGTCAATTTTGTACTGATTGTCTGCAATAGCACTTATAATCGCAAATGTACGTGAAAATGACCGTCCGCCGTAACCTTCGCTCAACGTCCAGAGAACCCAGGTTTGAATCCCAGGTTTTCCACGTCTGAGGTTCAGTATGTCCGGTTGACGGCGGCCAATAGACCGGAAATGGTCATCCCGGTATCCATTCATTGATAATCACTTACCTGCATGTAGCACTAATACCAGTCCCGTGTTCACTCCCATGCTAATTGTTGCCTGCCATGACAAGTGGCCTAGAATTGTTTTAGTCTATCAAAAAGACGTGTGCGGACTGAAACCAAGGTATTGGAGGCCAGTGTCCACGACCCACTATTTGTGCAACCGACTGCCTCCCACACCCTAACCTAAGCAAGCCTACGGCGAGTCAGCTGTTAAATCCTCGGACTAACCATCGCTAATGGTTATGTGCCAATCAGCACCGGTAAAGGAGTCCGACTAACTTGTGGCAGGGAGCGTTATACAAGGTTTTTATTTCCCGTGGCCTTTTATCTCTGATGGATCACCATGTTTCTTCTGACCTTTTTTTAGTAAAAAGCTGCAAAAACAGATTTTAGTTATTTTAGGGAAAAATACAGAAATCAACAATTGCCTTTACCCTCAGGTTACTTATTTCTAATCGTATGCTTTCAGTCATGGGAAGATGAGAAAGTACTGATTTGCGCTTCGATAAGGACCATATTGCGGACTTGCGCGTATTCTAAGTTGCACTTGGCATCGTTTTGCAAACAGCCCTTTTGTATGCTGCCATAGGTGAAGCGAAGTAAATAGCCCAGATTTGTCACCAGCGTTCTCCTGAAAAAGAACAAGAATATTTTGCGTTTTTAGCAATACAAAGATATAACCACCTATCCCCCCTTGAAATGCACGCTTACATGGTTGTTTTTTTACTTTCGTCAGGCAGACGTTTGCTTTTGACTATCGAATTCGGAAACGGTACTTTCCACAATACATTCGTTGTATTCAGTTATTTGGACCACAGTGATTTAGCCGAGTTTGGTTACATAGCCCGAAATTGATGCGTATGAAAATATAATCATCTAACTTATTTGCTTGGTGACACCATACGCCAACCCAATGGGAAATAAGTTCTATCGATATGGTGCACAAATTGGTCATATAATCTGATGACCATAAGGGCAAGGTTCAGTATATAAATGATCAAAAGCTTCGGAAGGAATGCATAGTTCAAAGGTGTGTGTGTGTTGCAATAGGACGACACCACTGGGGTCGGTTTTGCTGGTGCCGATTTCAAAGGCAGTATGAACAGCGTTTGGGAAGGACATTGAATTGGTGCTGAGAGTTGCTGTGCTCACGGGGATGCAGTGCTGTATAGGGTTCGATTTCAGGAGATGGTTATATTTCAGTCAAATTGCATTATCTGTTTTCTATGCTCATGTAGTAGAAAAGGGACCTGGTGTGTTTTCTTGCATATAATTAACAATATCTGACCCAGTAAAAGTGCTTAAATAAAAACCAACATCTGTCCGGTAACGCTTCGAACTCTTGGTTCTTTAGTCTAACCTTTAGTCACTTTTCAAGATCAGACAAACGTATTGGCAGACGACAACATTCCAGCCCTTGAAAATGGAGACGGGATCGCTGAAACAAGAGCTTTATTTGGCCGAATTATCTGGCTAATAAGATTTCCGTTCCAGCGATCGTGTCTCCTTCTTCACGACTGCATCCTGGGCCTTGTCTGTTTGTTTCTACTGACAGGTTTAGACTCTTTTATAAAAGCCAGAATAGACTTAGCTGTGCCTGCACTGATTATATGTGTTCATGCTGTCAGACTATCGCAGTTTGCAGTCCTATTACTGTTATATAAGAGGATTCTGCACACCGTCTTCTTTATCTGTCTTTGCGTGAAAGCAGGATATAGCAGAGACGTGCTCAGTCTCAGATCTGGTGGCAGTCTTTGAGGCAAAACTAGCCTATCAGGATGCATTTCATGTCTCCTCACTGGAAAACAGACGCCCAACAACGCGAGGCCGGAACGTGCTGACGTCTGCAGAGATGTCACCTCTCCTGCCGACAACGAGCACAACCAACGGGGTCAGAACGCATGTTCACGCCTCGGAGTCCCCAACCAGAGACCGGATCGGCAGGACCCAACCACCCTGCGCTCGCCGCTATAGGGTTCAACGGCCTGAACAACCGTCAGTCTCACTCTGTTGCCTCTCTCCTGCCCTGCGTTACATGCAGCGGGCCTCAGCAACTGGTTGCAATCTTATCAGTCCTGTACGATCCGGGGTTCCTGAAGACAATACACGGACTTTGGAGTCGGGTCCGTTAGCGCGCGACAAAAGAATGAAAACCCTATCAAGGAGGCATGTGCTAGTGCGGAGGTCAAGAAAGCAGTCCATTGTCAGGAAATCACGACGATGGCCTACTGAAGGTCAGCTGCGATCACACCACTCCGATGTCACTCTACGAGAGGAAGTAAATGAGGTAACGTTCATGGTGTCATCATATCAAGAAGTATGTGAGGCGGCGTACTTTGAGCATTGATTTCCTTAATACCGTGGTTTTTGTTGTCTGTTTGATGCAGCCGAGCCGACTGTATTCTGCCCGGAAGGCGTACGAAGCTCGTTGCCTGGATGGTGGAAAGTTAAGCCAACCAAAGATGACCTTCTCCGAGAAGCTTGAGGTCACACCATTCTTACCTCTGCTAACGGTTTCCGCTTTAATCACACCACCGGCTTCCATAGTTTCTGCGAGGCAGGATAACGGAGGATGCCGGTCGGAAAATGCTCTGACACCAAACACCCTCCAGCGCATATTTCGGTCTACACGAGAGTTCTACTATAAATACACGCCCTCACCCGCACGGCTGACAAGATCTCTAGAGACCAGCGATGCTGAAGACCAAGTAGGGCCCTCAAGACAACCAAGGATTATCCTGTCTGATGCGGAGTCAGTCAGCACTATTTCACAAAACGCCGCGCGTAAGTTTCCTTCCTTAAAATATGCTCAATAAATTAAATTTAAATCCATGCGATCAGACGAGTTTAAGGGGGCAACGGAGAGGAAGCATACTGGGTCACTGGGACAAGAAGTTTATTTGTGTGACGTTTGGAGTACACAGTCAAATCTATTGGCAAAAATAGAAAGAGAAGGACGAAAGATGGCACAGGGTTCTGTATTTATAGGATGGAGTTAATACACAGACGCACACGTACTGACTGGTGGGTAGCGTTTCAGTCATAAATCACCAAGTCTTTGCTGCCAAATTTGGTAAAAGAGATTATGAGAGTTCGGCAGGCTTGCTCCGTAGTACCGTCCACACCGTCGTAGTAGTTAGCTGTGTGCATGTCAACAGTGTTGACGTTCGGTTATTCGAGTGCGGTCTGCCGCTCAAGAGATATGACATCGTAGTAGACCCCCACCCTGCAGAATTACACCCCGCATGAATATACTTTTATACCTTTCTGTCCTAGTTTATGAGTTCTATCAAGGGACTTTAAATGTCAGGCACATATAGATTATAGCTCACTGACTGCGTCTGCAAAATATTAGATAATATTCTTTTGGTTGTGCTTTTGAAACTCCGTTAGTTGGCTAATGAGCAAGTGCAAAGGTAGTTATGAATACCACTCTATTCCCAAATAAATGACCAAACATACCTGACCATAGTAGCCTGTGAAAATTTCAGAAAGAAAGAGGTCACTGAAGAGAGAACGTGCATTGTCGAGAAAATCAAAGCAGGTAAACGTACGCGTTCAAAAATTCACCGTCCGATCTTCACAATAATGTGCATTACAGTAGGACAACGAGAGATGCGAAACAATCGATAATAAGGAACGGAGTTGAAAAGTATACAGACAGACTAAAACAAGAGAGTGGAATCCTGTTCCACTGCTCTCGGGGGAAAGGTTAGTCGGTGGATCAAATTTGTATTTTGCAACCTAATACGACGTTAAAGAATTTAGGCAGGAATCTTTAGGGTTCAATTTTTGCCAAGGCATTCTCGAGAATATGTCCCTCTGAGCATAATACCGGGTTGCTTGGCAACATAACAGTGACCATTATTGCTGTACAGACTTCATTATGAGCAGTCCAAAATACGCGTTTGATCATCCTTACTCCTTATATGATTAGACTGAACGTCGGATTAGAACTTACGCGTATTTCTCCTTTTGAGGTTCTTATGAAGTCACAAGTTCTCAAAAAGTCGCTTGATTTCTGCCTACCGCTTACTTACCGCTAATTTTTTAACTTTCCGCATTTGCTGATGTAATTGATGACTTTATTACTGTTTATCGATATGAATAGTGAGCTCAAGGGCAAAAGCCTCATTCCCTTAATAAAATGACTTAAACTGACTTATATCAAATGCTTTTCATTACGTAGGTGCAGGTGTCGACAGGCTAACAGAAGCAGCGTCAGTTAACGAAAACTGTGAGCTGGTTCTTGAAGACCACGGTAAATCGATCAATCCAGTGAATAAGGCGAATCCCTTTAATGAAGAAGTACAGTCCAGAAATTTGGTCGGTGATCTGGATGCAATTGTGCCCCAGCATGTGCTAACCTCTCAAGCGACTACTTGAGAAGTCCGTCGCTCCGATTTTAGCTTGACCCATTGGAGAAGAATATCGACCTCTTAATAGTTCTATTTGTAGAAAGCAACACCTGTGTTCTGTCACTTCCTATAAGTCTGATATTTCATTAACACACCCCAGACGCAGTAACCAAACGGCAAGTAGACGAGTCCCGATATATGAATATTCATATAACTCTTTTGTATTTAAAGATGCTCAGCGTGCTGCATAATCTCCATTTCCAATGGAAGCGTTTACATTATCACTGATACTGTCTTGAATGATACTGTCTTCAATTTTTCTCTCTGTGGTAAAGGATTCTCTAGAAAAGTTGGGGGTATGACCAAGATGCGTATAATGGTCCAAACTGAAGAGGATTGCTATGGTGATGTTTATTGGTTAAGAGGATGGTGGTACTGAAGTTCTCGTCTTTCGGACAAGAATTATAATTATGGCGTTCTGGCCGTGATGGGTGGTTTATTTTGACAATGACGATGACATATGTTGCGACTGGGAACAATTTTGTTATTGAGGACATGAATCAGTCTGGGTGCTTTATGGGGCGAAAACTGTACAGGCATATTTAACTTGCGTGAACGTCGTCTGAGGCCTTTATGTATGTCTGTAAGTGTAATTTAATTCGTATGCTTGGTGCGTTTGGTCACAGTTCTCTTATCTTTGTAGCATTCAGTTCGGACGCTGTCTTTTCAATATTCCACCCAATATATCTCGTAAGATATTTCTCAACCAGTAAGACCTAATAACACGATGCAGCACTTTCGATTGGTGAAAAAGTTCTCCTTCACATATTTCATTCTTTCATTTTATTAAAGAAGGCACAAGATTTATCAGATTTCGACACCGTTTAGTGTGGATGTCTGAAGGCAGAAAAGTAAATGGCGTATAATAAAGGAAAGAGATAGTTAGTATTAAGGGATGACTAGTTGGAGCGCGTCAATTGACTCAATAGATTTTACATAAAAGCATGTGGAAACTGTCCAGCAGATTCAAATACACACATAATAAAATGTCATCATCCGGAAAACGTCGCTGGAAGGAACTCGTCCTGAGGGTCGATCGGCCATTGCTTATGACGCTGAAATGCCGATTCATACGGAAACACACAAGTTGGAGCAGTTAAAAAGTAAGTATTTACACGCAGAGTTGTTTTGCAAGTACGCCCCACTAATAGAACAAAATGCAATCCTTAAAACCAACTCACTCATTAATAATAATCAGAATCATGTAAGGGGAGGGGGATACGCTGGCAAAGTCTCCAGACTATGTCGGAAGAAAGCTAGACAGCTTTACAAGCAACAGCGAAAAAGCCAGCTTAGGTAACGAGGATGTCAAAACGTGAGCGCTTTTGATCGAAGTGTGATAAAACTGGTCAAACACTCCAAAGTCGCGCAAAGTCTTCGGGAGGTACGCCCAATGAGTTCAAATGAAATTTCTTCCTGGATGTCTTGTTGTAGAATGCCCTGTACACCAATGCTTCCAGAAGACTCAGCTTACATTCATCGCAAAGAGCTCATGGAAGACAAACCGGATGGAGCCATATAAACCATTCCAAAACTATACTGAAATTTTAGAATTTTTTACTTTAAACCCCCAGAATGAACCATTCAAACGAAGTTAACATTGTATGCATTGGTGAAATACAGACAATGCAGACGGTAGTGCTCTGTGAGCAGCCTGGTTTACAGTAGAATTTAGAATTTGTATTATGTAAAATACGTGAAATTTTTTTCCGTCTGCTGGCGATTTGTCTTTCTTTTAATATGCCCCTGATGATAATATCCATAAATGTCAAGCTGGAAGTTTTTTTTAAAAAAAAGGTCAGCTACGAGCGAAGTGCCCAAAAACTTCCACTAGTTTTGAAAGTGAAGGATAAATCCAGGAATTCCTCACTTTCAGACGAATATCCACGAGAAAAATTCCTTCGCAAAGAAGTATGAAGGAGAAGCGTGTGTTCTTCCTAAAAATATGATGAAACCACAAATGCAACTCAACAAGTGAGAGCGAAACGTCATCCTAGTGCGCCTGGGGATTCTTGAGGGTGGAAGACCCAGAGTGAAACCGGCAATTGAGGTGAGACCTCGACATTTCAGTGACCAGAACGGACTTCTGTTGAGGGTTAGTGGCGAGAAAACCTCAGAAGATTTCGAACGTATGGGCCAATACGAGCCCGGTTACTTCGCAGAGCGGTCAATATGAGAGGGCATTGAGTTTTGTGGAGGACGTGATGCATGGACGGGATTTCTGTAAGGGGGTCGTGGAAGGTAAAGCTACGCACGGAGAAGGAAATTGGAGCGGATGATGAATTTGGCTGCGGTGTCCTAAATGTCGAGTGGTTTTTTTCAAAGTTCTGAGAAAAGCTGCCTAGGAGCGAGCAGAAGAACAGAAGATTAATCAAGCCACTGTCAAGATAAAGGCGCAGTCTTATATTAGAAGCAGATATACTATTTGACGATCCAATATCGACTGGTTGGTTAATTCAAAGAAAAGCTGTCCACTCCTCGGATGTAATCCCCAAAACAGTCGAAAGCAAACTGATGTTAAGTCTCTATTACTCCTTGTCACGTGTGTCCGCTCGATACTGTTGAAGTCCAATATCTCAGCAGATTTTGTGGCTTGTTTTTCTGTGTGCCCTCTATATAAGACGGACGTGTCAAAATATCCTTTGGAAAAATTGTGATCATTTACCTTCATTCATACAGTCATACATAGAGAAATATAGATCCCGACTAAAATCCATTAAATAAATGACATTATTGTACGGCGCAGGAGAATGCAAAAAAGAAGGCAATAACTTTGTCCAAAGGGGCTCCGGTACGCTGTCTTTTAGATAGATAGATAACTTTTATTAAAGACCCGTCGTGGTCCCATCAAAGCAAGTTAAAATAAATTTGCATACGAGCTTTAGACGAGGTAGGCAGAATCTTTACAAAATGCAATTCATAGTTTCTGAATTAGTAGTCCATTGAGAAACATGATTAGTGAGGGGTAAAAAACTCCATACAAAAAGTTAAAAATGATTGGATTAATTTTACAGGAGAAAAAAACCCCTCAATAAAAATAATGACAGAAAAAAGCGAGCAGGACTGGTCTGTAGGTGGCGGTATATAGCGGATTGTTGTCGGTCATCGTCAGGGTAGCAATAAATTTCAGCCTTGAGGGGTACGTATGCGGGTCATATAGGACTGGCCTGCATGTGATATTGTATACGGGATTCAAAATTGGCATCGTCTGGGCCGGATTGATACGCCGCATGAGACTATTCGCGTCAAAGAGGCCAGACGAGAGGAACCCAGATGCGATCGGCCACAGCAGGCTTCGAGCTCAGCCAAGAAGTAGGGAAGGGAGGTACGACCAAACTACTAGTAGACGGTGAATACCGAGGGTTACACCGGGAGCGTCGACAGACCGCATGAGGTCAGAATGCGGGAGATGACATCAAAAACCGCGAAAATTGTCGCTATGGCGGAGAAGTGATAGCAGTGGATTTAGAAACCAATTAAAAACGGGGGTTTCTAATGATATAATTAAGAGTTACCACTTGATCTACCACTAAATCCCAGGAGGACCCTTCTCGAAGTCAACAACCTGAGTGTTCGGGAATGAGACCGTTAACAGTGCCTTTATGCTTTCCGGTGTAAGATGTTTGCGTAATTTGGACTTGAATACCAGTAACATAGGCGATAATCTAATTTCAGGAAGAAGATTATTCCGAAGGAAGGCATATTTAGAAATAAAGAAGAGGGAGCGCTTAGATGTAGTATAAAGGGGCGGCGGAATCACCATGCAGGAGTTGCGCGTGGCATAAGGCGGATCTCTCGGAGTGAGAGTGCCAATGAGCGGATGAGTGGAGCTAGGGTTAATGCGAAAAAGGAAGCAAAGGCCAGATTCGAGTCTTTTAACTCACAAAAACTTAATGTTTGTCAGTTGACATCTCTGAGTATAAGAAATACCGGACGAAGCTTGAGAGAACAGTTTACGGGTGAAAACCCTCTGAACATTTTCGATTTTATAGCGGTCAAAGGCGTTCAGTAAACCAAAGAACGGACGGCAGTATTCGACGACTGGAAGAACAAACATTTGATAAATTCATAGCTTCATTTCCGGAAGGAAAAAAATATGTGATATGAATCCACATATCTGCGCGGCCTTGGCAGAGATTCTATCTGCATGAGGTGATAAAACAAGCTTATTTGTATAACTTAGACCTAGATCCTTTATGGTGAGGCATTCTGAGAGTGGGTTATTCTGAAAAATTATGGGACCAGGAAGTTTGGCAGGACTAAAAGACATGAAACTACACTTGGATGATGAAAACTCCATCTGCCATGTCGAACCCCATCTGCTTAAGCGTAGTAAATCGGCATTAATTTTTTCAACACAAACGTTTGCGGTGTCCTTAGAGTATGAGTAAACACACTTGAGGTCATCGGCATAAGTAAGAGTTTGCGAATTTCCGAGTTCAGTCGAAATATCATTGATGTACAGAAAGAAGAGTAGCGGACCTAGAACTATGCCTTGAAGTACGCCACTCGTGATCGAGTGAGGTGTCGAGTAGCTATTACCAACCATGACTTTCTGATATCGGTTGGACAGATAGGACCTGATGAAGTCGATTAGAGGCGGCCGGATGCCGAGAGCTTCAAATTGTACTAAAAGACGTCTATGGGGCACCTTGTCAAAGGCTTTGCTAAGATCAAAGTAAATAACTACCACTGACTGCCGCTCATTACGAAGAGAAGTGATTAGATTAAGGAAAGCCAAGTGACATGTTTCGCAGGATCGTTCAGGTAAAAATCCATGCTGACTAGAGCTCAGAAGCCGATTAGTAAGACAGAAGTCAAGAATTTCATTGAAAATAATCCCTTCAAGAAGCTTTCGAGACGGCGTTTTGTGCAAGTCCCGATAGTTATGAACTTCGGACCGAAATCCTGACTCGAAGACGGGAATGATAATTGACGTTTTCCATGTTTCAGGAAAAATCCTTTTGAAATATAAACCGAGAATATATGACTAAGCAATATGGGAAGGTCGGACGCTTGTTTAATAATCGAATTCGGAATCCAAATCGTTCCTGAGCAGTGTGAGTATTTCAAACGGCTTATATGTTTCTTTATGAGATCTTAGGAGACATCAATTGTACTAAGTGTGCTATCTGAGATTGATCGAAAGAAAGGGACCGGATCGGACTCTGTAGTAAGGTGTTTGGCAAAGAAAGCACTAAACAACTCCGCCTTGTCAGTGTCATCGGCGAGGAAGACTTTGCTACCATTTAGCAGGGGTGGAAGTTCGTGACCACGATTAGGGGACGACCGATGACGGAAGATGTAAGCGACGGATCTGCCAGGGTTCGAACCACTGAGAGCAACTGATTCTCTTTGCCTGTCGCGTGTTGGCGCATCCTTGAGGCCATCTCAAAAATCTCTGCGATTCTAAGATGAACTGATAAGGAACTAGTGGATGGGTCACGCAGCTGTCGCCTCAACATTTTTAGTCTGTTGTAAAGGAAATGAGGAACAAGGGAGTCTGAAGAATTAGGCTTGAAATATCTATGCGGACCTGTCAGCTGTTCGATGAGCGTTTCGCTGGAATTAAACTGCTTGGCGGCACCACAGGCTCTGGCCACTGTCACCCAAGATATGAAAGCAAAATCAAATTGAAATTAACCGTCTGGCCTTAACCAATCGGCCGTTGGACTGAGTAACGAAGTATTTTGCATTCAACAGATTGATCCCCACATTCTGTAAAATAAGAAGAAGAAAGTTACTTGAAGCAAATATTTTGGTACTTAAATCTAAAGACCAGAAAACGTCCATGATTGTTGTGACATCCCTGATGTCAATTTCTATTCTTGTCTTTACTTTGCTACTAACCGTTTGCTAGTAACCAGACTTTACGCATACCGCCCTGTCTTTGTCTTTGTATCCCTATTCGTCGGTTCTTGTCATTCTTTGTTCATTGTTCCCTGTCCATTGCCTATTGCTCTTTGTTGCCGCTCGCTTATAAACCGACCACCACACTTTGGCGTCATTCGCTGACTGCTCGTCTTATCACCTCGAATGTACGTCCACTTTTCAATTTATTCTCCACCTTATTAACTCTATTGTGCTCCGCTAAACTCACTGTTTATTGCTATAGAACCACAAAGAATAACTGAGTTATCCTGACTGTCTTCTGACATAGCTTTGACCTCGGGTGCGTCTATTCTGGTGAATAAACTAGCACTGAATCTAAAGAACACCTACAATTGTGTTCCTGAACTTAGGGACAGTCAAGAAGAACACAAATTATTGAATACGTGATGTGATGTTAAATGTAAGTTGACACATGCACACGTAGACAGTGTTGTATACTCAGATACTGACTGAATACCGTGGCTTCTTTCACTACTTATGCGTAAATTGTGCACGACATTACCATATGGAAGGATTATTTAAATCATTTTTTCATATGATTACGTGGATAAAACATGATGTATATGAAAAAAATTTGCTAAACCTACCTCAACTCACTTAAGTAACGCCTGAAGGCGGAGGTCAACGTAGGATAAATTAAATAGGATAAAATTTTATGATTGCTACTATTATTTGTAATTACGAGCATAATGATAATTTTCACTGTTAGAAAGAACAGCAACGGCTTGGAGTTACGATCGAACAAAAAAGGAAGGCGTGACCACGCACGGAAGAGTAGGTTGAGCCGATATAAAAGCGCATGCATGAAATTGGGAAGCCGATAAGGGCATTCTACAGCATCGAGTATGTGTGGCGCCTTCGCGCAAACAATGGCCGATCGAGCATTCAAAATTTTTCTGCGAGGGAATTCTCGAAGACGAAACGGCTAATCTGCGGCCGACACGCTCTCGGCCGGTTTTTTTAGAACGCTCTCAATAACTGGCACGTCATAAGCCAGAATGTTTCAGAATCCTCAGGGCTCGAATGAATAGAATGGTCTTTGCAAACTTAGAAACCGTGTGCTCGCAGGAAGAGAGAATAAAGTGGCCGTTCCCGGAACAAAATTCCCTTCTCTTCCATAAACACATCGGGCTGTAACATTCACCATATTATTTGCGCATGCCCTTAATACGACAGGGGACTCATCTAGTAGTGCTAGTGATTGGGGGATGCGTTTTCAAATCGTGCAGGTGAAGTAATAGTGAGTATCGATTTGTGATTTAAGTGCTGCTTTCTTAAGAACATTCCACTTTTGTCTAAGGATACGAACTAGCTGAATCGACCATGTACTTCACGACTTGTAACCTTCAAATAACTGATACGAGGAGTTTGGGTGTAATACCCGAGTTACCTGAAGGTTTGGTTTCGTCTGTAATGGGGCCTTCGGAGGGCGGTTGGGGTTGTTCGTCTGAAGGGGTCATAGTAGACATATCCATTATGGTTCTGCCTTGCACGGGGTGTTTGTAAGTCTGATCACACGGATTCCAACAGACAATACCAGAATTGAACTGTCCATAATGCGACGTTTATTAAATCAAGTGTTGGGAACTGGACGAATCGTGGGTTGGGTCAAATGATAAATGGGGGAACGACAATAGGGTAGGTAAAACCAGAAGTGTCCGAGCTTCTTTCGGCTTATCCTCCTTCTTGTTCCGGTGTCGGTACGCGTGACCCCGCCTTCTGCGCATCCGCTCGGTGATCCGTCACCGTCGCTTCAAAGGGAGCGGAATGTCGCTCAGGAGAACGTTAACAAAGGAATTAAAACAAACATAATTAAAAATATTCGTCCTTTACATGGGCATGTCCGTAATGAAAGCTTTATAATAAAAGGCTTATAAAAATATTTTGATCTTAGAACAGTCAAGCTTCTTAATTAGGTCGGATGAAGGACGGTTCTGTCCAAGTGTTCGAGGAAAAACATGCCATAGAATCTTATTTAATCACCAGGAAGGAAAACATTAGAAAAAACTAGACCAAATATTTGGCCAGACTCGACCGGCATTATGTCAGCATGGAAAGGGGAATAGACATTTTCGGTATAAGTTTAGCCTAAGACCGTGAAATTCAGCGTTTGGTCTTTGGAGTAGGTTGACAAATCAGAGCCAATATGAGTAAAAGTATGTTTAGCAGAGTATTTCAGTATGCATGTTGGACTTTGAAAGGAGGTAGGGGGCCACGTTTTATTAATTTGTTCCTGACAAATACGAGCCCTAGTTTTAGGGGATGAAACTGCACACCTTAGACCAACAGTGCAAATAAAGCAGTGCGTATGTCTAACTGATGTAGCTGTAGAAGAGTACTTAACTTCGTGCACTGAAGAACACTGTTTACAATGCGGACGGTACTTAAAGATAACGATATAAATAGGATAGGCTCCTGTATATTTAGCAAGCATGACAGAATGAAGTCAGGGGAAGAGCAGTTTACTACTTGGACTCAGCTGTTTAATCAATTCCTCCTACGCTTGAACTTTGTTTGGATCGAAATAATAGCGCTTGAACCAGTGTGGCGACGATGTTTTCGAGGCTAGCGTTCGGACCTGCATATTCTCATCTGGCGAAGTGCTTCACGTCAAACCAGTTGCGAACATTATCAACAGCCGCACGGAAAGTCGTCCTTATTCCTGGTGACGGCATAGGTCCTGAAATATCGTCTGCCGTCCAGAAAATATTTTCCGCGGCTGATGTAAGTTTTACTTTTTTCTCTATCTTACTGTTCTATTCTCATATAAACCCTCTCCACGTTCGGCTATCTAGAGAATTAAGAGATTTTGCCTTCTGTTTTACTTGTTGCCCTTTTATCTCATTTGCGCCCTCACTTAACTGTTATATCTCATCTCAACTCGCCTAGCCTAGTTCAAACAAGTTGCTATCTGGATTTCCTGTGTCGTAAAGCACCTTTATGGAGTCATTTACAAGGACTTGCCATTGTGCAGGTACTGCATAGGGATCCACAAATGTGTTGCCATTTTAGTGGGCATGAGTCGCAGGAGCAACAAGCGAAATTAACAAACGTCAGAGGCGGCGATTTATGGATAAATCTCCGTAAATGAAACTACAAACACAATTACAAAAGAGCTTACATCTTGTTATACATAAAAATGCCAAGGCAGATTCTGCCTGATGGAATATATCGTAACTTTTGTTTTGAAAACTAATAACCCTTTGGGCTTAATCAAAGGACTGTGCATGTCAAACAAGGATGCGCCTGCTGGCATCCGGTAGACCTTTGTGAAATAAATCGAAGTCAGCGGTAACTTGTGTCCCGTTTGGACGGATTGAAAATCCCATAAACTTAATATGTCCCCTAAATAGCGAGCACTTTTGAGTTTTGAATGCTATCTCGGTTAAATGTTGACATGAGAATTTTGAGCGACTCTCGGCCTCGATCACCAGCTTATCGCCACCTTTCTCTGAGATGGGATTCCATTTGTCATCACCATGCATATTTGTGTAATTCATCCCGAAATAAATCTCAGCTGTGGCGCTGAGGTTGCACAACAGCAAAATACCAGGAAGAAACGGTATTCTCACCGAAAGCATGATGACTATGTCTCGGCCATCCCCATACCTTCCATAACAGAGGGACATGGGGTTGGTAACTAAGCCCCCACAATGCGTCACTAACGACCTATGGCTGCATTGTCGGCTCGCCGAAACATGGTATTTCGTTCATTATGGGCCCATGTGGTAAGTAATAGCGGCCGACAATGTGTAAGTGGAAAAAGTAGTTGCTAGAATCAAACAGTCTTCTCCAACCGTTGCTATTCGGTCTGACGTTCAACTGGGTTCTATCATGTCGGCTTTCTTGCATGACTACATCGATTGCTGGCCTCTCGAAAGGGCTGTTCACTCTTTGACTGCCTTAGATCTACATCAGGATGCCGGCCAATTGTCTTCGGTTACGCTGGCGGTATCGTTCTGTTTGTACGATGACCATCAGAGCGTAGTATGTCGGGCAAACAAAACCATAATATCAGTCCATTTGGCCGTCAATTCATCACAATGCCACCTTTTTCGAGCGTTATCCCTTACTCACAGACGGCGTCCTACATAGTTACTGTCAGCCATCTTGGAGGAGTTGACAGTTTAAAATATAGGCGGATATCAGTCTCAGATCTGAGTTCAATAGAAGACCCTGTAGTCATCGGAACGGTGATTGTATTAGACTGAGCTTTCGGATTCTTGCGAGAGCTCACCTTCTGGATTGAAGACCGATACCACATGAGCTGTTTTATAGTCCCTCAACACGGATGTGGAGGTGGGGGGCTGCTTGTTCTTTGCTGTGGCCGGACTCCCTTCAATGATCGCATGTTCTAATTTTTTGCATTTTAAGATGTCTCGCGACGACGTTACTGCCGTTAGGCAGAGTAGGAATGACATTTTTGACTGAATCGCAAATAGTGGTGTCTATTGGGCACACTGTTGCGCGTGGTCGGTCACTTACGGATCCGTCGCACATAGATTGGCGAACCAGCACCTGAAGCACCAACATACACTCGCCCCCACTGTCCACACTGCCCCGCGCATTCACTCACCGCGTGGACCTATTCGGTAACATGCGTATTCACGAGAGCGGAATTGACCGCCCTCTCGACACACCTAACACCTCTTGCACACCCACTATGCCTAGCTCAACCCACACCCCGCCGCTCAGCAGGTCCACCACCATCAGCTCCACCACACTCGGCGCATCTTGCACACCTACCATGCCCAACCCAACACACACCCCGTCGTCCAGCACGCCCACCATTAACAGCTCCACCACTGCCACTATCTCCGAAACGGACACTGACACCGCCGGCTGATCCGGTCCACACTGTCCCGTACACCCGCCTTACGCATCCACCTGGTCGGTCGCCTGCGAATTCATCGCATAGAGACTGTCAAACCAGTGTCTGGAGCCACAACATACACCAGACGCATCCGCCTCAACTGCCCTCACTGCACCCGCACATTCACCCACCGCATGGACCTATTAGGCCACATGCGTATTCACGAAAACCTGTGGCGGACAACCGCCGACAAGAATACCCCATCACATCTTCCCCTCGCCAACACCTGCATCACCCAACATCACCATCTATCATAAGTATCCAGTTTCCACCTCCCACGAAAGTGAGAAGCTTGTGTCTCGGCTTCGTCTCCATGCGGCCCCTCTGCTTCATGTATGACCCCAGTCCGAGACTATCACAGTGCGTCAAGCACCGTGGCTTGGAAAGCTGCCGATTGACGCCCCAACCCACTCAACGCAGTCTGACCAGTTGTGTGCGTGTATGTGTGGAATGGCAGACCAGTGGGCGGAGAGCCAGGCTGAACCGGCTTCTTCTTAATGCTATCTATGACATTCTCACGCATGTGAGATGTCGCCCAACCCTCATTGTGTGAAATCCTTGTGCTTGTGTTTGGAGGGCCAGGTCGTGAATGTGGCGCTCGCAGACAAGGTCACCAGATATGTCAGCCACCGCGCCCAACCCCCGCACCTGTCAACTGACCGGCTCGGATAGTGACTTGGGCCTGGGAATGGGAAGGGAGAGTGGGGCCTACGAGTCAGCGCATTTTGCTCACCATAAACAATCTGACGTGTTTAAAGCTATCACGGTACGTCAAAAGCCGTGGCTAGGATGGTCGTCAACTGGCGGGATAACTTAGATTTCGTAGTCGTCCCAGTGTTATGTGTTTGTGTGGAGCGGTCGACTGGTTGTCGAAGAGTCAGGCTCCAATAGCCCCTTCTTAATATGGCCTTTATAACACTTCCCCTCAGTGGGATCCGAGCCAGATGTGACGGCATGCCTAGGTGCGGCTCCGGCCGTGCCATCCACCCTTTTGTTGTTGGTTAAACCTCTGGTCATTTGGTGTGTGGACCAGGGGATGTGCATTGAAGCGCTGAAGTGTGGGCTCGACCGTGCCATCCACCTGTGCTCTCCTCCGCCTCCGGTCTTGACACTGGGCCCAGGTGGGGAGGATGAGAGAGTGCGGCAGATGCTGTTCAAGTTAACATTCACTATAAACTAAAACACGCGCAAGTCACCGTCTCTGCCTCACCATGCTGTGGAGCACACGGTGGACATCGTTGGATGCGACGGTCGAACTGTTGGTGTGTTAGAAATGCGCATGTTCCAGCTATCCATTCGGCCAATCCTCCATGATTTTGAACACTGAATTGTGCCCGAGGAAAACGGACGAGAACTAGGGGTTTTAAACTGCTATTGCGTGGACGGTTTTTCTTGTAAAGTTCCTCTGGTATTGAATAACAGTCTGCATTTGCTGTGATGACATCTCGAGGATAGCCCAGGCCAACCAAGTAAAACAAATGAAGTAGTTCGGGCACGTTCTTCAGTGCCTATATCATATGTATGCTGGCGCAGCATAAATGCGGACGTCAGAGAGAGGTTCGGATAAACGCTTGGCTTGACAGCGATAAGGGGGGGGGGGTGGCTCCTGCACTTTAAGTATCCAGTTTTGCTAGTCGTGGAAGAGAATGAAAGTAGATGATCGGAATCGTTAGTTGAATCCTCGCACAGCTCTATTGTTGAATGCCGGTTTCTCAAATTTCTTGCCCGAGGGTCGCATCTTTCGATTTTTGAGGTTTTGTGTGTGTTTATGTTGTGAGATTCTGAATTCTCCTCATCCTAGGTACCGATAGAGTGGATTTCTGTGGATGTCACCCCCGTCAAACAACCTGATGGGACTATGCGCATGCCTCGCGCCTCCCTCGAAATTATCCGGCAGCATGGTATCGGCCTAAAAGGACCCCTGGCAACTCCTATAGGGAAAGGTCATCAATCCCTAAATCTGGCCCTGCGAAAGTGAGTCCATTGTTTATCGTTTCCTCAGTCGTTTGCGCATCAAGTGTTCGACGCTTACCGTCTACCTGTCTACTAGATTTTTTGTGTTCGTCTGTGCACTCGGATATATTTCACTTCTCGGGTCTCCGATTGATTTCTCCTTTGAGTTGGTTTCTAAACAGCGTGTCCTGGGGATTGTGAAATCACCTGATAACTGCTGCTCGCGAATTTCTGAAAACTCTTCCGCGCCAGCTTCCTGTCAAGTGAATTTCTCCAGACCACGTCCATGTCCATGTTCTGCAGAGGAGGATTAATCGGGATTGGCTAGGGCTTTTCTCATCAAAGTTGACTGAAGTCTTAAGAATTGATTAATTGATTGTTCCTCCAAATGTGTCGCGCCGCTGTTGCGACAGGCCAAAATGAGGGCCACGCTGATCAGGCTACTAAGAGTCGACATGAACTCCACAATTAACGCCGTACATGCATCTGGCCAGCATTAGACGTAGACTTGTGTTTGCCAGTACGCTCAATCCCACATAAGTCGGCCGACAAGTTCGCGTGGGTCATATAGGCAAAAAAAGTGAGTCCCAGGTAAGACCGATACCGAGGTATCCCTCCTCATGGCGACTCAACGCATTCCTCATCATCGTTACTTTAACATGTTTCAAGGCATTTGATGAACCAGGAGTAGTGACATGAAAGGTTAACAGCCGACGGGATAACCGTGGCCACACAACAATGTCTCCTTTTTAGTATGACCTTCATAATGCTCCCACTTACCTGAGATCCGTAACCTCTTCCTTGGAAGCCTCGTTTGTGTGGTGTTAGGAACGAGGACGCGTGAAGCGTGCCTAGCCTGACTACGTGACTTGGTCTATCACTGCACCCGTTTCATCCAATGGGTTTAGAGATACGCTGATGTCACCAGTCTGGCAACCTGGACGTGAAAGTTTTGCTGTGTACGGACGGTGTTGAAGAGGAAAAGTAAATGTACACAGTCGTGTTGAGCACCAGCGTTGACCAAGTAGCCTGACTGAATTGCAGCTCGCATGAATTCACGATGTGACTTGTTCATGTTGAAACATTTTAGTGGACTTTCAATCATTTTGTAAAATTTTCACTGAACACTCCTTCTCCCTGAGTCAAGTGCTGCAGTGTACAAATGGAAAAAGGCGGTGCCTATAGTGTAAGACCCGCCACAAAGCGGATATTTGGTGGACAGGGCCTCTGTCAGGTTGGGAATCACCCTGATCATTCCTCTAGTCGTGTACCTTTGGGGCGGTCATACGGTATTTGACCGTAACGTCAATTTTGCGTGCGCCAAAACCTTTGTACATGTGCGTGACTGGCAGAAAAACATGGGAGCCCCTCTGGCCAAACGATTGAAAAAGAATAACCGAAGAGAAGAAGTTGATTTTGCCGAATGTGAAGCCTCTCCTCAAAGTTATCCTAACTAACCAGGACGCTGTGGCCGCGTTCAGACACTACGTGGATGGCCAGCTGGCATTACTTGAACCGCAGACCGGTGAACCCTCCTCGGCCACTCAGAGAGGAGCCCATTTCCTGGGCGTCTATCCGACTGCTCTTAGTCGTTGCTCTGGCGACACTGCCATCGAGAATCCGATTGTGCACCGGCCAGTGGCGAAGAAAATCCGCTGCAACGCCAAGAATACAAAGAACTGGCAAGACCCCAATGCACCCTTCAAGATATCATATTTCCTGACGACGATGATGATGATGATGCTGCCAATTCGAACGCCGCCAGAGCTGCTGAGCAATCCAACTCCAGCTATCGATCGACTGCCCTGGACATGGAAATTTCGACAGTTAAATGGACTATACAACCGTTTGCCTGAGTCCAGTGTCGGTACCCTTTCAGCTGCCAGTGAGGAGGATAATAATCAGCAGGAAGAGGAGGCTAGTCTGGGAATCATGCTGTCGGCCAATTCTGCCCGGCGGGGTGGAGGGGATGATGATGATGACGACGACGACGACGACGACGATGACGACGACGGCGACGACGATGACGACGAGGATGGTGGGGCCGTGGCTGTCGTGCCCACCACTTCACAGGCTCATGTCAAGCAAGCCATTACGTTCATTTGCCTCCCGAAATGTAGGAGGTGCTCTGAGATTGTGTGAAAGAGTAATATCCCCTTAAATGATAGAATTGTGCATTTCGTCAGAAAAGTGCGTGGTTAGATACCCAATCGGGTGACTTGTTATTGGCGGTTAGCATTGTAAATCCGATTGTCTTATTTACTCATAAAGTTGAGATGACAGTGGTTCGCCTTCCTCCCGCTGTCGGAGTGAACTAATGTAAGCTCGCGCTGGGTCAAGGACATCAAAAACCATCGACGCCACCCGGACATACCTGACTGGTTGGCGAAAATGCATTTACTTAAATCCCAACAACAGTCCTACTGTCTTTGTGTTAGTAGTGTCGTCATTAGCCGATTTAGATACGAACCCGGCACCCAGCCCTCACCTGGGCCTAGCAGCCTCACCCCACCAACCGCCTCGACCGGCTAGCTAAACCAGGTGGGGATATCCGGTGTTGTATGCGTTACCGCACCTGGTAACTCTGCTTCCCTTCCCCCACTTCAAAAAGTCGTACAGAGAGGACAATATACAATCTCGTATGCGACTCAGGCTAACTCGCGTCGATCTCCACTAAACAAAGTCGTGACCCGTAGTGGAGTTTGCCAGTCGTCTGGGATACCACCTGCTTACCCTCTGGTGGGGAAGGGGCTAGAAGAGGTGTCTCAGGAAAAGTGCTAGGCAATCATGCCATCTGCAAGTATACCGTGGCGCGTAGATGCAAAACCCGCGTTCGAAGCACTCAAAGAAGCAACAACAATCCGCGTCCCTATCCCCCCCCCTCAACACTCTACGGGCTGCCAGAGTGGGTCTGTTCACTCTGGCAGCCTACACTGTGCGTTGTCTTTTAGACAATCCAGGGAGAAATCGACCGGAACGGAGCACGGCGGAAATCAACATCGATCTGGATCTGCCGCCTCCTCTCCTAGAAACAACCCGCCCCGTCCACCAACTCTCCGGCGAGAAAGCTCCGCGATTCGATGCGATTCTGGCTGAAGTCTATAAGCACGGCAGCGTCCAGCTAGTTGATCAACTGGAGCGCTATTCTAGGAAATGTGGCGCCAAGGACAAGTCTTTCAAGGCACCACCGATAGGATTTAAGCCGTCCGCCAGCTGAAGGAGAAGTGTCATGAGATGCTGACCCACCTCTGCTCTACCTTAGTGGATCTGACGAAAACCTTTGAAACGGTGAGCCGCGAATGACTGTGGAAAGTCATATAGGAATTCGGCTGTCGCGATCGATTCACTCCGGTGGTGCGTCAGCTCTACGTTGGCATGATGCCGCGTGGATAAAACCGTGGTCATGTACCAACCGTCATCCAACACGGAATACAGCATTCCTCCAATGAGTGTAAACGACATCCAACTTGAAACCGTGATCAACTTTGCCTACTTAGGTAGCACATTCTCGCGCAGCCTCAAAATCAACGATGAGGTTGCCAACCGGATCTCAAAAGCCAGTCAGGCCTTCGGCCGGCTGCAAGCCTCTGTGAAATTGTCACGGCCTTCAACTAAACTCCAAACTGAAGGTGTACAAGGCCGTCGTATTGACGACACTTCTGTACGGAGCGGAAACCTGGTCCGTATACTTAAATCAAACTAACAAGCTGGATCACTTTCATCCCAGCTGCCTCCACAGAATACTGAAGGTGAGATGGTTGGGCAGGATCTCAAACACGGCAGTCAAGTCCGCTGCTATAAGGACACCTTGGAGAACTCGATAAAGCGACTGCATGTAAACGCGGAAACCTAGAAGGACCTCACACAGGACAAACCGGCATGGAGAAGAGAAATGAAGACTGGAGCAACCGTCTATGAAGCCAACTGAATCGCCGATGCCAAAACCAAGATGGGAGCGCGCAAATATCAGACACCCCTGACTCGAAATATCAACGTTCGATCCATCCCAACATGCCCACGATACTAACGAACCTTCCGCTCGTCGATCTGCCTCGTTGGACATCTCCGACCCCAATGCACCAACCACCCGACAACCCCAAATTCTGCCTCCACGTCCGCCCTTACTCTAACCCTCTCGGCGTCCATTACGGCGCCCACCCTCACCACTGGTGCTCCGTGCTCTCCCGTCGACCATCGCCATCTCCATGATCTCTGCCGAGATGTCTGCATCAACAACCACCTCTGCTACAGACCGAAACGCTCCCAACGCTCCCGTCAACCACCACCCTCATCATCACAGCCCTCACCGCTGGGGATGTGGACTCGGTCCCAACCTGTCCTCATTGCCATCGCACGTTCGCCTCACGCATCAGCCTGATCGGTCATTTGCGGATCTGTCGCACGGAAATTGGGGAGTCAATGTCTGGAACGCCAACATACACTCACTCCATCCGCCTTCATTTTGCACACAGATTCATTCACCGCATGAAGTGTCCGTTCGCATGCGTATCCACGACAGCGAAATTCACCGCAGTATCGACACAAATCCACCAACTCTCCAGCCCAGTCAACTCCCCATCACTCCGTGCATTGCCACAGAAACCGACTCTACAGCTCCCTACCTACCCTGCCCACGTCCTCACCCCACATTCACCTCGCGCATCGGCCTGGTCGGTCATTTTCAAATCCATCGCACATAGACTGGATAACCAGTGCCTAGAACACCAACATACACTAGACCCCATCGTCTCAACTGCCCGCACAGATTCATTCACCGCATGGATCTATTAGGCCGAACGCGTCTCTGTGAAAACCTGCGATAGAATACCGTCGGCTACACCATACCATCAAATGTCTCCTCACCATCATCTGCACTGCTCATGACAACACCCAACATCACACAACGCAAGCACGTCACGTAGGTGGGAATTCTCGCATGTGGACATTCGTCTTGTGTTGTTTGTTTAGAGTAATCTCACTTTGATTCTGTAGGGCAGGATGGTTATGCCACGCGCACTGAAGAATCCGACCGATTATTTCAGAACAGATTCAGCTCGATGCGCAACGGTCTAATTCACATCAGGCCCGGAGGCACCTATCCTTGAAATCCGGTTTTCTCAGGTCTTTCTATGCATGAAATCGGTTTAGTGGTTGTCTTCGATTGTTTCTGTCGATGATTATTTCCACCACTTTACAATCTTCCTCACCTCCCCCTTTCTCTCCTAACCTGATTTCTTGTCCATTTGCGACTTTCTGGCAGGGTTGTGTGGTAAGTGGATCGGCAACTCCAATCACAACGCTTCACTACCGATATCGCGACTGGCCAGAGCGCTAGCCCTGTCCAAGCTTCGTTAGTACACATCCGTGTTAATAACCGCGTCAGACTATATGAATGCTTGTGCTCCTGCTATTCAGCCCTTAACTACGCTAAACCACAGCCTTATGTCCGGCCTTTACACTCCAACCTCTGAACCCGCTTCTGTCTCTCCAAAACGGTCTATCATTTGAACTCTTCGTTAGTCTGTCTCCTGTCTTATATATCTCATATTCGCGTCGGTTCGCTTACGTGCGTCAATACTTTCTCATCGCTCACAGAGAATTCAGTCTTTATGCCAATGTGCGGCCGTGCAAATCGCTGATTGGGTACGAGACTCCCTACAAGAACGTGGATCTGGTAACCATTCGCGAGAATACAGAGGGTGAATACTCGGGCATCGAACATGTTGTGAGTACTCTGTATTCCGCTTTATCCATGTTTTTTTATGTTTCCCTAACTGAAGCCTATATTCTTCACTTGTGTATCTGTGTCGTAGGATGGACACGATTCCCATACGGCTTTCTACCTAATTTCATAGGTCCCTGTGCAGAAAAAATTGAGTTGTTTTATGCTTCCTGCCCATTTCGGTGTCTATGACTTGTCTCGGGGACATGAAATGACCGGGTAACGACCGTAAGCGCGTTTGATCCAGCAAATATACCCTTCTTCGTTAATGCTTCGGAGATATGCATGCTACTGCACAATAGTGGCACGCCAAGGGGCGACTCCGGCCGCACCAGCCGCCTGCGCCCTCTCCCACCTCCGGTCTTCTTGACTATGTTTTGACACCCGCCCCAGATGGGAGAGGAGAAGGAGGAGGGAGTGCGGCAGATGCTACCCAATTCTACTCATATTAAAAACTAATTCGCGCTCAAGTCACCGTGCATGCCTTCACCTTGATGTGGACCATACGTCGGAAATCGTCGGCAACGACGATCGAAGTGTCATCTAACAGTCTACTACCTGTTTGCGCTTGCCGCTATTGCTGCAGTTCTTGCCAGTAGTTTTGCTGCCTTTACTTTTTCTACTCAGATTGTTGACGGTGTGGTCCAGAGTATAAAACTAATTACCAGAGAGGCCAGTCATCGGGTAGCCGCGTTCGCCTTCAAGTACGCAGAAGAGAATGGTCGCTCCACTGTGACAGCCGTGCATAAGGCAAATATCATGTACGTTTCCCTGTTATTTTTAAGTTTACACTATTATGTTTACTTGTTTCGTTTTAAGTAATGTTTATTATTACATATTAGGCGCATGTCGGATGGTCTTTTCTTACGCGAGTGTCGAGCTGAGGCCGAAAAACACCGCAATATCAAGTTTCGGGAGATGTTCTTGGACACAGTTTGCCTAAATATGGTTCAAGATCCACTGCAGTTCGACGTTCTCGTCATGCCAAATCTGTACGGAGATATCTTAAGTGATCTGGCAGCAGGCCTCGTTGGTGGACTGGGTGTCACTCCTAGTGGCAACATTGGTGAACACGGAGCCATATTTGAGTCGGTTAGTTTAAAAAATTGTCATTCCTATAGCGTCATGTTTAAATTCTCCCTTTCCTGTTGGCTGAGAATAGCAGCCGTATGTACCGCTCTCTCCTATTCACGTTTACCGCGTGGTTCGTAATGTAGACCGTATCAAATACCCTGCCGGTTGTTTGTTTTAAGCGATACGCCTACATATCGTGTTTAAAAGCTGTTTGGGAGACTGTGTGTCATAGATAAAATATATCAAAAAAGGAGTACGAAGGCACATAGATTTGAGACTCTATCAACTTGTAGATAAATATGCGAATCCTAGTCACGTCTGAAATCTACCACAACACATTTCAACAACTTCACTCAACTTCTACGCGTATCCAGCAGTCCACGCGATCTGCGCGCCTTGGTTAGTTTTGAATTAAGCCCAGTCTGAATTCCGTATTAAACACACGCATCCGGACGACTTTACTTTGTCACCTTTGTCCTTTTAAACAAATCAAAATGTAGGTACACGGTACGGCGCCGGACATCGCTGGTCAGGACAAGGCCAATCCCACCGCCCTTCTACTCTCGTCAATCATGATGCTGCGCTACATGGGACTGAATGAGTATGCGCAGAAAATTGAAAACGCCGTCTTCACCGTTATCAGGGAGAAAGAGGTATGCACTGTTGACGGGTGGTGAAACCCCAGTTACTCTCTTAGCCACTTGACTTTGCCTGAAGTGTTTAACTAGGATGCTTTGTAGAAGGGACTACTGTCAGTCATCGCCTCCAGGTCTCCTTTTTTATATGCAACTTCAAAAAAATCATGCAGACTTGACATACGGGGGTGTCTTGAGCAGACAGTTTAGTGGTATGGTGAAGAGCAAATATCAGCACCAACTGGCGATACGTTAACGTGATACACCTGAGTCAACTTTCCTAACGGAAGCATGTGGTGAGGACAAGTGGATTAATTCCTCCGGTTTGGGCTGCTTACCTGTTGCCTCGTTTCCTTTTTCAGCACCTTACCGTCGATCTGGGCGGCCACAGCAAATGCTCCGAGTACACGAACGCCATCTGCCAGCAGATTGAAAAGGGGCCCAACTAATGAATACAACCTCCTCGCACTCGAAACGCAGTCGCATATATAAATCTTCTCATTCTGTCTCTCCTACTCTCCGTCCATGTCTTCAGGTTTACGTTCCATCTGCATTTCCTCTTTCGACTCTTTTTTTTACATCTTGGTTTTGCTCTGTCTTCAATGAACCTACATTTTTAGCTTCCGCCGTCTATCCACTTGCTGCTTTATGCGTAGGCGTTTGCCCTATAGATCATGTCGTTTATGTACCTGCATTCATTTGAGGTTGATGACCTGGATGTTTTTTGTAATCTTGTTGATTATCGATGCCGGAGATTGTCATTTCACTGGCGGGGTCAACCGCTGCCCCACAGGATGGGCCTAGCAGAAGTAGCGTGAGCCCGAGTTTGTCTGTAATGAAACAGACTTGCGTCGACCTTTCTCTCTCCCTTTTCACATCCGCTGTGCTTCGATAACAAGGCAAAGTCAAAACGGCCAAACGGGGACGTGCTCGCAGAGTTTGTCAGAACTTAACAGTCCGTTGACGTGTGCCACCACACATAGCGGGCGTCAGTGGGGGGTTGTCTCGGATCCCATGTGAGCAAGCGTGCCGTGCTACGAAGGAGCCACCACTGTCAGTTCTGAGTAGGATCGAGTTATCCTATCGGTTTGTAACTTTCCGAAACCCCGGCTTCTGGCGCGTCGCGATGGTTTCAGCTCGTATTTGGCTGTTTACAGTGGGAAAACTAAGTGTCAAATCCCTGTTCGACCGCTCTCTATTCCCTCTCACGTACACTGTTGTAGTTTGTCAACCACTACCGACGTTGGCGAACTTCGCAGAAACACGCGAGTGATTTGTGGCGTTACCGTATGCGCCTCCGGTCGAAACGTCTGAAAGCGTGTGCTATACCAGTATCGGCAAACCATGACCCTCGCAGTCTGGTACGCGCTGGCAGTTCCCTGACGGTAGATACGCTTGTGCTCCCTCAAGGTATGCAGGTGGTGGGCATGGCTGCCCAGTCATCATCCTCGCCTTCTGACCTCCTGTTGGGGTGTTGTTGTTGTTGGTTGACCCCTGTTTGGGCGTCGTTGGATTTGTTAGTGAAAAATCCTGGTCAAGTGTTTGTTGTGAACCAGGGGGTGTGGTGACACGCCTAGGCGCGGGTCCGGCCGTGTCAACCACCGCCCACCTCCACCTCCGGTCTTCTTGATTCTGTCTTGACACCGGTTCCAGGTGGGGAGTGTGGAAGATAGAGTGCGGTAGATGCTGCACATGTCTACATTCACTATAAACTAATTCACGCGCGATTCACTGCGCCCGCTCTCACCTTGCAGTGAAGCTCACGGTAGACATCGTTAGAATCGACGTTCGAACTGTCGTATACGCCTTTGACCGGATAGCTTCAGGCGGTGATTGAATGTGACAACAGCGTGATCATGAGTGCCCAATGATATTTTGTGATTGTTGTCAATTATGCCTATATGGCTGGTTGTGTGGATACAGTGTCGGCTGGGAGTCCAGTCACTAGTTTTCCGGTGACCGCATTGAATTTTTAGGTTACTGACCAGACTGTTGCGTGGTTGGACTAGACAGCACCAGTCGAGACACTGTACTGCCGGCAGTCTCTCTCTCCCCGTGTTCTGCCAGGGCTCTCATTTTGGTGGCCACAGAGGGTTCTGACGGAAACAAACGGAGATGGGAAGGTGATGTTGCAATTAAGGCCCTCCTAGCCAGTGATGATGTCTTTTACGGGGGGCGAGGTCGTCAGCACGGCGGTGAATGTGAAGGTGTCCGACGGGGCCATTCCGGGCCTTTATAGATGCTGAGCATTAGTCCGGAACATTTCAGTCCCTCGTGTTTGCCCTTTCACTTTGTCCTTGCCTGTTTGACTCCAAAGATGCCTGTCCTGCGCTAGTGTCTATTCAGTTTTTTGGTTACTTTGGAGGCACTTAAGAGAGAAAGAGGTCTTCAGTGCGTTCTTGCAGTGCTGTTATTGTCCAACTTGACTTCGAGCGTCCGTAGCGATATCCTCGTACAACAGTCCTCCCGGTAGGCGCTCATCGGGCCTCCTCTCCAAATGGCCGCCGCATTGTGCTTGGACCTGATTTAGCATGCTGGTGGGCGCTCCCGAACTTGGGATGCTCGGAACCCGTTCTGGTCACCCAACCCACTTATATCTTTCGAGAGACACCTTCGTTGAAGTTGTTTATATTCCTCGCTTGATTGCCTAGGTCTCCGCGCCGTGACAACACCTTGTCGAGAAGGCAGCCTCGCACACCCCCCAGTTTTGTGTCGAGGATGCTGTAACCTGCCAAAGGCCTGGTTGGCCTTGCGTCTCCGTGCTGCAGCCTCGATGTTGGTGGCCCGTGAGATGGTGCAGTTCAGACAAGATAATTAGTCTGCTGTCGCGAGGTAGTTGCCATTTTGCAGTTATTTGACAGTTGAAGGTGTGGTCAGTGCATGACAGTCGCTTCCGGTGTGCTTATGACTAGTCCGGAATTTGCGCATCCAGAAGTGAAGATCAGTCAGCTTCGCTGCGTTTGGGCTTTATTTTGGGTTTCCAGCATACAGTCCTCGACGTGAAAGGGGCCACGCACCTTGGCCTTGGAGGCTTTTGTGACGACCTACATGCGACGACCTTGAATAACGGTTACCGACAAAGAGAGGGGCAAGACTGGAATGACAGTGTTTGGCTTATTCGCTGTTATCGGCCAGTGTTACCCCGGTCCCAGACTGCACACCCAAGATTGGAACCCGAGTCGATTGATCTGTTGCAACGCTGAGCCTCTCAAAACTACTTGTACTTGCGCACCAATTGCAGTCTGGTTCTCGGCCAACACCGGGCCTCCAAACTGGCCAATCATCTTCGAGGCTGACTCGGACATGACCTCGCTGAAGGCGCTGTACGATTGTCCCACTGTTCCACACTCTCAGACGCCGCTCTCGCGGTGTCAGAGATGCCCTCGTCCGACTACCAACTACCAACCTCTTCTCTAATAGTTCTGTTCAGGATACAACATCCTTCCAACTGGCTTCCCAGTTCGAAACTGGACCTGATGCTCGTGGTGATTAGGTTCTCCCTATGGCTTATGCCGCCGCTATAGATCGTTGGACAGTGGTAGTTTTTGTCGATATCTGGTAAACGTCCGTCAGCGTGCGATTGAGGAGGTTCTGCCTCACCCACCGGATCATCGCGATGCGGATCCGTTGTCCGTTACGCGCCACCTGACAGATTGTCTAGCATTTCGTTCAAACAGTTTATTAATGTTGTTATATTACTTCCTATATTTCAGTAACGTTGGTTTTTTTAATATTGTCCCATGTCTGTTGAATGTGTGTTGGCATTCAATTCGTCTCCCTCCGAAACTGAGATAGCACCAACTATCCCTAGACAGACTACTGTACAGCACATTTAGTAACGTTAATGTTTTTAACTCTTGGAACAATTCGTTTATCTGTCTGGCTTACAAAACGTTGCCAATCTGAAGAAACTCTGTAGCCGTTTGATGTTTCAATTTTCAAATTTTTTTTATTGTTCGCCTCCTTGTAACAAATAGGGAGTTCAAAGGTTTAACACCTATATTTCCCTCAAATAAACTGAACTGAACTGAATCGTGCTGGCTGGCCGGCCATCAGCGCAAACCCTTCGATACATCTGAATTCCCCCGTCTTCCTAGAGCCCGCTCCGACTCACGAGATGATCCAGAAGGTGGTGCGGAGACGGGTCCTCTTTCCCTCTCAGTTTTTCCTGCATTTGCCGCCTGGTTGTCGGATGCTCTGATGAAGGGCATAAGCCAGTGGGAGGCAGAATATCGGACTGTCTCTGTATGCCTATGGGTCATGTAGCAAAAAGGCCGAACTCACGACCACAAACTAGATGATGTGAACTGGATTGCACGCTTTTCGAAGCCGTCGCCTAGACCCTGGAGGCAGATCGCGTGGCGGGCTTGCGGGAGAGACTGGGTACGGGCCTGCATCTCTGCTGGACTCCCAATAAACTTGCATACTACGCACAGCACGCGTAGTACGGAGGGGAGGCTAACCGTGGATCATTGATGGTTAGGACGCTCTAGCTTCAGAAAGATTAAAGTTTCCAATGGCCTACTTAGTTTTTATCGTGGGACGTTGAAAATCCAAGCCGACAACAGGATAAACGAAAACTCCAACGCCTCTTCAAGGTCTGAGGCGTGAGGGTGGGGGAGAAGAGTAGCGACAGGCACCCTCCAAAGGCCACTCGGAAGTACTACCTTAATCAGAAAGGTTTATTCCAGTCATCCGCGTCTGTGCCAATATCCTTCTGGGAAGCGTCCTCTGCGTCCGTTCGAGCGCTGAAGCCACCGAAGACTATCAGCATCCCGAGCTTTGACACAGCACTCGTCTCTTAACTTACCAGAGCTTGCCAGAGTAGGCACATGGGCGCCGATAACAGTGCCATAGAGGCCACACTAGCAGGAGGCATTTAACCTGATTCTCGCCTGCTTTACACATAAACAGGACTGACTGCGAGGACTGAGGCATTCCGCCAGAGTTGGCATACATCCTGGCAGGAATTCCCGTCTAGGACCATGACAGTCCAGTGGTGAGGTGAACTTGCCGCCTACGCGGGTGACTGTAAGCAGATTCGTCTTCTTTTCGATTAGCATGAAGGAACTCTACTCGCGAGCTGTTCGATCATGGCCTGATTGTAGGACCAACTGGAAAATAAAAAGAGAAACAGGGAACGAAGGACTGCATCTAAAAATAACTGGCACGGAATCGTCCGTATTCCACTCTGCAGGTGGGACGGGTCCATGCACATCACTGCCATGTGGTGGAACAGGAAAAATTCGTCAAATTGCGCAGACGCAACATGGATCATACCCGTTACACCGCGTAAACCGATTAAGTAATGCTTATGGTCCGATTTTGAAGATCAAAAACAGCGAATTCATGCAGCCCTGGAACGGAGTTGGATTATCAAGTTCTCGAAGTGAAGTCAAGTGTTTCGTCAGCATAACTGTCGGGGAACAAGGATGAGGAGGAATGAAGGCACCCAGGAAGCATCAGACCATGAGTTGAAGCCTAAGCTAGTGAGAGCCGACGTCCAATGCGTCATGCATTCTGTTGGGAATATTACTATGCATATATTCGGTCCGCAGTGAATAGGAAAGTTGGGGTGGCAGAATAGCGCAGAAACATTGGATCAGTCGATCAGTAAGGACAATTTAAAGTGTGGCAACACTATAATAATTGCTCTGCCGAAAATAAAGACGAAACTATGCAGACTCTACTTCTACGAGACCTATGTCATCGGTAGACAGGAAGCTCACTGTCCTCAGAGTATTTGACCATCTATCAGCCGCTGCAGCCAAATAAATGTGGAGGGGCTAAGACGTCACGCCTTGGAAGAGAACGGTTGTACAATCGCCAGTTCCAATGCGAGGTATTCCCCAGGTCAAGCAGCAACCCAAGAAACCTGAGAGGTTTTCTCAAGAAAGTCATCTACAACGGTATTGCAATTTCAGGAGAGAAATACATCAAATCGACCGTCGCGAACGACGATGTCGACCGTGTGACTCACAGCAGTGGATGATGATGCAGGTGTTGGTGGGGGAAGGTGTGGTTTGACCGGCGGTTTTCTACCGCAGGTTTACGTAAGTGCGCATGTGGCCTAAAAGACCCGTGTGGTGGGTGAGTGTGCGGGTGCAGTGAGGGCAGTTGAGGCAGACACGTCTGGTGTGGGTGCTCCAAGCACTGGTCCACCAGTTTCCGTGCGATATATACGCAAGTGACCGACCAGGCCGATGTGTGAGGTGAGTGTACGGGGACAGTGGAGACAGGAGGAGTCGGCAGTGTCAGTGTCGGTTTCGATTATGTTGGCGGTGGTGGAGCTGCAGGTTGTGGACGCGCTGGGCATGGTGGATGTGCAGGAGGCGCTAAGTGTGTCGAGGCCGCGGTCAGTTCTGCTCCCGTGGATACGTATGTGACCCAGAAGGCCTATGCGGTGAGTAAATGTGCGGGGTCTGTGTGGACAATGGAGGCGAATGCGGCGAGTGTATGTAGGTCCTCAGGACACTGGTCCCTGTGCGATGGATTCGCAAGCGACCGACCAGCCCGATGGCAATGAGGACAGATATGGATCGAGTCCACATTGTTTGTGTTGGCGGTGGTGAGGTCGATGTTTGTCGGTGTGTTAGGATGGAATGCAGTGGCGATGAGTGCAGGAGCCGTCACAGTTGATGTTGAGGCGATGGTTCAGGTGTGCAATCAATGTTGGTTGTCGGCGCGGAGGTGGAGGCAGAGGTGGGCGGGGGGGGAGGTCATCGGGCGCTATCGTTCGGGTGCTGCAGCTAATACGAAGACGTCCAATGACACCGCTTGGTGTCCAGAAGGTCCGCTGAGATCGTGGGCAGGTCGGGGCGGTCGGGCGTTGGCGTTGCGAAGCGGGGACAGTTGAGATTTACGAGCTTCGAGTTTAACTTTGCGCCGGAGATGCGGTTGGCTTCGTAATTGCTGCGCCAGTCTCCACTGCTCTCCGCTAGGTCAGTCGGTCTCGGGCAAAGTCTTCCCCAGTCGATTTGCAAGCGCATCAGGGTATCCTTGTAGTGCCTGACTTGGCCTCCTTGTCGGGGGAACCCATGGCGACATCTCCATAGAAGAGTCACTTGGGTAACCGCTCGTCGTCCATGCGCACCAGATGACCGCTTTAGCACAGTTACAGTTGTCCCAGCATGACGCAGATGCTGAGGATTTCCGTCTGCTTCAGTACATCCGTGTCCAGGATCCGGTCCTGCCATCTCAGATTCAGTATCCGTTGAGGACAGCTGACTGAGTCTTTGCGCCTTCTTCTTGTAGACCGTCTAGGTCTCCGCTGCATACAACAGCGTCGGCAGGATGACCGCTTTGCACATCTTCACTTCTATGCTGGTGTGGAGACCGTGACAATTCCAGACTGTTTTGCAGATCGTCGAAGGTTGGCTGGCCTTTGAAATCCGGCGGACCACTTCATCGTCGATTTTGGTGTTGCGAGAGAAGCTGCTGCCCAGGTAGGTGAAGTTGTCTGCGGCTTGCAGTTAGGGGCCGTTCATGTTGATTTGGGACGCGACGTGAGCAGCGTCAGGTAGCGGATGATGCGTGACGACCGTCTTCTCCGTGTTGATGACCAGGTCGAAGTTGTCGAGGGTGGCAACGAAGAGCCCATGCTCCTTTGCACGTCCCCTCCAGAGGTGGCGTTAAGGGCGTAGTCGTCGGCGAAGAGAGATTCATAGACGGAAGTTGCGGGACTTCTCTTTGAGGCCACATCTCCTGGAAGAACGCCGTCAGGTTTTCCATAATTTGGGGGCCACCGTGCTTGTAGACCTCGGCAGGGATCGCGTCCGATCCGGGCGCTTTCCCGCTGGAGAGCTGTTGCACGACCCTGATGATTTCGTGGAGAGAGGTCGCAAAGTCGAGATCGGCGTTGGTTTCCACTTAGGGCAGACAGCCGATGGTGGCGTCGGAGATTGTGTAGGGGCGGTTGAGGACGCCTCTGAAGTGCTCGGCCCATCGCTGTAGAATTTGTGTCTTCTTGGTGAGTAGCATACTGCCGTCGGTGCTGAGAAAAGGATCAGTTGCTTTGACTGTGGGCCATCGACAGTCTTGATCGCGGTGAAGAAGCTCCTCCTTTTGTTGCTGTCCGCATACCCTCGGATCTCCTAAGCCTTGAGGATCGTCCAAGCGTCCTTCCTCTCCCGCAACCTCTGGTGCACAAGGCGGCAGAAGGCTGCTCTGTTTTCGTCGGTTGGGCGGGTGACATAGGCTTTGTGCAGGCGGTTCTTCTCGGCGAGCAGGTTGCTGATTGCGGCGTCGTTTTCATCGAGCCAGTCCTGCTTTTGGCGCCGTGCGTGACCGAGGACAGCCAGGGTCGTCGTGGGACTGCGTTCCGCAGTTGGCACGATCGGTTCTCCACGCAGGCGGCGCCGGCGGCGGCGACTTGAAGATTGGCTAGCTTTTGGGTTAGTTCATTGCTGATATAGAGATGGTGAGCAGGCCACGACAGCAAAGCAATATTTAGCTTATCCGCGGGAGTCACTTACCTTGAGGTGCCCTGCGAGGCTGTGGGTGAATCCTCATCTTGGAGATGGCGAGACGATGGTCGGCACCCGGAATCGCCTTTGTCATCCGCATGTCGCACTGGTCCCGCCTCCTGACACGCACACACACAAGAGGTACTGGAAGGATATCAATGGGCAAACATGCGGGCACTCACTCCTGCCTCGGGCTATGACCGTTCAGTGGATGGGGAAAGCTGCAGCATCCGAAGTTTTCAACTTTGCTTGTTAGGAAATTCGCAGTTTTTAAAGTTCCTGAATGGAAGTACCAGATTTGCTGGGATTTTTCGCGACGCAGCGAAGATGCCTTACCCTTCGTAGCGTTTCCTTTCGTACAGACTTACAGAAGAAGGACTGGCGCGAATGCCGGTCGTCGACCTTCACGTGGAAAATAAATGCTTCAGACATCGCCCCCCCCCTGACGAGGTCATACGGAGAAGAACGCACAACCTCCAGACAGGACTGAGAGGATAAACAAAGCGAGCTCCCTCCTGTTATGCTGTCATCATTGGCCGTTTTGAGATCGAGGAAGTCGTTTCGAAGATTATTTAGTAATTATTTTGAACTTGTAGTGCCCCTACCAAGAAGCAGTTTCAGTAAGATGTGTTGACTGCTTTTAAAAGTGTACCCCGACATTCCATGCAAAGAAACACATTGGTAGCGAGCCACCAGGAAGACAATGGACGAAAGAGCCTGCCAGGGAGAAAGAAGAGGTTTTTACGTCTGTTTTCACATCACAGAATCTAAGAAACAAAGTTTGGTAGAAGGCCAGATACGAGTCAAGTGCCCGCATGCAAGCCTCGAAAACCTGAGGCTCTTCGTCTTCGTGTCGAAGGACTACGTGTTATTTTTCACTGTAGGGCTTATTTCTTTAGCAGTGAAGCCACAATCGTGGTCGGCGGCATAAATATTGTGGACTCTCCCTTTTGTGCAGATCAGGTAAATTGCTGTGTGACCAGGCTGCGTGTAGCACGCGTAGACTGGCCGCTTCATCGCTCTGACTCGGCCGGGACCAAATTGCGTGACGGAGGAGAGAGGATGCTAGATGATGCTCAAGTCTACTACCACCACCACCACCACCACCACCACCACCACCACCACCACCACCACCACCACCACCACCACCACCACCACCACCACCACCACCACCACCACCACAGACTAATTCACGCCTAAGTCATCGTCCGCGATGCTGTGGGGCAAACGGTGGACACCACCGCGAAGGTCAAGCTGACGTGCCTAGTGAATGAGCGCTCGCCGATCGGGTTACGAGACACGCTGGCTGCGTTGCGACTTAGGGCTCAGTGCAGCGCTCGCATGCGATCGTATAGCGACCAGTAATAACGCAGGAAGGAATGCAGACGTGCACAAGGGCAGAGCATTGGGCTCACAAATCCTCATTAGCCAAAAAATTCGAGGCCAAATTTCGGTTTTTCCGCATTGGGAGTTGGACATGGCTGCATGGTGACAACTAATAAACTAGAGATGTCCATCCTTGTCAGCATTTCACCCTAGGCACATATATGTATAGCAGCAAGGAGGGACGACAGAGAATGCAGGTAGATTGGTACAGCACTGTTTCGGCCTAGCTTGCCTTTATTCAGCCAATCATAAGCCTGACCACCAGTTGGGACAGGAAACACAAACATGCGTTCACGAACCTGGCACAGTTGGTCCACCACTGGGGTCTAACAGATGAGTCATAAGCACTTCATCAAAACGAAGTTCATTAGCGTCTCGCCGCCTGCCATTCTCCGTCGCTGTAGATCGGGTGATGCTGTATCAATCCTGCCCTTGGACCCTTTCGTCTCCTCCCTCGGCTATCATAGCTTGGCAGACTTCGGCGTGGTGGGTGGTTGCCCCTCGTGACTTCTACCATCCATACGAAGCTTCTTTGCTTCGGAAGGCCAATGGATCGGTGTGTGGCCATTCCTAAGACGTACACATGGTCGATAAAGACCGCAAAACAGTTGTCTTCGTCTGGCCTGTTACACTCTTAGCGGGCTGCTTATGCATTATACGTGATATGTGTTCTATGACACAGCGTTCGTTGTCGCCAGTAGCAAGCTGGTGGGCGGACAGAATGTGATCGAGTAAGATCCCGACCACAACTGTAAGGGTTACATGCCTACTTGACATGCTCGTGTACCTCATTTCATAAGGTCCATGGCGAACTGATGATCACCAACGACCGTGAAACAGCTGTCTGCGTCTGGCTTGTTGCACTCATAGCGAACTCCATATGAATTACATATATGTATCTATATATATTCCTGATTGCATAAGTACCCGATCTGCAGCGACAGCGAATGACAGGTGACGAGGCGCTGATGAACTTCGGTTCAATGAAGTGCTTATGACCCATCTGGTAGGCCTCAGTGGTGGACCAACTGCGCCAGGTGCGTCTGTGCGCATGTTTGTGTTTCCGGTCCCAGCTGCTGGGGGTCAGGGTTATGATTGGCTGAATGAGGGAAAAATAAGCCCGAAACAGTAATGTATAAATCTACTCTCATTCTCTGTTCACTCGCCAGAAACCACACAGGGGACGCTGGGGGACCGACTCAGGAGACGAACCCCTTGCAGCCGTGTCATGTAGCTGCAGAACTGTTGGCAAAACGCGTGTCAGGGCTTTTAGCTAGCACCTATGTCGAGAATACGGTATAACTATCTGTCCTATATATACATACGTGAGCTTCAAGTGCATGTGCGTTCAACTTCTATCGGTAAGTTTTCCTTCTAACCCAATTTTACGTCTTATCCCTTTTAAAAATCATAGGCCACAAGTTCTTCCTCTTCACGTCATATGTAATTAACCTGTGACATCAAGAGAGCCTACGGCCCACGTCTCTTCAGCTGCCAGTTGAAGATTTCGAGTCATAAGAATGTGAAGTTAACTGATTTAGCCTTAGCTCTGAAATCTTCCCCGTTTGGAATTGATGTCTGGTAAAGAGACTCCGAGTCCATCTACCGTTAAAATATTTGCGGCCTGCGACCAAAGCAGGAAGTCATTTGGCAATATATACATATATAAACGTAACAAAGAAACAGCTTTCCAACCCACTATGTGGTGTTTATCACAGCATTTATGGCCAGGGCTGTTATTCGTCGAGATTGAGTGATTTAGAGTGCTGAAGGAACTATGTTATCATAACCGACCTTGAAAATGGCAAGACAAATGGCATTTGTCGATGCCGAGATTGAAGGCCATCCCAACCGGATCGGAGACGTGAAAAACACAAATGTAGAGGCGCCGAAAAACCTTAACCGCGTCTGCCTTCCTCTTTAAAATGTTTAAGACAGGCTCTTCAAGACAGAGTGGGTGTGCTAACTCATGAAATGTTGGCCGAAATTCTGAAACGCGTTTTCGCCTCAAAAGACTACTTAAGTAGAGTTGTAAAATTAATCATCATGCAGCATAATTATACAATTATTCAGTTACCCTGAGATGCCGGCTTTCGGAAGAAATTCTTTCCGGCCGCATACAAGAACCACACTCCGTAAAAAATGACTACTTATGCGGCATATATTTTCTCATTGATTTTCGCTATCCTTAAAATCTCAATTTTATTTCATGGAAAACATGCATACAAATATTCATTCATTTGCTCATTCGGTAGGTAATTACCTTTTCTTCTAATTTTACACTTAATATAGTGGTATGATTCGGTTTTAAAAGAATTTTCCGATTCCCGAATAACTTTAAACGCGACTTGCATTCAGGGTTTCCAAACTACAAGTCGTATATATTCTGCATACGAAAGGCATACATTTCTCCACGGTATTAAAAGGAGACCACATTGGGTTGATAAAAGTAAGGAGTGCATTTGAGCCATATTGTTAACTTTACAAGCCACACTAGTAAATGTGGACACATGATGTTTTGCGAACAGGCATTTCACGGTATTAAAATATCTCACAATTAGAAACTTTTTCGAAACCGAATTATGCACCTTTAAGTATAAAATTGTAAGAAGACGTGATTTCTACCGTATAAGTAAAAGAACGGATATTTTAATTCGTGTGTTCTATGAAATATAATTGAATTTTTGAGGGCATCGACAATCAATGAGAGGAATGTAGGCCACATAAGTAGTCATTTTTAGAGAGTGTGGTTTTTGCATGCGGCCGGAAAGAAGTTCTTCCGAAAGCCGGCATCTCGGGGTAGCGGAATAATTGTAGAATTAAGCTGCATGCGGATTATTTTTATAATCTTACTTAAGTAATCTTTTTGAGACTAAAACGCATTTTTGAATTTCGGCTAAAATTTCATGAGTTAGCACGCCTACTGTAAGTCTCAATGCCAGATCTTCACCCACGGGGGGGGGGAGGTCCAGAGACCATATGGTGATGTTGCGCGGTACGAATGGTTAATTACAGCCCCTTTTAGTTCAAGCAAAAGTACAGCCGCGAAGGTGTACCAGGCATGTTAAAGTTTTCAGTTCTCCTCGCGAGAATGTGCGGCTACGTGTTTCTGTCAGTGACCTTCCGCGAGATCAGTCAGCTATGTGTGATGTGTGTATGTGATACTGACTTCCAGCCTCTGAACTTCCCACGCCTGTCATCTGGCGAGTACCGCCTGAATAACTGCTTAGTAGGAAAAAAAAGGTAACCAACAGCCAGTAGTCGTATCTGGTCTGGAAATAAAAGAGAGCTCTCAAGCAGGGGGATGGCAAGAGATGTTCCCAGAGATCCCAGAACAGGAGCCTTTTGACTTGGTGGTTGGGAAAAAAACCAGCATACCGACCCTGCCTTCAGATATACGTCTGCGTAAACGGTTTTCGCATATCCAACCACTGAAAGTTCACGCACAGATAATGCTCTCAGGATACTGGGTGCTTCTGTCAATAGGGAAGAAGAATAGTGGGGTAAAAAGCCACCGAACTTCCTCAGTTGTAAGGTTGTACAACCAACCAGCGTCCGGTTAAAATCAAGACCGCACACGCTCGTGATAGAGAGATGCACCGACAGAATCGGATGTTAATCAACCTTCCAGACTCCGATCAATGTAGGATAATTAGCCCCACCATTGCAGCACTGAAGTCTTGGCTCGTATCTAGACTGTAACGGAGAATTCGG